TTTGCTAGCTGGCAAAACAGTGTAGATAAATTATGTTATTACCACTGGTTAATTAGGATGTGAGATCCATGAAGCATATCCGAGATCCGAGTGCGCAACGCTAGCATTATGCACCTCTAAAACTGTTTGGACCTTCTTTTGCTCCACGCATCCGTGCAAATCATGCACGGCCCCATGGCAATGTCTATAGTCGTCAGCCTGTATCAACGCTGACCGTTCGGGAATGCGTGCTCGTTACAGTAATGCCTGTGGTCAATACAGGTCTACCTGAGTCAACTCACCACTTCGAACCCCTAAAGCGAAGTACTAATGGGCCGCAACTTTGATGATGAATCGCGTCAGAGTAAAACTAATCTGGTTGCTCTGTGGCTGCGTTTTGTGTATGATGTAGCTTCGTGCTCATTTTAACCCACAGCAATTCAGTGACTTGTTGTTTTCTTCCCTTTTGGTCGCTAAATGCCCACCTAAATGGGCACCTACAACAAATCAAAGCTTGGTGGACGTCCACCGTAGCCATCACGAAAAACTACTACTTACTTCCACAAACCAATTTCCTTTCCTGGACTCAATTCAACTGTATATGTTATACAGTGTCTCAAATTTTTTAAAACATTTTAAACCGTTTTTCAAATACATCGCTAAAAAAGCCAATAAGAAGGCAACACTTTGCCACGCCGCTTGTGTCGAACTACATAAACAGCGGTCATCGCCATGTAATGTACGGCTGCGTTGTGGCTGTGCAAGCGGTAAATGTGCATAATGAAACAAAATCAACCTAGGAACAATTTTAAAAGAAAAAATAGACTTATTCAATTAAATTTAAGTGAATCATTATTTTGCGTTGCCGCATAAATGTGGTTGTAACACTGGTGGAGTGCAGTGGATCGGGTGGCATGGCGTGTAGTTCATCACGTTTTTTTAACGACGCAAGGACACCGTTTCAAATTTAAAAATTATAGTATGGACTGCGCATACAGTACGCTATGTTGAAATGAGTAAGGGAAAAACGGAAGAATCGGTTTGTAGAAGCAGCAATACGTGATATTGCTTTCAACAACCGTCACCGATGACATACTGCAGCCAGTTAAACGACCATATGAGTAGTGCGCGTGGATTACTAATGTTTTAAGAAAATGATACTTCATAAAACAGATGAGTATTGTAAAAAATTTAACACTAATTTTACAAAATTAAGACAATTACAGATTTTTGTCTAATTTTGTACAATTATCGCAGCGTAGTCGTCCGTCAGGTTTGTGATTGGCGCAAAGAAAACTGTTTCTTGTTAATTTTTTAAATAAACCATGCTTCATAAGTGCACTAAAACTTCGTTATATTATACTTCTTATAGAAATTACGCAAACGACAGAGTAGAACCGTGCGTTAGCTATGCGTTTCGGGTTTCTTTACATTTTTCAAATTTTGGCAATTTTTGAACGTTTTGCCTGATATAGCCTTTAATATTTTTTTGCTTCTTGGCTATTGCTGCAAGATTGCCCTATCTTGCAAAATGTCAGCATATTGTCCTAACTGTCAACTTTGCAGATTGTTTTCGATGACTTTCAATTTTTTGAACGTTTTGCTGATATAGCCTTTAATATTTTTTTGCTTCTGGCTATTGCTGCAGATTGCCCTATCTTAAAATGTCAACATATTGTCCTAACTGTCAACTTTGCAGAATTTGTTTTCGATGACTTTCGTGGCTGAACTATTGACAATCGCTTACTGTACCAACTTACAAAGGCTGATAAACATACTTCTACAATATCAAATCTCAACAAACGCTATATCATACAGTACAAATTTCGGAAGTGATTCTGTCGCCTTAGCAGTAAAACACGACAGTAGTGCACTCTTTTACCGTATGGAAAATGCTAGCGTGGTGGCGTTATAATCAGATGTTTTGAACGCCCGACTACCACTTTTCTGATGCCTGATTCATGCACCCCTATTTTGCCATCTTTCGAAAATTTATGCAAAAAAAATTTTTGTCTTACAATCTCGTAAACATTTTATTTTTTATTGATTGAATCTATACAGTTCTAGATGCGTAAAATTTCGCAAAAAACTGCGGTAAACGACTCAGCTCGCAGGATGTATATACTTGTTGCAAAATCATTCAAAAAAATTCTGCTATAGTAGTCAACGTTCGTTACCCTTCGTTTTGTGGAACAGAAATGTATGCTAGCAACAATAAAAAATTGGATACCATTGCTAGGTTCGGCGAAAAAATGTTTCATGCTTTTATTTATCAGTTTTACATAATCAGAGTAGTCAACAATTTGTAATTTTGATAAAATTTTAATTTTGTTAACAAACTCAAATATCAGTCAGCCTTTTGTACAATGTTTCATTTAACTGTGATCGCATACGTTTCAAGAGCACCATGCACTATAAAAAGCATTAACGGCTATCTTGCAAAACAGCCTTTTCTTTTTTGTACAGCAATTCGTACTGTTAAATCAGTACTGATGGATAACATTTATTTTGCGGTTAAATTTGCAAAGTCATTCTTTCGGTTTCCTTTCTGGAACCAATTTTTGTAGCAAAAACTGATAAGACAAGCAGATTTCAAATGGTTTGCGTAAAACAGTAGCATTTCACATTGAGTTACTAACAGCATAGGAACCCAGTTGTCTTTGGGTCAGACTGGTGTTTAGGCTTAAAGTGAAGCTTAGAGTTGCATTTTCATTTCATTTTTCGCTACCCCACTGATATAAAAGATAAGATTTAAAACCACTCAAAGTTTAGAGCTCAATGCGCTCTAATAACGGTTTGTCTCAGCGGATGATGCTCTGTCTGCGCTTTAAACACGAAAGCATTATGCTTTCGTTTCGAGCGTCGTATTCGGTTTTCGAACATTGCTTTTGGATCTTGAACACTATGTTCGTGTTTTCAATGAGAACCAACATCAGGAGAGTTAACATGATGCACCAAGACAAATGGATCGCCATAGTGCATCCCAGCTCTCTAATAATTTTGAGTACATATTAAATATTCTTCTATCAGCGGTACTGCAAAAATGGGATAAAATAGACTATATTATAAGCTTATTTTAAGCCTAAGCACCTGCCTGGAATCCAAAGACAACTGGTCTCATCTTGTAAGTTCATTACAATGGCATGCCACACTACCTTAGCGTTTCAAAACTGAACAAAGCTAGCGCATATTTCAATTACAGTCATTTACTCATTTTTTGTTTAATGTAATATGTGTGCAGTACTGCAATTAATAAGTCTGTCATTTAAACGATTATATAAAGTGCAGTGGCTATGACGACAGCGCCGCCCAGCGCACATTGCAATCCACCTGTGCCTTTAAGCAACCCATATTTTTAAATCCTGCTTGTAACCGAAAAGCAGTAATTTGATAAGAATATATTTTTGTAAATACTTTGAGCATACCATTATTCTATGAGAAAAATCGGCTATACTAAGTACTTTCCCAACAGGGTAAGCAGTATCATTCTTTTGTAATAATTATGTAAACTTAGTATTGCAAAGCATTCCGTTACACATACGCGCGCTCATCATATCAGTTTGGCAGATCAATATTTTATTGAGCGTGAGCGGTTGTATAGTGTGCACATCTTAAAACAGCATAATTTGTGATTTTGGTTTTACAAAGTCATAAAATTACTACTAGAGGATGTTTTACCTCAATTGCAAAATAAAATCCTTCAGCGCACTATTTGGATGCAAAACAAAACTTTTTAGTCGCTAACGTAGCTGCAGCGAAGGCAGGATAGTGCTCATGGTTGAGGAAGATCCGTATCTCTGATGCGTTGATGGGTGGGGTGCCTGATGTGCGCGTGGGCACGGCGTGGAACGCTATGTGTACTGTTTATCTAACCATTACAATAAAATGATAATACAGTACGTACCCCGTTTAAATGTACTTTGTAAATCAATTTTTCTACATAGAATGGTATGTCTCAAGTATTTAAGGAATTTATTCTTAATAAATCAATGCTTGTGGGTTGCAATGTATTAGCTGTTAAGCTCAAAATTGTATACTGTTTACGTATAATACTGTATGGTGTACATTATTGTATACTTTACCCATCGTACTAAGATGAGTCCCTGTCACACAACAAGTTGTTTACATTCTTGCGGCGTGGAACAGCGCTCGAACATAAGCGCGACTACCTCGTCAATAATGCCATACAGCCTGAGCGGCTCGAATAATAAACTATTTAACACTGTGGGACTCATGTACAATACATATGAATTGCGCCTTATGAAGTACACTGTACACTACTGGAAGATTTATTCTAACTATCTTTGGCTGTTCAGCATGATCCTGAGTATGCATTTTTTGTGGCATGGTACTTTAATTATGACGCTACTGGCGCGTTGAAATTCCATTCAGTTAAATATTGCATTATTATTTCTACAGTTTGAGGATACTTATTTATTTATAGGACAAACAGGTATGGGTGTACCATGAACTGCCCACTTTCATAACTGTACTTTTATTGTGCGATAAATGTAACAGCTGTTTCCAGCAGCTTAATGCGTGCACGCAAGCTAGTATGTACGTGTATGATTACGATAATTCTCTAATCTATGCAGTTGATAATACAAAATAGGGTCTAAATTTGGTAATTTTTATGGAATTTTTGCATTGTTTTTATGACGTTTGAAAAGTCATGTGTCACATATTTTAGACGCCATTAGCAAATATTGCTGAATTTCAACAAAGTAACTTAAAATTTATACCTTGGTCACGTGATCTCAAGTTCGCATAGTTCAAATATCACTTAACAGGGTTTTTTTCTGAACAAAATTAGCTATAACAAGTTCATTTCTGGTAGGTACTTGTAAGATTGACTAAAACCTTAATTAATTAATTAGTGTAATTAACTAGTGTGTAAACTAAAACACTTGGTTGCGATAAATGCAATGGTATTTTAGACTATATGTGTGACGTCATAAACTGCAATCTGGACGTGACAAAATCCAAAATCGCTTTGCGGGACGCCGTTTACTACTATTAATCCATTGTGTAATTTACCATCCATTTATCCCTTCCATTTCCTTTACGAAGTGCTGAATAGTCCTGAAATTTTCTTTTGAACATTTTTAATATAATTACCGCTGGAAATGGTAATTAAACCGAATTCCTCCACGAGCAACTCCCAGGTCAATATTTCTGACCGCGAAATCATCATATTGATCTTGGAGTTCCTGGAGTCGAAAAATTTAAACATATCGCAGATATCTCTGGAGCGGGAGACTGGAATTGTGAATGGCGCTTTCTCTAACGAAATCCTGTTTTTACGAGATTTGATAATCGAGGGCTCGTGGGATGATGCAGTCGATTACGTTGAACCACTCCAACAGGCCGCTGTTTTTGATTATATTTACTTTAAGAAGATTGTTTACCGTTATAAGTATCTGGAACTGCTCTGCATAAAGAATGAAGTGGGAAACACCAAGTTCTCCGAAGAAGCTGCGGTGAACTGCTTGCGCGAGCTCGAGACCGTATGCGAAAAAGCGGAACTGAATGAGTACCGTTTGCTGCTGTCGTACGGAACCATCCAGGACCATCCGGACTTTCGCGACTGGAATCCATCCAGTGCTCGAGTCAAATGTTTTCGAGAGATTCGCCCGTTAGTGGAAACCGTGCTACAGGTAAGATTCCTCGTCGGATACGGAGAATTTTAATTACAGTACAGTACACATTGATATGTATATCGATGGTTTGTGGTATTTCGGTTTATGCTTATACATGTAATTGTTCCCTTCGAGTTTGACTGTTTGAGTTGTCTATCTAACTTCACTGTAACTGATTTTGTTACAATACTTTAAATCGGTTTCGCAGCTAGCATTCGTAGTTGTAGCTTTTTTTAATTTTTAATTTAGGTTTTACGTTCTACTGCAGATTTGCTTTGAAATTCATCTAAACCCTCGAGTAGGTATATTTCTGCAGACATACTAGTGCATGTGCGTTGGTTTCGTGTATCTGTACAAATTACGCATACATCTATACAAGTAGCGCTGGCCAGCCAATGGCAATTGCGAAAGTACCTTAGTTGTATAGATGTATGCGTGATTTGTACACATACACGAAAACAACGCACATGCACTACTAACTTGTTTACACTCAAAGTGACATGTCCAATTTGGAGATTCGAGTGAATAATTTTGAGTTATTTGTTTGACTTTTGACGGTATCGAAAACACGACAAGAGTGAGAACGTGAGTAAGTAAATTTAGATTTATGTAGACTCAAGACCAAAAGACGCTTTAAGTTATACTACATTAGTGTCCTGATTGTTCACCCGGAAAATGCGCAAATGACGTTTCTTTTTTACTGTGTGGAGCGAAGTTTTGTCAACACATACTGGCTAACCAGGAAGGATTTTTAGATTGGCACTCCTTCTCAAGGTGAAACGAATGTGAGCCCCCCTGATCGTTTGGTTCATCTCTCACTTGCCTGCAAGACAGATGATCTGCGAATTAGCCAGAAGTGATCTCGATGCGCCCCTCGTCTAATTCCCTGTTTGCTGGTTCACCTCCTATCTGAGTTTCCTGTTGAAAACAGTTTTCGGCGGCCCGGCAACTCACGCTCTGCTCGTGCCGCTTTGGTTAACGAAAATACCACCAAGCTGCAAGGTCACTCTCACATGAACCTTGTTTTATTAATTACTTAGTTGATATTGATTTTTAGTTTTACGGTAATGTTTACAGAAAGGAAGGTCGATATGCCTGACCATCGACAGAATACTGGCGAACCGTTGTCTCCAATCGAAGAGAACATTAACAGTTTCAGCGATGTCGACCATGGGACAGAGCCTGTATCCCAGCGACGCGAGCAAGACGAAGATCGAAAGCGCGTCATGGAGGATTGGCATGAACGTGATCGGTTGCGAGATCTCCTAGTTGCCGAAATAATGGGCAGCGCGCAGTCAAAGGTTTCTTCGCCCGCAGTAGTGCAGAATGATCGCAACGTTGGCAGCCCGTTGATCAGCAGGCGTTTAGAAACTGCGCAGAATCAAAATGTTGTTACTCCCATCGGACTGGATCGAGCCTACGTACCGACCGGTGATATTATGCGCGGAAAAGATATTCCTATATCAGGTCCTGACAGAATCAAAGGTCAGTCGGAAAAATCAGCATCCTCAGAGAACTCAACGTTACAAGCAGTCATTCCACGTCTCGAAAATCGATCAGATACTCTTTTGTCCGATAATACATCTACTGGTTATCACTCCCGTTCACCGTCTGCCTCGATCGATGTAAGTGCATTGGCCTTACTAGAAAAATTATTAGCGAAAATAGTATGTTTGGAACAGGTTTGTAATTATTGCTTTTGTACCGCAGTTCGAAACTGATACTCTGCGTTTCGTTCCCGTTCAAATTGTGGAGGACGAAGCTTTTGTTCGCTGTGCAGCATTTCATCCAGATGGAAGCTGTTATGCGGTTGGAAGTAATTCGAAAACATTAAGAATCTGTGAATATCCAGCTCAAATGAATGCGCGGTATGTGTGTAATGAATTAACTTTCCCATCATTCCCTACGTGCATTGTTGAGGACTGTTATATCGATAGCCGGTTTTATGTAGTGCGAGCGGTTATTAATTAGTCGGCTGGTAGCCTGGTACTGGATAAATTTCCTGGGATCAGTTATGAATCTTCTGCTGATTTTAGATTAACAGAGCACCGGGAGCAACCGCACAATGTAAGAATTTTGGACAGCCGTATCAACTACCATAAAGGGTCTCTATTCTGTTTGGCGTGGAGCTTGAAGGGAACACTGATTGCTTCTGGTTCAAACGATAAAATTATTAAACTGTCTCGGTTCGACCCGCAGACGAAGATATTACAGGGTATGGCTACGTGGTGTACTGTAGCTTTTGATTTAAATCATTTATAATGCAGTAACCTATCGGACAATTAAAAGGCAGCAGCGACTTGGGTTATTATTTTTGCTCCTAGCAAATTATTTCTTCCTCCTAGCAGATATTCCGTTTGGTTAAGGTTGTTAAAAATAATTTCTAGAAGGCAATATGGAGTTGCGCGTGCATGACGACACTATTCGGGATGTGATCTTCTTGGAAGATACTCGTACGTCTTCCGCGCTGCTGATGATATCTGCCGGTGCTGATAACAAGATCTTCGCTACCGATTGTCATACGGCCACAAAATTGCACAAATTTGGCGATCATTCTGCGCCAGTACTGTCGTTACACTCATGGACTCGTGGGATGTTCGTTAGCGGCGCTCAGGACAAAACGTGCCGTTTGTGGGATCTGCGTACGCTCTCAGCTGTTAAAACTTTCAGAAACAGTGACGGATTACCAGGTATGCCCAAGACCAAAAATTTCTTCCGCCAAACTGAATTTTTAAAGTTATGAATCATCGATTGTTGTAGATAGCACGGTCACCTGTGTGAGAGTGGACGTGATGGGGAAGGTCATGGCAACAGCTCACGAAAGCGGAGAATTGAGCCTCTGGGATTTACGAGCTGGACGGGTACTACAAGTGTCCAAACCTCATAGTAAAGACATACGTGGCCTAAGTTTTTCTCCGGCATCAAACTTTTTGCTGACAGCGTCTTACGACTCAAAAGTCCGCGCACATAACTTGGAAGGTGAGACTTACAAATTCTGTTTTGCGTCGGTACATCAATTAGTCGTGCGCTTTCTGTAGGCAATTTATTCGATCCATTACCGAATGTCGTTGTTGCGTCGCATGCCGACAAGGTTATCCAGTGTCATATGCATATGGTTGACAAATCCTTTCTGACCACAAGTGCGGATAAAACCTGTGTGCTTTGGGCCTATCCGGATGAATTGCGATAGTATCACTGGCATTTCCAGAAGGTTACGTCTTTTCGTTTCCCTATGATAGCAAAATAATCTCATGTGTCCCAGTCCAATGTTTGAAATGTTGAATAGACAGATGTTCCTTGTTTCGCAGCGTCTTGCCTTTTTCAGCCCTTGCTCTTGTTCTCTAGTCAGGTGCTTTTGTATATTTTGAAGATAAACCCTATTCTGTACGACAACAAAGTTCCTACTGTATAGGTAAGCATTTTTCTTTTCATTTGAAGTGTTTGTAAAATTATTAGTTAATTTATTGAAAATGAATAAATCGCCGAGAGGCATTTGCTCCAGAATCGTATAGGCAGGCTGATGCAGCTGATGTTATCTGCAGCTTTCTGATCTTATAAAGCATCATATTTCAAGAAATGCCGATTGGCTTTGCACTGTTATTCGTAAAATGTACAACACCAGACAGCTGAAAAATATTTCAACAATCAGTCCAGGGCCACTACCGAAATCAGGATGGCCTTCCATTAAACGAAGCTGTACAATTGCCAAGTTCTTAAAGATTATTCTACACTCTTTCGTAAATCTTCTTGAACTTTGCGAACCCACATGCAAATTACTTGCAAAATAGGATCCTTTCATCGATACAGATGATCCGCTTCCAGATTTGCGGCGATTTCCGCTTCCCATCTATCGCCGTTGGTTAGCAGTTTGTCTTTGTTATACAGCAACTCTTCTCTTGTTTCTGTCGAATATTCAAAATTCGGTCCTTCAACGATGGCGTCCACGGGGCAGGCCTCCTGGCATAATCCGCAGTAGATACACTTCGTCATGTCGATATCATATCGAGTAGTTCGACGGCTACCATCAGCGCGCTCTTCAGCTTCGATTGTTATAGCCTACAGGTCGCATAATGGCAATTCAATCTACACGTTTGTTTAGGAATTCTACTACATGGGTGCTGGCCAGCCTGACCGTGCTCTTAACTTACATCCATTGCGTTAACTTACAACCAGCAGCAAAATATATTTCTACACGCAACGGTGGCAACACCAACCTGAGCCGGGCAGACTGCTTCGCACAGTTTGCAGGCAATACACCGTTCCTCGCCTGACGGATACCGTCGTAGCGCATGTTCCCCTCTGAAACGCGGGCTCAGAGGCCCCTTTTCAAATGGGTAATTGATAGTGGCAGGCTCCTTAAACACCTGCCCAACCACAACCAGCAGTCCACTGACCAATTCCCTCCAAAAAATAGTCTTGGATGCAGTTTCGGTCAATTCTGTCCATGTCTGCTCCGGTTGAGGTGGATTCACGTACTTATATTCCCCCATGTTGGGCGATGTGGAGGCATAGCGAACATGGGATGAACATGTGGACGACCACAGTGTTCTTGTCAGTTTTTGCGATAGACTGCACCGTAAAAGCAGCATTTCTGCGGATACGCAGTGATAATTATTCAAAAAAGTGAAACTTTTCGGATATACGCTCAGTTGCGATTCTACTAATCGTAAAAAACAGACGATCTTAACATTTTCAGATTTCACACCATGAGCCGATGAGCGAGAAAAATTATTTTATTGTGATCTGCGTCTGCCTATGTTTCAGAGCCCACACAATTCTGCTACACCGAGCGAAGCGCGGAAAATTTAAAATGTTTTGACTTCCTACTGCAGTACGTACAGTACACTGACCATGGTGAGTGCAGTATTACTTGGATCATGGAGTCCAATCGGCCGCTTACAACTTCCGGCAGATGGCGCTTTTAAGGTTCTTGGCTACTTGCACAAATGCTTGCACCGTCGCTGTACATTAGGCAGTGTACTACGCCAAGAGACGCTCGCAATTGGTTTAGCACGGCTGATGGGTGGTACGCATTGAAATCACAAAACTACAAGTACGCATCCTGAGCCTCTATAGGAAACAGTAAATTATTTCGTAAAATACTAGCCTGTGTATACATTTAGCGGGCCTCCAATGGATCGTTTTATGTTTGGTAATGTTCCAAATCTGTGCTATTGTTCGGGAAGATGGACCTGTGTGATCCCATCAGCTCCAGAAGCCGTTTGCAAAGGAACGGTTTATCTATGAACGGTACGTAAGTACCACATGCTGTAGCACGAATGATGCAAATGGCCGTTAGCACGTGGTGTTTGCCATATACGACAGGCACGGACAAGTGTAATGAAAAAGTACAGTACTCTGCAGGAAATGTGTACCAAACATAACTCAAGAAGCTTACTGCTTACAAGTTAGAAACACTTGAAGTTGATGTTCCTTGATTTCGTTGTTTATGGAAACATTTAACGGCATCAGCTTGGTTTCATTAAAATATATTTGTTTTGCGTAATTTTGTGCAGTGATAACTTTTCATTAACTGTGAAAGTGAATGGGGAATGTGAGAATAGACCGAAACATCGGTTGATGCAGATCTTGCTGCATGGATTACATATCAGATTGTTTCCTTCCAGAATACCCTGAATTTTTATCTTTGTATGAAGCTCTTCCTAGTTCATGGACGCAGTGCCTGACGGTATTAAAGCTGCTGCATTCGTTTCCGATGTCGTTAAGTAAGTAACCCGAATATGATATTCACATAGGACAGTTTATTGCTCATGTTCCCTGCTTCCAAACTTTCATGTTTGATGGCTAGCTTTAGCGTGTGGCCCCGAATATGATATTCACATAGGACAGTTTATTGCTCATGTTCCCTGCTTCCAAACTTTCATGTTTGATGGCTATTTATTAGCGATGTGGCTGCCCCGGAAATCATGCACACAGATCCTTCTTCAGCCCCAATTTTATCCACAGTTAATGCTAAAGTCAACGGTGTTATCGCTAATCTTAAAACTCCGGCCAAACCAAGGCCACGACCTGCAGCCAAGAGATCTGCGCCGAAGAAGACACCCGCAAACACGTGTGGCCAGACTACGACCGACGGCACGCCTGCCAAACCCGCTCGTAAACGCAGTCCTCGGGTTCGTACTGCGTCGACGAGTTCAACATCATCCCAAGCATCGGCAAATAATCCGAATTTCGCCGTCTCCACCACTCCGCTCTCCATCTTCCAAACAGCCTTCGCTACCACGGTTACTCAGCCTGCCGCAGTGATGCCCGCCAGTGCGGTGCAGCTACGTGGTGCACGCACCATTCTGCCTAAACCGCCCGGTGGCCAGGTGCCGCCGGTGGTGCGTGCCGTTGCACCGGTGGTCAATGCAACTAGTGCCCCTCAGTTATCTGCGCCTTCCGTGAATAATGTGCCTAATTCTGTGCTCCCAAACGAGACCATTGTCAATTCCGTGAATCTCCAGACTCCTATGCTTCTTGGCGGCCAGGCGCTGACATTTGGCGGCGTTCAGCTGATCAACCCCGTTCAGCTGGCGCAGCAGAAGATGGTTTCTGACAAAACAGTGGATGTACCTCAAAACAGTACAAAACAACAAACTCTAGTCCCGCAGCCGCTGCGAACGCCGGCTCCAACTGTGCAGGTGCAGTTGCAGACTATACAGACTCCGAATGGGCCTATGACCGTGGCGTTTCTTCCTAACAATGTCAACATTGGCCAGTCGAATATATCCTTGGCTTCCAGTGGACCGAGGCTTCAGTTTGTATCGAATAACCCGGTTAACAATCAGTTGCCCACTGGTTTCAATGCCCTACCGCCTAATATTGCTGGTCTGCTCGCATCGAACACGCTGCAAGTGCCGGGATTCGCTCCGAACGACCTTTCGCACCAGTCTAATCTTATGGCGACAACGAACACCGGGGAAAGCTCGTCTGTGCTTCAGGATGACATAACTACTTCGGAGCCGCCGGATAAAAAACAGAAAATGGATTCCGATTTTAATTTGGACGAGTTTCTAACTTTGGAACGGCCCCGAGCAGCGTTGGAATGACAGCGGCGCAGGCGAGCGTTTTGGACTCTACTGCTCAGTCCATTTTGGAAGAATTAGTAACCGGGCCGATGTTCCAGTCTCCCGCAGTTAACTCGACCAGCAACACCGCTGTACCTGTTGCCCCTGCGAAGAAGAAACGCCCCTCAAGACCCAGGAAGAAGAAACAAGAACCCGACGAATTAAAAATGGTAAGCACTTACTGTTTAAAAAAAGTAACTGATGCAGTTATTAATCTCGATACTTACTTACTGACTAGCTTGTGATTCATTCTATGGCATCCAGTATTGTTTTACTCGAGAAAGTCAAACAAAATTTGACTAGTTTTCTCGAAATTGTTTCCAGCTGTATTCCAGTTTCCAGAAGTTTTACTTTTTTTCTGCAGAAAGTCGAGGAGATATTAAAAAAATGTGGAGAAGAAATGCAAAAAGAAGTCGTCCCAGCACCAAATGCAACTTCGTTTTCTGATTCTTTGCCACCCGTACCCACGCCGCCGCTGAATGTATCCTCTACAGTATTTTCAACGGTGCCTGTAAGCACTGCTTCCAGACCAGTTTCCGCAGCAATCAAGCCAATCACGACTGCTGCTCCCATCCAGTCACCGGTTTCAATTGAGCCTCTCGTCACGCGCCCAGTACTGACGTCCAAAGTTTTAGCACGGGCACAGCCAACTCTTCCATCGTCATTGCCTCTCACTCCTGTGCCTTCGAAATCAGTACCTACCGCACCTTCCAGACCAGCGAAAAAGAAAACGGATCTGGCAGTGAAGGACGAGAAAGACGTGAAAATGCTTGAAAAGCTTGATTTAAAACTGCCTTTTAAAGGAATGACCAGTTCTATGAACCGACTGCTGCCCTTTCACCTGTTGTCTGCTCCAGACATTCGGCCTGAAGTTGTCGAAAGAGGTCAGTGACTTAAGAGGTTTACAATGATACTCATATCAATCAGTGCATGCGTTTTGCAGTGTAATATTTTTATACAGCTAAATATCAGGAAAAATACACGTTGGAGTTTGTGTGTGCTCCACCCATTCAAGTTCATTTTTTATCGGTAATTTCTTTTTCCTTGTTCCAGAAAATCGTACCTTCGACCTTGTATCGGACGCCTTAATTGATCGAGGAAGGCATTTGTATGCCCGCTTCGCCCAGCAGATGATTTTTGATGCCGCTGTATGTCTTCTGCAATGCACATAAATTGCATTACTTACTAAGCATAACATTCTACATTTTTTCTGCAGCAACCCATTTCGAATACTGATATTCTGTCATGTGTGCAAACATGGCTGGAATCCGAGAGGGAGGAGTTCGAGGCAGAGAAGCGGGCAGCCTCAGAAGGTTTACCGGTAGATCCACCTAATTGGGTGTACACGGACTTTCAGCATGATCCTAATGTGCCATATTTTGATGAACATTACCTGTCCACATTTTCCGAAGATACCGTACTACCGGATGAGCCAGCATCCAGTGCAAACAGCATCCTCTTCAGTCCAACCCTGACGCCCGAACCGCCTTCCGATGGCAGCGTATCCCTTAAATCCGAGCCTCCCTCCTCTTCGTCCTCCGTCACCGTAACCTCCCAACCCGGAAAGATCAAGCTTTTGATTAAGCGCCAGAAAGAAACTAAGCCTGAAAATGTCGATAGATCAGTTGAACCGACGAAAAAAATCAGTCTTAAACTGCGAATGTCGGCTAATCAATGGACAACGGTGGCCAGGGCTAAGCAAGACTTACGCGAATCGGATCCAGAGTTTGCGGAAAAGGGTCCTACGGTTGGAGTGGCAGTGGATAGTGTCACCCAGAATGCAGTTGACAGTATTTTACAGTTAAATAAAGAGGATAATATAACAGTAATTATTGCGCACGACGAGACGAAGACGGCCAGCAACCTTCGGCCAGGCAGCTTAGTGCGACAACCGGTGATGAGCAATGGCTCAGCCTTTGCAGATTATTTTTACGGTCCCACTGCCTTCTCAGATGAGACGGAAGACCCGGGTCTGGATGAGGCCATTCAGAGTATTTTAAGCTGATGAGTGTATTCTGATACCTCTACGGCTCTACCAGTCCACCACTATACCGAATACCGAGGATGGCAGAAGCAAAAATTATTTTAGTACGTTCTTTTTATCCCGATCTCTTTTTTGTTTGTTTGTTATAAGGTGTTATCTTCTTATGCTTTTGAAAACTTGTTTTAAACACTGAGTGCTATAAAGAAACATTCTTTTGAATGTGCATTTATTACGTTCTCCTGTTCTAGCCAGAATGCAAATATGTTTGCTTACAAATGCTAAACTGTGTACTCCCATACAAAAAATACTGACCAAAGCGGTCGTCACTTGTTAGCAATGTATGTAATTGTACTTTGTATTACGGGTTTCACTTTATGCAGTGACCGCCTAATTTTGTTTTGTAAACCCCTGATTCTGTGGTTAAATTTATCAATCACACTTGATATTTTGCACACATTTTATACACCTGCATGAAAAAGTAAAACGGAAAAGTATCGCCATGTTTTTAGGATTTGTAGCAGATTAAAAGTAGCACATACAGGAGTACCGTGCCGGGCGTTTAAGAGCTTTTGCTACTTCATTCTTTTTTAGGCCCCTTTGTGATGTGCAGGTCGGCTTGCCCTTTTTGCGGCGCCAAAATGTTGCCTTGTTGTCAGTTACGTAGCACTTTGTTTGATTGTTTTCGTGAAATTGTGAACTACATGTATTGACGATTTTGAATTGTACCAACCACAGGACAATAAAGGCTGAGACACAGCATGGGCCGGCAGATTGGAGCCAACAGGCTCATTGTCAGTCAGGCTGCCGATGACTCGATGTACTGCAGTACTAGTACTGTAATTAATTGGTACAATATGTTCTGTCGTGCATCGTTATTTACTGCTATATTAGGATTTTAGATTTAAGTACTACAGTAATCTGCGCAGGCTTGGTTACATAATGCATATTTGCTTTGCAGTGAAACGCAAGATTTACCTACAGGTCGGCGCATTTTGATGCAAAAATTCACAAAAGCAACAATAAAAAACAATATAGCCTATCATCAAAGTGCAAACAAATCGCCATTCGACTATTTCACAATGGTTACACTGAAGGCTGAAAAAAGATGACTTAGCCAAAAGGCAGAGCAGGATCTTACAACAAAAAAAAGCATTACACATTTTCGGCGTACGCAGGTTTAAAAATAAAAACAAAAAAAAACAACAACCTATCATCCGAAGAAAGATGTCACCATTCCCTTCAGCAGGTCAATCACGCCACCACTGGGTGGATACAGAGACAACAGTTCTTCCGCTTGTTCAATAACATCTTCAATGAAATCCCTGCACTTCACTTGTGGATGTCCCAGCAACAATCTGATCTCCTCCAAATAATTTCGAAGCTTTTGTCTTAACAAACTTAACTCTCTTGTCCGTTCACGTTTATTTTCTTCGGTAAGCTGTTTCAGATGGCAATAAGTCAGCACCGTTTCGAAAATTGTCGCATACCACAAATTATTAGGCAATTCGCTGTTGGACAGGTACGGTTCCATGCTTTCCATCACTGTTAACAGCGATTCATTCAAATCATCACCTCGCTTCCATTTCAAAAATATTTTATTAATCAGAATATCAACGACTTTTTCCGGTTTTTCCACGATCGTAAATAGTCTGGCTGCTTCCACATAATGATTACATTCTAACTCGAACATCGCTTTTCCTTCGATGATCCATTTTTTGTCAAAAAGCAATTTTCCGCTTAGAACGTCCATAGAATCGCTGTTGTCAGATAGATTTGTTTCCATGTTGGAAGAAATAAACTTGCGAATGCGGCTGTCACGTTTCTCGCATGGCTGATAGTGCAGCAGTAAAGCTACCGCATATTCCCACTTGTTCTGGAGTACAAGTGAAGAAACCAAGGCTTCGATAGCCTGCTCGAAAACATCCACCGGAGCATCAAAACCGATATTGTACAAAGCGCTAAGGAAAATCCACTTATAAAATGCATTCCATCTGACAAATTCTGTACGTCGTACAAAAGTAATATCCTCAATTCCAAGGTACAACCGAATAATACTGTAAAGAATGCGGGGAGGGCCGTCAGTTTTCACATCATCATCAACAGGTAAGACACAGCACAAGTCGTAGATGCAGCAATCTTCGTACATTTTGAAAATGTCCTCCAAGCCTGCAACGAAACTTTATTGCGTACGCGATTATGTGCAGTGGGCCAAACTGTGGCAAATATTTCAAAACGTGTTTTCGGCAAGCGCATTCTAAATAACAATTGTACAAAAACAAACACATACAGAAGTCGCAAAAACATTACTTACTGTTTGGTTGATCGCTAATCACATAGTAAGCGCACATAGCGAAACAATGCAACCAGTCCATATTCTCGCAAGCACTGCTGTCTTCCACAAAAATCGATCCCGATAGCAACAGCAGAATCTTTTTTATCCACTGTCCTGCAGCTTTGTTTTTGTTCCACAGCTGAATGATGGCAACTTGATACGCCAGCTGATGCCGATTTTCCCTATTAACTCCAATCAGTTCAGCTAAGGCTTTATCGTTGTTGCGATGCTTGGCTATCAACGCCGCTTGGCCCAGGTTCAAATCAGCCAGCCATCCGCTGGAAAACTGAGTGGTACATATCGTCGTGGTAGTCCTGCTTGTCGCTATTGAAATGCGGCAAAACGTCCTTGAGCCATGACAAAAATGCCTGCGCGGTTTCCGGTCTATCCGCTTTGTAGCCCGCCTGCCCAGCAGAACTCCCAGCGCCCCATAACGCGCAAATCAACTTCAAAGCGATCCAAAGATGCATAGCTTCTGTCGAGTCAAACGGCACTCGAAAAAGTTGCTTAGCAGTGAATTCCAGATATTTCCCGCTTCCCCTAGGGGGAATTAATTCAATACGTCCGTTACACCGCTTGATCTCACAAGCGGCAATATATTCCTCGAAAAACAAATCAAACAGCGCAGTAGATGATTCCGGGGTCTGCGAAGCCTCCCGTACGTCGATTTCGGACTCGGACAAAGCTCCATCCAGTTCATCGCTTCCAGTACGTTGCGAGTTATCCGCTAATCTCTCAAGAAAATGTATTCGCCAATGCGAAACACCGTCGCCTACATCAGGAGGGAATCGCAGAGGGCCACCGTCCGGACTGTAGACTTCTGCGGAAGCCAGATTGTGCAGCAGATCACTCACAAGGAAATCCGACAGCGGAGAACTCTCAGATTTGCTGTAGACCACTTGGGGCCGTCTCTCGTAAGATGGAGCCCATGAATGCGTGGCTGCAGAATTCTGTTGTCGGGAAAATGTTTCCTTACTGTCCGAACTCTGGCCATTGGGTGAAGAACTGCCCGCCAGGCATAATTTATATTTGGAGAAGCCAGAAACTGCGAACCGAAAAATTCCCGTTTCGGCGCTGTACATCGCAGATAGCGCAACTGGATCGCTCTCATCATGCGAGCTGGCCACTGTGGTCGTGTCACCATGTCTCGTACATTCCAGACGCCATTCGTCAAGATTCCATACATTTTCGAACGTCACGCTCGCCGGTCGGTTGAACGGACTGCAAATGCCCGATTCTTCGCGGATTTCAATGGATCCATGATCAATATGCACACCAGTGTACAAATCATCCGCAGGAATCTGGACGCACTCTAAAGGGGCATTGTAATAAGATCAATAAAAAGCCGGTTTGCAATTTATATTTATTTACGTTTTGTTTGCGGCGACAAGAACCAGCTTGAGTACAAATCAGGAGCTTACCAAAGAATGTAACGTAGCCAACTCCACGTCTGCCAATCGACTTCACCACCAAGGTCGATGTAGGCTCACTTTCATCCGGAATGAAGTACAGTTCATGCTCGTCACTACCACAGATGCAAATAGAACCGCGCCGTGACATTTTTTGAATTTCCTTATGCGGAGACTGGAGAGCTCCAACGATACCGATACGCTAGGAGTTACGAACCCACAAATCTCGACAAAATTCCCATGAAGCATGTGGCGCGGGCGCCCTATCATTTTGGCCACCATTCATTTTGGCCACCATTTATTTCGGCCAGCATTCATTTTGGTCACCACTGATTTTAGTACCGTTCGATTTTCAGTAATCACTAGTACATACATTCATTACGCTGTGAGTTTCAGATGTTTCCCCAATAAATAAAAACATAATAAAAATAAACATAAGAAAACATAAGGAAAACAAGTAAATTTAATAACATAAACCTAAAATAGTAAACACCAAAAAACCGAGGGCAAGAAAACCTAAGAACCTAAGAACCTACGAACCTAAGAATAACCAAGAAACAAGTAAGAAGACCTAAGAAACCTAAGAAAACCTAACAAAACTAAAACAAAAATCGAACCATCACCACCATGTTTTGGCCGAAATGAATGGCCAAAATGAATGGAATGGACACGGTGGCGCGCATCTTTTATTTCTGCACCAACCGCCTTTCAACAATGGCCGGATCAAATTCAAGGTCAGGACGATAGAACCAGTTCTTTGCTCTTCAGTCTTCACTGCAGCTTCCGTCGATTCCTCTTTGAATTTTCGATTTTCCAACGCTTGAAGTCGAACTTATAATTTATCATTTCTGGCAGAGTCATAATTTAAACGTGTTTACTAAATGTAACAGCACTCATACAATGTCAGCACTCAGCAATGATCATGAATCACAGTACAGTAATCGGTCGATTAATGAAGTTATCGTCACCACCCATCCACCACTGCTTTTGCGCCCATATCATGCACAGCATGCAGATGTACGGCACCTCACAGTCCATCACTTCGCACGTTTTGTTATGAAACTCGAAAGTCGAAACTTTTCCGATATCAGTCATATCAGCTTCAAAGTCATGCAGTATTTCTTTCATATTGAGACGCCTTTCGTTTTCTCCGTGTAATTTGCGACCACTTCAAAACTACTTTACCTTTAGTTTCCGTTTTTTAGAAGATTCGATTTATGGGAGCAAGTTTAAGAGTTTGATAAGTGGAGTGAATACCCCGTCAGCCGTCTCACCTAGGCGCCAGGAAATGGTACGTGCACTGGCTGAAAATCGGCAAAAACAGCAACAGAGGTTCATGTTTATGTTTTTGAGCAATGTGGTTTGTCGCTGATTTTGAAATCTCCTGTGAAATTGTGTTTGTATTCTGCAGAGCAAACCAGTGAAAAATGTTGGAGGTTCTAACGGGAAACGTAAGCAGCTTGTGAAGTTTTCGCTTTATCTCTGTAATGGGATAAGTAGTTATTAACAGATCCATCTTTTTAAAGTGCGTGTTTTGCAGGATCTGCGACTGCCTCTAAGGGATCTCCCAAAAAAACTAAAAAGGTTAGCCGATTTCATATGATAGGACCGATTGCTCTGCTTCTGTCAAAAGCGAAGGGGGTGTCGATCGATTCTTGACAGGATGAGGACGAAGATGGTGATGGACAGCAGAAGAAAAACGCAGGATATCGGAAGTTCATGAGCCGCGCGCCTCCGCAGGCGCTTGGGTCAAAAGAAGTACCAGAGGTATCAACTTTATTTACTACGGGTTTTTTATCCCTGCCCCTTGGATAATCTTTCCATAATCTTAGAAAAGTGACAGATGTGCTTTTGAATGGTGGAGTTGGTTTGGTGTGCAGTACTCACTCTGCTGTGCAGCTTTCCAGCTTCATCGAGCCGAGAAAAATTTGGTTTTGGTTAAATTAATCCGCTTGGGTAGGGCCCGGAAGACTGCTTGCAAGGCTTGGATTTTGTGGTGACTGGCGTTCTGGACAGCATAACTCGAGAGGATGCTGAGGATTTAATAAAACGTCACGGAGGTTCCGTGAAAACAGGAGTATCGAAAAAGACGTCGTACTTGGTGGCCGGGCGAGATGCAGGCGAATCCAAATTGAAAAAGGTTGGTTATTTTTTGAAGCCGCCTGGGGCTTGATTGTGGTGTTAGTTTTAACCTCTAAATGTTGTGCTGTATTAAAGCTGGAAAGTGGGAATGGATGGGATTATGAAATTAGTATAAGAAATGGGATTGGATTATTTACATCTTAAAAACCAAAATAAAAAAATGCCTGTTAAGCGGTTGGTTGTTCGTTTAAAGGCTAAAGAAATGAAGACGAAAATTATTGACGAAGATGGTTTATTCGATCTGGTACGAAAAGCGGTTCCAGAATCGAAAGGCAAACCCAACGGTACGGCTTCCGGAATGAAAGCAACAGGTTTTTCCAGAACGGCTTCAGTGGTTAAAGTATCACCCGGAAAATCGAAGAAAAAGGACGCTGATGTGGTAATAAATTTTTCTGTCGTATATTTGAATGGTGGTATTGAACTGTAAAATATGCATAAACTGGATTACTGGTTAACTAGTTCTTTACGGTTTTGACTTGCCTTAGATTCTTCTTGATTCGGACGACGATGACCAGCCTCCGGCGAAGAAAGCGCGGACCACTGCCAGTCCGGTGAAATCTTCGATGAAAGCTGTTGCATCAAGCAGTACTGGGGCTTCTAAATCAGCATCAGTTGTAAAACCCGCTGTAAAACCCGCTTCTCCCGTAAAAAAGCCTATTCTATCGGGCGCAGCTAGCTCGCCTGTGTCCGTGAAGGCTACGGAGAAAGCACCTGTTGTTCCGTCTACATCGAAGCAGGTGACGGTGATCCTGCCACGGTGCTGCGTCCGGTTCGGCTTATGCGTAGCTGTACACTGTTGCAGGTTTCAAACACCGCTAGCGATCCAGCACCGCGTCCGTCCTCGCAAAATGTTCCAGCGCTGTTGTGGGTGGATAAATACCAACCAAAATCTTTAAAGAATGTTGTCGGCCAACATACACCGCAAAGTCCTGCCAACAAATTGTTAACCTGGTTACAGCACTGGCAGGACAATCGCAAAAAACATGGATTTAAGGCTGCATCAGCAGGTTAGCGTGTTTTTAAGATCCTTAAAAAAACTTAGCGTATTTTTTCAATGTAATGTAGCGTATTTTCAGTGGTATTTGTTATCGGAAATTTTTGTTAAGCGCTGTTTGATTTTTAGGTCTCTACAATAAATCCGGCAGCACCGATGGGGCGTCATTTAAAGCGGTTCTCTTGTCTGGCCCTCCAGGAATAGGTAAAACCACGACAGCCGTTTTAGCATGCAAGGAAGCAGGTTTCACCTATGTTCACGTCAACGCGTCGGATAATCGCTCCAAGCGCATCTTGCAAGAGCAGTTTATGAGTGGTGTGACGTCGCATTCACTTCTGGAATATCAGGAGGGGGCGGCTGTTAAAAGTGCCATCATTATGGACGAAGTTGATGGAATGGCTGGAAATGAAGATCGCGGTGGAGTGCAGGTAAAAAGCATTTGCACTATTTTTTATTAGATTATAAGTTGTACCTGATAATTGATTTAGGAAGTTATACAACTTATCAAGAATTGCAAGATTCCAGTGATCTGCATTTGCAATGACCGTCAAAGCCAGAAGATGCGTTCGTTAGCAGGGTACTGTTATGATTTGCGTTTCCAGCGTCCTCGGCTTGAGCCAATAAGGGTAAATAAAATTCTGTTATTAGATCGCATTCTGTTTTGCAAGATTTCGTTGATAGGGTGCCATGTTGTCGATATGCGCGAAGGAAGGTATTAATATTAAACCAAACGCTTTGGATGTAATCATCGAAATGTCCCGTCATGATATCCGTCAAGTACTGCATAACTTGTACACCTGGACATCGTCAAAAAAGACGATGACATATGATGAAGCCAAAGCGAATGCAGCGTCTTCAGAGAAAGATAGCATTAAAATGGGAGCGTTTGAAGCGTGCCGTCTGATGTTTGCAGCTCCTAAAGGATCTCGACCAGGCGATTTTATAAACGAAAAGATGGACTTGTATTTTGAAGATTATAACTTTGTACCTTTGTTCATCTTCGAGAACTATCTGCAAGTTCATCCTTACGCCAACGTGAACAAATATGAAGTCTTGGATAATTTAAGCAAGGCTGCCGAGAGCTTTTCCATTTCGGATATGATTGACGCCGAAGTTAGGTCAAAGCAAAGTTGGCATTTGTTGCCACAGCATGTAAGTTACAAAGAGATTAGCGCATAAATTCAATATCATCAATTTTTGAATTAGTTAATTGAACCACCCTTGATATGATCTGAAGAAATGTTATTAATTTTTGACGATAGAAACTGTTAATTTTTCGGTTCTAAGGTTATAGATAGAGGTTGCACGTAAAGGATGAAAGTGTCTATCTCTCAAGCTTAAAGATAGTTTGATCAGTTTTTCCATTGAACTTGAATGGTTCTCTTGTTGTAGGCTGTTTTTTCGGCAGTGATACCGGGAAATTTGATGCGGGGAGCTATGGGAGGCATGATCAATTTTCCGCAATGGCTGGGAAAGAATTCGTCCAGTAATAAGAACAAACGATTAGCACAAGAATTGCAAACCCATATGCGACTAAGGTAAGGTTAACTTCCAGATTTTCGTTCGTGTCATCACATTTTCTTTGCTCTTGTAACATGCATTTATCTGGATTGGCAGAGTTTCGTCAAGTTTCACTGGCTTAGTGCTAGATTATTTGCCGGTAATGCGAAAAGCATTAACTGTTCCCTTGAAAAAGGATGGTGCTGAGGGTGTGGACAAAGTAGCCGATTTCGTTAATGCCTATGATATGTTACGGGAAGATATTGATTCTGTGTTGGAAGTCACTTCATGGGGAGGAAAAGACGATGATCCCATGAAGGATGTTCCCGCTTCGGTAAGTTTGTACATATTCTAGCTTTGTTTTAGAATACTGCAGCAGAATTTTATGTGTAAGGCATAGTATGGGTACTTTCCGTCAAAATAGTTTATCCGGTTTGAAACATGATATACAGTCTGGTATTTAAATAACTGTATAATTGTTAGTTTCCTAACTTTCGTTCGATTTAAGCAGGTGCAGCGAATGATCGCGAATCTTGTAATGATACGAATGTTTAAATTTTTCAGGTCAAATCCACTCTTACTCGGCAGTTAAATAAAGGCACTCATCTTAATCCTTATTCCTCTGCTGAAGTGAAAAAATCATCACGGGCTCGAGCGGGAGGTGACGCGGAAACAGATTTGCTGGACGAGGAAACCGCGGCTGCTCTGACAACTGCAGCCGATGATGAAGATAAGGAAGATGATAATGTGGAGAAGGATACCATGATTAAGGTTAAGGCCAAGACCTCATCGGCTGCCAAATCATCGTCAGCGAAGGGGGGAGCCGGAAGAGGTGGCCGTGGAGGAGGGCGGGGTGCAGGCGGTGTAACTGGAACATCTCGACGAGGAAAAAAATGATAATCGAGAAAAGGGAATTCTGATGTTTCTTAAATGATCGTTGCTGTGTTGAAATTTTGTAAGTGATTTATGGCATTGCGATTTTTATTTTTTTTGGATGTGTAAGGAATCCATACTATGGATTTTCGTCTGCTGTAGTTTTATTACTTTTGGGATACGTTCCATTGTAGTGGTAATGTTTTCTACGGCTGTTAATTATACTGGGTGCATATTCACCGAGCTGTTTGCTTAATTGATTCCACACCTATAAAGAAGTGAAACCACTGTGCATGTTACAATAATTAAGAGTTTCATGCGGAAGGTTATACTCGTTTTTTTCCATGTTTGTTGGTGATGTTATATATTGTATTGTCGAGAGTAAAGTCGAAGGTCACGAAGGGAGAGCGGTTTCGCTGTTTAAGTGTGTTGTGGTTTATGCTGACTCCTGCTACCTACATTGTTCTTGCGTAAGCGATAAAATGTCATGTTGTCAAGTGCTGGTTGGTGGAGATACTATTTTGCGTAAAGTTTCTATGTTTGCATACGAGCTTTTTCACAGCATTTTATTGACAGTTTTTAGTTTGTCCCCTGTAATCCGCTTTGTTCTCACGCCGTTCCTAATCTCCTCTCAATGTGATAATACAGAAGTAATATAATGCAAAGTAAGTCTTCTATTGTTGGCGGTGTTAAAATCCTCTTGTGTCTCATCAATTTGAACAAAGATAACGAAACACACAGAAGACGAAAAAAATAATCATAAAATCAACTGTTTATGACTAGTCCTTCAAGGCGGCTTATAAATTTAAGCTGAGTCGAAGCAGTTAATGCAGTGTTAAAGTAAAGAGTCTTAACTGCGGCCGACAAATGGTTGAATTCACTTTGCAACACCTGAGATTTGTGCCGAGCTGTGTGATGTGTATGTGTATGGAGATGGTGCAAAATCTTGACAAAGCCAGAGAGATCGGATTTCATAAAGTATTTATTGTACTTTATACAAACTGGCTTGGATCCTGTCATTTCTATGGAGGCGCTTCCAACGCACAATGTTGTCAGCATACGCCGCATAAAGACCTTCTTCCGCAGACTAATTTCTCTCACGTATGCATCCGCTGTTGCCATTATGTGCACCCGGTAACATTAGCCGATGAGAAATTCATTTCCGTAACAGATACCTTTTGCTGTTTTACAATCGTGGTCAAAATAAGGACTTTTCTGTTGATTCCACATTGTCCTCGTGTTCGATATACGCAACCGTGATTCAGCTGTATTTAATTTTTCCTGCATTAATACTCGCTTTCTCACGCATGATAAACTTTCCTTTACAAAGCAGGAATAGTGCCACATGACGGAGAATTGGGAGGCAAATGTGTTGTAAATGACGTTTTGATAAAAACGAAAATTTCAAGTACGTACAATCGTCGTACATCGTATTGCACGTGTACACAAAAAAACTGCCAAAATATTTTCACTTATCTTGCATTCAAAATCCTTACAAATTCATAAAGAAAATTGGTTGTGCGGACAATAAAAATGTATTTGCATCGTTGTTAACTTGTCACAATGTCACCTATCGTGTTGCATGCATACCCACCTACACCGCCTACGCAAGTCGTATATAAATGTGGATGTGTTCCGTACTGTTATAGAATACAGATATGTACAATTCAAGCTGCCGCTTGAATTGTACATATCTGTATTCTATAACAGTACGACCAATACACGAAACGGCAATAAGTAGCAGTATTGTCTCTGGAAGTGGATACGCTGGTAATGAAAACATGTAAACCATATCACAAAAGCCGAAGTTGTGCAGGTTTGAAGTGAGAGCAACTTTAAACTCGAAACAAGTGTTGCTTTATCGTTTCCCTCCTTCCATATGCAAGCATTTCTCAGGTAGTATTAGTTTACAGCCGACGGTGTTGGCATACGTAGGCCGCTTCGCTTACGAGGATTGCAAATCGGTAGAAAACACGAAACACCGAACTGCGGAAACAGATGTTTGTGCTGGCCTTTACAGTTTGCAATATACCTTGCTTAAATTATTTCAGTAATAGTATTATCCGCTACGAAAATATACATCATGTCGTCGGTTAAACAAAACGGCAAAGGGAAATTTTATGAAACGTCTCATGCCATTACGCAACAAACTAAATTCTGGGGAAGAAAGTCTTTCGATGCTGTAATTTATGGGAGTCTGCGTTGTCAACAACGCTTTTATGTAGCCGTTAAATTAGCGCATAGCGCACTGGAAGGTTACAATTGCCTGAAGAAATTTGTGTTTCCATTTATTTTTTCATTTTTCTAGGTTAGATTACTATTAGTTATACATAACACTATTAAACGATACTCTAGACCTGGTTAGACAAGTTTTAATTTCTGGTATACATTATGATATTGCATGTCGTGTAATTATTAGTTTTGCCAAGAGTCTTTACATTCCTCATTAATTTTGCTAAACACTGTATGTGGTGAATATACTTATTAAAATGGACAATTCTCGTTTCACCGTGTGATTACCGTGTAATACAATACGAGCTACATACAAAACACACATCGAAGTTTATAGATATGGATCCCATAGTGACACTTTAAACAGAAATAAAATAAGATACACAAGTTATGTGGATTAAAGAAGTGGATACATTCACAAACTGAAAATTTAAATACATACTCATTGGAGTTAGAGTGACACCTGCAATCTGCTAAGTCGACATATTCTCCACCGATCCAAAAGTAACCACTGCCTAATTTTAGCGCCAAACAAACATGCGCAATGTGTTTGCACAGGATAATATGTGTTTGTTACTTCTTCTTCGATAGTAGTCCCACCTCACTCAAATTGCTACCGGTCGACTGAAACGGGTATTCCATTCCGGGTGGCCGGAAGCCCAAATAAGGAAATGTTAGAAGCGGTTGGTCGGCGGGAAAGCGTGGCAGTCCACCGGACCCCGGATGCACCATGTGAATGGGCGAGAAGGCCGATTTCATGGCTTCCATATTGACAGGCGGATAGAAGCGCGAAAAAAAGGGATTACGCGGTAAGAAGCCGGGATTCAACGGCATCGGTCCGGCTGTCGGATGCTGTGGGCTGGGCTGCATGGTGGAATTGGCGTTAGTGTTCTGAATATTCATCGCGTGGTCAATGGCTTGTAAGAGATCACCATGATTCTCCCGTAGAACAATTTCAAGCACGGGGCGCGGCTGCGTGGGAAACAGTCGCACCAGAACATCTAAGGGATCGCGTTTCTTGTGTAGCCGAGCAGCACTAAACATCGTGTTCTTGCATTCGCCTTTTGAGGAATCGGACTCGATGTCCGATACATTATCCTCGCTGTTGCCGTGGCTGTTGGGCGTTTCCGTTCGTTCCGGACTTTTGGACTTATCTTTCTCCTCCCGTTTAACCGTCTCTTGACTATCTTCCGGCTCCAGTGACCTTTCCTGCGCGTTGACACGCGCAGGCACCGCGACACTGTCGAGCATATCGGCCATTGATCGTACGGCGCTATTCTTTAGCTTCTTCGCCAGTGGTTTCTTTGTCGGTTCTGTAAAGATGCATTTGAATTTGTGCATGGGCATTACAAGATGTACACAGCGATGAATGAAATTGTCAAAAGCAGAACATGTTAGTTCTTTCCGCGGCTGTCTTCAGTTTAGTCGATCAGTGCGAAGAGGGTTTTATTCAAGCTTTTTCAAGAAAATTTAATGAATTAACAAACGGACCAATTGACTAAATGCATTCCCGTTGTACAATCATAGAGGAAAATGTGTTTGAGTGCGCCATGTGTCGATGACAGTTCATCTACAGTTCATGGTTTTGTATCGCGATAAATGCTGTATGCTTGAGCGTGTTTGCCATGCAAGTTGTTAATGAAGCACAATAGAAATAAAGCAACTCATTTTCCGATTTTCTAACATCACATTCATGCCGATCATCAAGTGTCCTGTCGCTAACTTAAGAATACAGTTAAGTATTGGAATCCACTGACTGTGACGTAAATTCAACGGGTCACGGGAAAATCTATGGGCGTTGCACCGCATAAATCGCATTTGCTAAATCAAGTTTACTATCTCCTAACTACGGTAATTCAATTAGCAAAATATTAACAAAAAGTTGTTAAGAGGACAACACAATTTGCGAAACTAAAAGTTTTTTTTTGCAACACACATGCTGAACCTGAGCCTTGATTAACTGCTGTTACTGCTCATCGATATTGCTTAATTTCCGTTTTTTGCTAAACTTTGATTTCAACATTTCTGCATTGTACTGTGCACAATATTCCTGTGCTTTTCAAAAGAGCAACATCATAAAAGGTGCTGCCCTTCATTTGAAGCGATAGCTGCTGTTCGAACAATATCAGAACACAGGTTGGCAACTTTATATTGCTGTAGAATCAATAGAAATTTCATTTTTATTCTTGCAGACGTTTCAAAATTTCCGTCTATTTTTATCCGCAAATATATGTAGCGGTTCGGACGCTAAGTCAATAACGGCAGAGCAATAGTCACATTCATGAACCCATGACGCAGACTGTATCCACTGTACATCTACATATATTTTAAATGGTAAGTATTGATATTGGCATCGAGAATTGTCACACAGCCACTTCAAGCTGTCAGATTGGCTACTCTTATGCGCGGAAAAGACCGAATCAGTGGCCGTACGGCGTCCAGCACAGCGTAAGCTGTTGCTTAACCGGATTCCCAAATTAGAGAATTAGGTAAACAGAAGCTCAGACTGTTACGATATATCGGTACCTGGACTGGTTCGTTCATTTTCCGAGTCATCTGATCCAGCCTCGCTGTCGGGATGCTTCCTGGAAGGATCACGTCGGAAATGGCCGTTTTGTCCGCCGGCGGACATTGTTATGCCATTCGCTTGTTGCATAGCCTGAAAAAGTCCCGGTGCACCACTGGCATATAACAAGCCGATCTCGCGCGCTTCCGATTCTTCTTGTGCCTGTTGTCTTCGCAGAGCCACCTTCAATAAATATAATTTTATTACTTACTAAGCTATGATTACAATACAAAAACGAACATAAACATATTACAACAGATGCACTGCTTTTAAGAAACCGAAACCAGAAACTGCGTTTGAGCAATCACGCAGATAACAACGCATTTTGCTTATTTTTTAAGAAGTAAGGTTACCTGCGCTGCCATTACACGCTGTCGTTCGGCAATCAGTGTGCACTTCGCACATAGACAATCTTTCCACCGGCAATATCGCTTATGCCCTTTTAACGCGGACACAACACCGTGATTGCGACAGCGGGCGCATTTTGGTGTTCGCTGATAGCGCTCGGATGCCCGTAGCAGTAGTGCGGGATGAAGAGCATTTTGCGACAATGTCCCGGGAACGGGCAGGCCCAGTGCCGAACCGTTCATGCTACCTTGCTCAAACGTTGGGTCAGGCGACGCAGACATTTCTGAATATTATATTTCCGATAACGTAACAATACAGATAGCGCTGCAGTACTCCTCGATCTAAAGCAAATTAAACATTTATATCTTAGGATAGAACGCTGCACGGTAACTGATCATTGTGAAAGTGCAGGGATGTAAGTTGCGGTCAAACACTTCCAACTAACCGATCTTTGGCTTGAATGAGAGTTTTAAAGATTTGCATGTCTCAGCTAGCGGCAAGAGTCAGCAAAGGCCGGTTGATAAGTTTTGAGTGGATACATTCAAAGGTACAATCGCTTCCACCAATCGGTGCACGGCATCGCACCCTTCGCTGTAGACTGGTCTGTTTGTCATATAAGGGGAGTCTTTAACTGTTCAAATCGATTAGTTGACGTATACGTAAGCGCGCTCTGATTTGTCGTGATATCTGCGGCTGGGTTTGCGTATATGCACATTTAATTTGTGTGGGCTGGGTGACTGGCATATGTAATTTCCAAACTGACGAAATGCTGGAGTGTTCTTTTAAAACACTTTTGTGCACTGCCGGCACGCAGTTTTAATTATGCGCAGACGTAAGTATTATTATTATTGGTTAGTGATAGTTCAGAATTTTAAATTATTGTGGTTAAACTGTCAGCAAAGTACCTCTCCGTTGCTTTTCCATATAAAAACCAGGATATGTCGTAACTCGTAAGTAGGATCAGAAACAAGCACTTTATTCAAATAAATCATGAAAAACTCAGGAAAAAGTTATGTTTTTGTTTTCTCCTCTTCTTGAAACCGTTAAATCACTCCAAATAGAACGTCCCCATTAATTTCTTTGCCAAACTAGTAAAATTTCATTAATCCCTGCGTGCGCTGGCAAAATGGTGCCGCTCATATGAATAGTGTAACTTTATAATCAGGGGTGTTAATTAAAGTTCAGAGATCTTGGTTGAGCAAAGTTCGATGTTGTCTTGTCTTATTTCGGACCGTGGCATTGGTTGTTGCGAGGTATTTGTACAGAGTTTGACACTATGTACAAGTGCTACAAGGGGTGGACATAGCGCAACCATAACAAGAGCAACTATTCTGCACCGCGTTATGGGTGTAATACAGTAGCGTGAAAACATGCTTTATGGCTATCAAGCGGAAACATTTCTATGCGGTTAAGAGTATTGATTTGGCATCTCATCACAGTTACCTTTTAGACATATTTCTGTTTAAGTAAATATTGAAAATTTGTTCAGCCCTTTCACCTGTGCGATCATATGGAGAATGAAGTGAGTAAAAACTATGTCGGACCAAAAGTCATCCGGTTTGTTCTTGTTCACGGTGCACGTCCGAAGCAAATGGAGCGGAAACTAAAAGAGCATACACAGTTTCCTTGAACACTATCTACCTGTGCTTCCATTGATACTTATCCATTAGTGGTCTATTTAATGCGTCATTTAGCGCACTGAATAACAAGCAGACAACATAAAGGTGAGAAAAATTTGCTTAAAATTAACATTTGTATACTTGAAATGGGTGCAAGATTCACGTAAATAGCCACCTCTTTGGCATGAAAACACTTTAGCAAGTTTTTGCAGAACTGAAAGCGTTAGTTTTCAGAAAAAAAGTAGTCAGTTTCTGGGATTGTGGCATACCAGATGGAGCTCAAAAATGGTCTGCAATGAAATACTGCAGTAAAATACTGCAAATGAATTTTATTTGGTCTATAAATCGGTACACTAAATTACGTACGTATACCTGTTTGTTACAGCTTCCAACCAGACGTTGCACCATAATATAGATATAAAGCTTTTCGGGAATACGGGACGAAAGTTCGTTACCACTGTTTATCCTGTGTATACTGTACGTACAGAGCATATTGCAGTACTCGTCGAAGTCCACACAATTTAGGCACCGTATCAACATGGCCATACCTGACCGAAGTCACCGAACCATATGTATAACCTCTTTTAAGAAGCTTCTATCTTATTGCTGTTACAGCTGCTTTTAAAACTGAAGTCGTTTGTGAATAAGTATTTTTTATATTTTTAAGCAGCGTTTACAAAGCCCGAAGAAAGTCACTTCTTGCATCCACCCGCTAACTGTGCAAAACCATATCATGAACTCCATAAAAATTTTCACGTAATACGAGTATACAGAGTACATACTGAACAACTTGCCATATTAATTTTATTTGAAAAAATTGTAAATAAGTTTGACTAGCAGAAATTTTTAGTAGTTTTTACTAGCTGTATTAATTATGATGCAGCTAGTTTTGTGGCAGCGAAACATCAAGGATCGGTTGTGTCATGGCATGGTGCGCACTGCCGGCACTGGGCACCTTTGGAAGCCGAAGCTACAACAGTTTAGTTAACACTATACTACCGAATACGAGTATAACGCAATGCGCAAGCCGCACAAAACGCGAAAAAAAGCGTTAGAATAAGTACATGCATAGGTCTGTTGCGCAACTTCCAGATATAGAATTTTGCGTCACATGACACTTATTATTACAAACAACTTGTATTTTTCGGCGAACCCTTTCTACAGTTCATGTACATATAATAATATATAAAGTATAATTATTGGCTGCGCTAGCGCGCGACCAGTTGCGTTTAAGGTATGGAACTATGATTAGGGAACTAGGTGCGTGGATGTATTAAATGGGATTTTTTCAAATTTTATTTTCAACTGTTTTTCAAACGTAAAAATGCTAAAATACAGAGCTATTGGTCCCGCTGCGCGGGGTCACGTTTAAAAACATATTGAATTGTTTAGAAATACTTTTAAAATCTAGAATATAGAGGTATTGTCCCCACTGCGCGGGGCCAGCTTTAGAAACATTTTGAAATGTTCAGACGTTTTTGGAAATGTACACAAATCAACAAATACTGAATTTTCAATAAATATTTTGAAATAGTTTTGCAAATATATATTTCGAAATGTTTAGAAACTTTTAAAAATCCTAAAATATGAATGTGTACATATGACCAGTGTACCACTGTCCTAATTTGTTGTTGTACTCTGTACATGTACATAGTATTCAATTAAGCACTGTCGTTTGCTGCGCACATCATCTTGTGCGCTACACCCTGAACTGAATGTATTTTTAAAGCTATGCCCGCCGATTAAAATTTATCAACCGTGTCGTGTATAAGCGTTCACGCTGGTTAGAGCTCCATGAACAATCTTTACTCTTCCACGCCTGTAAATGTCAGTCGGTAGGCAATTCTCTTCTCAAACTGTAACAGATCACTATGGTGGAAATATGACGAACGATTCAGGAACACGAGAACTCAGGAATTCCTCAGGAACACTCCAACTACAACTTCCGGTCGTAAGTCCTGTGAGGATCGGCAAGAGCTTGGACGATTGTGTCACGAGCAAACCTTTATTCTATGCAATAATCCGGGATCGATCATGTACATCAGAAGGAACAAAAATTGCTGTCTCTTTATCCAATTCTCAACACAGTCCACAACGCAAGGAAATCGTAATTAGGAAGCAGTCTCAGAAGTAAATCCCAGACTACTGATACCGATATTAGAAGTGACAAGAACTTATATAGACGCCGTGTTATGACATCATATACACCGCTAGTAAAAGAGGACAGCAAATCACAGCTTAGATTGACTAGATTATTCGTTCTGTTGCAGGTGGAAGGCGGACAGTCAGCATCCGTACGTACATCCCGGCGTGTGATCATACTCCCACACGTCAACCGGACAATGGTCAGCCGCATATAACCACTGCGCACATATTTAAGCGCAACCTTTAAGTGCGCAATTTGTTGCCCGAAAGAGCTTTACTTTAGCGTTCTTGATGAAGCCAAAAACTGAAAAAGTGTAGTTTTTAGTTTAGCAGCGTGAAGGAGTACTGCAGTTTGCATAAAAAATGTTGTCTTGAGCCTATAAGCTGCACAAGCATAGCGCACGTTAGACTCCATTCATATATTGTATAAATATATACATATATACCTATACTTCAGAAGAAAACGTGCGTGTGCTTCATGGTAGGAGAATGTATGAGCCAGCAAGGATCGTGAAATCCATAACACCCTAAATTATCCAACGAGGCTAACAATCTTCGAAAGTTTCGTACATTTATCTGGTTTGTATCCTTGCGCTACAGCAAATTTATGTTAATATTTGTTTTGTTCAGAACCCCTGCACTGGAAATCAGAGGATACAGACACAAGCCACCATAAATCTGACCGGTTTAAAACTGCATAATTACGGTATCATTGTTGCCAGCTGAACGAGGCAAAGACAATCTTGCCACGACGCATTACGCCACTATTCTGCTTTTTTTAAATTTACGAAAGTTGGCGAGAATAATCTGGGATTCAGCTGTAAGTTCTGTACGAATTAGAATTTTGATACAGCGAAGGTAGACAAAACGAACACGATAACAGTATGGTGGTTATCATCAAACATGTATATTTTGTATCGTGACAACAGAATACTATAATACGTTATCAGCTGTACTTTGTAGCATGGCATGCAACTGAATAACTGAAATTGACATTGAATAGTTTGAGCACCACACTTAGAAGGTGACTACCGTAAACTGACCGGAACATATTATGAACAACGGGTAGTAGCTTGCATCGGTACAATACATATTGTACGGATATGTTTACCGGGACCCTTTAACTGCAATAAGATAATTATACAATACAATCAAGTTGTCGTACATGTGGTGAGAGTGAATTCAATAAAATAATAGTAATTCTACTACAGCTTACATGCATTAACACTATTTAAAAACCTTTTGGAAATTTGGAAGAACATCGAATAATCTCTGGCGGTTTATCACTACCAGTTAATTAAAACTTCAAATAAAAATGGTACGATTGCTATCGTTAGTACTCCTCGTCTTCCTCCTGCAGACGCCGGTAAAGACCGTTGACCGTGGCCTCTATGTTGGTGACTGTCGCTGCTTTTCGTTCCTTATCCCCATCCGCGTTGCCAGCGATAACCGAGCGGCTCACGGACATTTCACTGACCAGCACCGAGTGACCATCAGAATTGCCGGCATCCGCTAACCAACTGGCGACGGTTCGGTACACCGCCACTCCCACGCCAATGGACGCTCCCAAGGTCATAAAACTAACAATGTACAACACCAGGGAAACGTATTTGAGGTTCTCCTCGTCCCACCATGGGAGGGCTTTAAGCAATTGGTTGTCTTGTTCAGGCGGTACCTGCCCCATGGAATTATCGAAATATCCCGTTAGGGGCACCAGTGGAAGATTCATACAGCGGATGATAAAGATTAACAGCGTGTTCACAGCGGCCATGATGCCGACAGCGATGTGGCTGATGGCTATGCAACGAGTTCGCCCATCCGAAGTCCAGCGTCGCGAGTTCAACAGGGCACACAAACCGGCGAAGACGACGGAAATGCCACTGACCACCCCCATCCCGGATACGAACGGATGCTCGACATTTCCCTCGAGCATGTATGCTGGTAGAAGGAAACACTCGAGTAAATTTATTATGAACAAAACAATACAGAAATGAAGGATAAAAACATAAAGAAATAATACGTGGAGCACAGAACATTAACGTGTAAGGTATACAAGGCGCATTAAATATTTTAGTCGCACTGTACCGTAGTTAATCTCATTGTTACCGTTAATCTCATTGTTATAGTTAATCTCATTGTTACAGTAGTAATTAATAACTGGGTCGTAGTGCATATGAAGGAGGCTTTACGCGGCTGTTCATAGGCACTACGTATATATTCAGCACAACTGCATTTTTGCTCGTTATGGGATCCTTATTAGACTGAGAAGCTCGCATTCGCATCTACAATATACCAATGGATTCGAGTGTCGTTATTGTGAATCCCAGTAGCAATTCCAGAATGGCGAACAAGCGAAGTAGCGCGATATCCCGTGGAGAAAGGCTTTCTGATAAGTACGCGCGATAGCCGAGTTCCTTGTAGGGATGCATTCTGGTTTAAGTGATTTCTTCTACGTTTACCGGTCAAATCGGACGTATTGTCCCGTTCTGGAAAAATTCATTTTTTACATCAAGTAGCCGACATTAAAGAAATGTACCCGAGCACAAAGTGGAGATGCAAAAAACAATCTTTTAGATACAAAGCCATTGTTAACGTTCACCGTTCACCAAAACAAACTTCAAAACGTTAATTGAAATCAAAGTGAAATTAAATCATGTGTAACTTTGTAAGTACTGTAATAGTATGATCCATATCACCCCGAATTCCCGAAAGTATCCGATAAGAAACTAATTACACATAAAAAAAAAATTAAAAAATTAAAAATCTACGAGATTATGAACCTCGGAACAATCTTCAAAAGGTAACGTACAGTAATAAGAAGAAGAAACTGACAGCTCCTTCCAGAATCTGTAAGGGAGGAATAGTGCAATATAGTGTAACTAACTTTATGATTCCCACAGAAAATTCCCAGAAGCTAGTTCTTTGAAAACCCTTGGTTTTGAAAAGTTTATAATGGCAGAACTGGTATTACAGCTGTATTAGCTTGTGATGCAAAGACGAGCATCACAAGAATTTACAGTCCACTGCGAGTACTCTTCCGTGGTAAAGAAACATATGCATGAAACCTTGTGCTAATGCACGTCAATCGTTTTTCCGTCAGCGTGAACGATCACGAGCGTACACTCGTTATAGACTTTTCGCCATTGTAAAGCAGGTGTACTTTAACATCGTCAGCGATGTGCCATTATTTACCATTTTTACCTTGCTGAGCAGTAAAAGGTGCCGAAGCACATATGTACTCGTACGCGTGCTCACAATCAGGTAAGTCGAATAATATAAAATTAATCTTTACAAGCCAAATGTAAGCAGTCAAACGCGACCCATGTTGTTTTTTGCCGCAAGCAGTGCGCTGCATTCGTCAACGCAGTATTATCATTACTATTATGACTGTCTTTACGTTTTCTTCTCCGCTAGCTAGGAGTATGCAGTGTGCACCGTGGGTTTGTTATGACCTAAAATACGAAAGAATCCAATACGTCAAATAACTCGTGTATGTCCGGTACCACTATTAAATTAAGAAAACAATAACATCACTTATTCTTAAGCCGATTTAAGCGTTGACTCAATCTACTCATTATGCGTAAAAAGTGGGTTTGGGAAAACGGGAATGGTTGAAAACGATGGCCGGGTACGTGTTTTCCCAACCATTACTTGACACAGAGAGAATTGAGCTGCACAATGGTGTGATGCGATCCTCTCGGGCCGGGGTATTCATCGAAAAAATAAAAAAATTGAAACCGAAATTTGAATGAAAAAGCTTCTTTATTAATGATGTAATATACATTATTGTGCATGTTTTCTGCTAGAAAGCTTATATATCGAAACATGCTAAAAAACGTTTAGCAAAAGTCACTTGTTTGGATCTAGAAAATCCGGAAAGCACCGATCTGTGGTTTAGTTATAGCAATGTTTATTTTCTGTGATACAAAACATCATGCATCATCAATGTCTATAAAAAAACGAAACTACAAAGGTTACGCATAAAACTAAATTTGGGATCAATATCAGTGCCGAGATATACATTCGTGGATAGCCATATTTCCGTTCTACCGCCATTTTCAATCTGCACATTATATTATTCCGTTAACAGCTGATTTTCTTCTCGTGATCCTTCGGAGATTCCCGATAACTTACGCAGATCCTTCTTCTTAATTACAGCTTTCTTGACCTTAGTGTAAACCGTTTCCGATGGGGTGCGGAACTCCACATCGTATCCTTGGTCCGAAACCTCTCCTTCCTGACCTTCTCCATTTTCACCATCTAGTTCATGCTCATCTACACAGCTTTCCGGCAGCTGCAAATGCACAACCCCGGAGGCATCCTGTACTAATTTCATGTATCGGTACTGATAGTTTCGTGCGCTCCTGTAGAGAAGCACAACAATAATCACGAGCACGATGCCCACAAAGGTCAGTACGATGAGAGTAATTTGGACAGACAGCGGGACGGAAGCGCAATCAATTTTCTTAGTTAAACTCGCCGACGAATTGGTTTCCAGGCAGTAAGGAACAGCATGATAGTACAGATTCTGCCGTCCGGAAGAACACTCACCGCGCACGATGGTGTAGTCCTTGGGTCCGCAAAGTGGACAAGCATAGGGCGTTAGAAAAAGAAAGTGATAATTGCACCCGTCGCAAGTTCCATCCGGACAAGCGCTAGGAACATGGATTTCCAGAGACGTGACATTTTTGCTGCATCGCAAGGTGATGATCGTGCTCCGCCCGGCTGGGCAAGATGCGCTCGTGGAAGCCAGTGAACGGCAAAAATAATGGAAATCTGGAGCATCGTTGGTTGAGAATTCGGCTGTTATATGGTCAAAATGGTTTTCCGCTGTTATGGATTCATATTGCAGTTTTTCGCTGATCCCGATAAGTTCTTGACCAGTGACGAAGGACTGGACTGAGGTGGTGCTGTTTGATCCATCCGGTGGGCAGCAGAATAGTCGATCGGCAAATTAATCCGGAAAAGGAATTTCGCGAATTGGAAACTCCGACCTTGTAAACGGTGTTAGAGCACGTCGCTGTTTCACTAGCACAGAAGCTGATATTGTACTGATGATAGTACGTTTCACCGGTCGCTTGGAAGAAATGTTTTGTTGTTTTCGTACGATATCCTTGTAAAGATGTCGCGTCGTAGTGTTTTTTCCCACTTCGCAGGGTGGATTTGCAATTAGCCACGCATTTCCCATTGGAAGCGACAAGATTTTCTCCACACGGCACGCATGTTCCGGTCTGGGAGGATACCACATGATTCGGGGGACAGGACTCGCATTTTTGAGTAACTGTATTAAAATGCTGGTCCGTTGGGCAACGCATACACTTCCCGCTGTTTTTGTCGTTGCAAGGTTTGCAGCTCACAGCGCCGCCATCGAGGGTGTTGGTTAAGCGAATGGAAAAAATTCGCACCATGTCTTTTCCGTATTTACGCGTGCTTCCATCGCCGGTAAAAATTCCCTGGGAAATTTGTTTTACGAAGATCCAGGACAGTGCTACGCTGGCATTACGTTTGATGGCAAAGTCAAACGTCTGCCGCCGCTGCGATCCAGACCATGAGCTGACTCGTCCTACGGTTTCCGTGTCTTCCAATACGAAATCTAACTGCAATGGAAAAAATAAGCATATCTACAGTACAGTACTTCGTACCTATCTCGTAGTAATTGCAAGCATACAGCAGTATTGTACCGTGCTTAAATGAAAAATAAAAATAATTAGGTATTTGTATGAAAAGAACGGTGAAGTAATTAACGGAGCTGGAGCCAAACGAGAAATAAATACAAAATAATAAATAATAATAATAATAAATAAGTACAGAAATAAATACAAAAATTCTAATTTTCCAGTGTTGTCTAGTCAGTGCCAGCGTCCAAGCATGCATGTATGCCAGCTCAAGCAACAAAAACGAAAGCCAGAAGGTAACAAACGATTTGTTTTACCTGACAGGTCGGGCTGATACAAACTATCTCAAATTCAAAGGACAATTTGGAGAAGACGCCGTCGGCATCGGAATCTCTGAACCCAGCGGAAACAAGCTGGAGCACCAACAACGCATCATCCTCGTGTCCATAACCAGTAATGACACTGTCGTTATTCAGTTGCCAACCCGCCTCGTTGGCGCACCCCATCGGCGTCGGGCTCCAGCACAGCGACGCCACGCCGAATGGAAAATAATTCCACTCAGACAAATCGTAGAAATACGCCGGCACCCACTCGGTAGCGGGGCAGTTTTGACATATGCCGCGCTCGTCAACAAATTGACTGTCCTCGCAGGCATCGCAAAAGGTCGCGTTATGCCTTACCATACCTTTAGGACACCTGGGACAAAGAATTTTCTCCGGAGGAGGTAATTGTGCCCCGCCCTCGTCTTGACAGATTTTCGGTTCAGTCCAGGCGTAAGAAACACGAGTATAACCATCCGCTTGGCATTCCTGCAGCACTTTACGGTAATCATCTGCAGTGCAGCGGGAACGGTCAAAACACTGTGAAAATCCCGGTAAAGCGTACTGATGTCTCGGACAGTCCAGGCAGTGGACACTGCCTTTTAGTGACCAGGAATTTTGTGGGCACTCCACGCACTTCGATGAGCCTGTTGTACTGAATGTCCCGGCCGGACATGGCGTACAGACGGCACTGTACTTCACCCCCGCCACGACAACACTACGGATCCGTATCGGTTTGTAGCTGGAGTCTTGCGATCCCGAGGCGATACTGATCGCTGTCCACACCAAATTCTGTTTACCTTTCTGCAGAGCTATTTTGCTTGATGACCATAAAGTGCGATATGTCTGTTCTGGGAAGGTTTTTATGCTCTGCGTCTCCTTTAGTCGGCCGGTTGCCGTTTTGCATTCCGACCGTATCGTGGAAAACATGAACATTAAACTCGATTCGGGATACTGGTATTCGAATTCCACGAACCCATCCTGAATTAAATCCACTTCCAGTAGTAGTTTGGCAATGCAGCCCTCGCCTTCCTCCAGGGCAATGTAATCTCCCCGTGGAGTCCATGTTTGCTTGGTGCACGCGCTGTGCAAGCTGTTATCTGTGCCGCTAGTGTCGAATAAATGAGTTAGCTTGTTTGTTTGCATCAGCGGAGCCGACTGCGTTGAAAACCCACGCGGAAAGCTAGTCCAGTCGGCAAACTTTTGCGCATTTCCAACAGAGAACGTTCCACCGGGACACTGGGTGCAGTTTAATGCCTCCAGATTGTAAAAGTATCCAGGCTCGCAGGTGATATCTGAAATGTTAGCGTTAGAGAAAATACTGACATCAAGCATCGTTCCACCTGCAATTCTAGGTTTATATTCAGTTTCACTTCCTTATAATTGTATACGATGTATAAGCCGATATGGCATTCTTGTTCGTCACCTTTGGTTACGTTTCGGGCAGCCAACACCAATATGTTTTTTGTAAGCAGTTAACAGCTTTATTTTTGCTCGATGAATCCTTGCTGCTATAAAAATGTCTGCAGACGAAGACAATTCTGTATGTAATTTATATATGTTATAGTCACAAACTCACAAGCAACGGTGTAATTTGCAAGCAACGGTGTAATTTTCAGTCACCTTGTTTCCGGTCGGGTAATTGATTACTACTATGAACAGAAGTATGGATTGTTTTCGCAAATCAAGAAAAGAGGAAAAGGCATAGTTATGAGATTTGATATTACAGCCACTCCGACTTTATACGGAGTAGCTGCAAAAATCGATAACATATGTTTCTAAAGCGCTGATGATAGTCGCTTACCACACGTTGGTATCCGTAACGGCGTACTCGGCTCCGGCGTGCAACGGAAAGACTCGTTGAAAGGCACTACTACGCGCCACACGCCGTTGTCTTCATCGCATTGTGTCAGCGCAAATCTGGCAGCTTCCTGTATGAAAGCAAAGGGAGACTACTATTGGTTCATCCAATATAAAAACACATTTTAAGCAGAATTCCCGTTCTTACCTTGCTGCACGTTGGAAGAAGACTGCAGTACAGATACTGCATGTAATATAATGCGGTCAAAAGAAACGCATATGATGAAACGGTACGAGTGACCATTTTCTTCAAATATTTAGTTGGAACTTCTCAACTTTGTCAGATAAATCAAATAACGGAAAACCATGATTATGTTGTACATACTTCAGCAGGACTCCTAGAGTTAATTCCCATTAGAAACACACTCAAACGTTACTTCCTGTCCCGACTATTAAAGAATTTACCATTAAAACTACGGACTATGTTGAAAAAGCGTAGCTCGGCTGCATTTAGGTTTTTAGCAACAGATGGAAAACTGACGTTTCATATTGTGGAGAGCGATCCCGATGTACGTGGATAAGGCGACCCGGATCAATGCAGTACCGTTGGAGTGGGAGATTAGTCCCCGTATTACGCACAACCTGCGTCCCGAAGCTGCAGTCACGCTTCCGCTAACCCAGAAAGGGGAGTCTGCTAGGCACAAGCGCATAAGCGGTCGGTGTATACGAAAGTTTGTATAAATTATGAAAGAATGATATCCACCTTATTGCACAATAATACACTTCAATAACGCATTATAAAAATCAATACCTAGGTACAGTTGTATTGGGCAGCTGATCCATGAAATTCTTTACGGATACCTTTTTGACAGGAATACCGGAAAGTATTTTGTAAATGTATTCTACTGTAGCAAGTTGCTATCGGTTTCTGAAAACATGAACGCAGTAACGCGAAAGCACGGTTTATGAAGAGAAAATGAAAAGTACAGGGATATATAAATATGTATCCCAAAAGTCTATGGAAAAATCTAGCCGAATTTTTCAGCGGCTAGTGACATTACCGTAATCACAAATGTTTCATCAAGATACCACTGCTTAACTCTTGTTTGACATTAAGCCCATAAGAGCTGCGATCCAATGCCTATTCATAAAAATTTCTGGAACACCTAGAGTAGGTCTTGGCCAAGTCAACGCGTATGATATGCGCAGTTTTGTATAATGCGACCAAAGCAAATATTTTTTACATACCTACAAGTACAATGGTAAGCACAAAAACGTGTCCAGCTAATTCTGTTAAATTGTTAACTATACTTTGAAGTAATGATACTACAGTAAGAGTATTTTACTGCGCTTGATCTCTATCGACCGAAGCGAAGCGAAGGTCCTCTATGTTCAAGAAAACCGGACTTTTGTCGATCACGTCAGTCACGCCTTCATATTTTAAATAAAATTCTTAAGAGGGAAATAATGTTAAAAACTATATTTAATATCTAATAATAACACCAAAAATGATAAATGGGAAATTTTAGAAAAAATCTTATTTAATTTTGTTTCCCGCTTCGCTTCGGTCTTTCAGTGCTAGCCAAGTTGTACGTAGCTACAATTTAAACAAGATTTGAAATTTTTAAGGTTTGTCATGTCACCATCATTTACGATATTACACGATGTTGCTCAAAATCAATTCGGTTTTAGTCAACGGGTTTGCCGCTGACATTAGCGGCGAAAGAGGTGCTGGATATCCAGGAATCAGTCTGAATGGTTTTCAAATTTGTTTTAGTCTGTCAGTGACGTGCACCGCCGGCACTTAAGGTTACAATTAGAAGGAAGTGTTGGCAAATTCCCGACACTGCACTGCACTCCGGTCTATGCAGATCGCGTTCGGCTGAACCTTCCGATGGTACAAATGGAGTATCGTACGGAGAGCTGTGTTTGTCCTTCCAGGTAGACTACATTCATAAATCCCAGAGAACACGGCTACGTCAGAATATAGTGCAGTCTGGGGCTATGACCCTGGATGAATTATGCTGAAATGACAACATTACATCAAGACCTGCCGCGCAGATTATTTGCCCAATGAACAAAATATTGCGACTATATATGAAGTACAAATAAAATTTGTACTGCACTGTACCACCGTTAGCTAGAGTCAATGTGCAGAGGTGCTGTACATTATTTTTAGGGAAATTGAATAGGGAAGTTCTACTGAATTGCATTTTAGACGAATTATAAATAGTTTTTTCCTCGCTAACATATGTACTATATATTGGACAAAATTATAGCGGCATTGCGGCATACGGAAATTGATAATCCCTTCCGTTTGCCCTTGCATTCTTGCTGATTTGTTTTCTCATGGACCCTATATTAGGCGCATAATTTGTATCGCAATTAATAGCATAAATACAGTTTTACCATAAATAACCTTTAATTATATAACTTGCAAAGTGCAAGTACCAAACGTGCGCCCAACATGCCGGCTTTGGCACACAACCACAATTTCTTCCACCTGTTGCTTAAATCGCTTGTCCTGCTTGGTAAGCTTTAAAAATGATTTTATACGAAAGGTAATTATTTTGTTGGATAACGTAATTTAAAATCTTCCTAGCTGCGGTTAACAACTTTAATTTTAGGGATCTGTTTCGGTTTGCATGTACGAACTGCGAGAGGCATTTCGTATTCACGAACTTACTTGACTGACAGATCCTTGACGCCGGCATACAACACGAACCTGGCCGCTTATATCACTCAGAAGCATAATGAAGTACGTGCTCGGGTTTCTCCTCCGGCTGCCGATATGCTGAAAATGCGCTGGAGCTCCAGTGCCGCTCAGAAGGCACAGGACTGGGCAGACCAGTGTCGCGGAGGTCACAACAGCGCTTCGGAACGAAGAACTACGCGTAAGTGCGATAAGTTGACAAAAAAAGTTGTTCGTGTTGTTTTCATATGCCAGAAATCTATAGATATCTCTGGTAACACACCAAAGATATCCACGGAAACTAAATTCAAACGTTGAATAATTAACACTAGCGTTATTGAACGATAATGGTAACCAGGAAACATATTTTTGTCGCAAGAAAATTTCATAGGTTGCTGTATAACTTCTACTCATAATTGCCAGCGTTTGATAGCACTAATTGTGAATGCATATTGCATGCAGAATTCGGATGCGGACAAAATTTATTGCGCACATTTAACGGACCGTTCTCGTGGAACGATGTTTTGCAAATATGGTCTACCGATGAGGCGCGATTTTTTCGTTATGGACATTCGGGAAACAATCCCAGTGTGGTCGGACACTATGTTCAGGTATTCGGCCTTTGTCTAGTTTGGGCATTTGCTAAGGTAATTTATTTACTATCACACAATTTCGCAACAATTGCGGCTTCTGGCGTGCTGGTCGGAAATATGTTTTAATAGACATAGTTGTATTGTTAGATGATCTGGGCTGGAACTTTCCAAGTGGGTTGTGGATACCGGAATTGTGGATCGTGGCAGCTGTATGTCTGCCATTATTGCCCCTCGTAAGTGCTCCTGTGCATTTATGTATCCATCCACATTCAGTTAATACTAATTAGAATTTTTAAATTTCAAACATAGTGATTATATACCACATACAATTAGATCACTAATTAACCAAATCATCATCGTGCAGCTGACCTTTCTTCGATCGGGTTAGCGGAATTGTTATGTTACATGAAACTGCGATCGAATAAATTATAAAGTACTTATTCTCGTATTATCAGTATACAAGTACATACTCAATGGGGCAACGGTAGACAATTGTAAGCGTTGAAACTCAACTCAAAACATAGAATATTCTACGAGTAAACTGGAACCGCCTATGACTGTCTTGTACTTATTTTGTTACATTATTCTGGCAAACTAACTAAAATAGAAAAGGATCGTGATCTTCTTTTGCAGAAGCGCATCCAATTACCACGACGCGCTTCGGCCTTATAAAGCCGGAACCGCATGCAGTGCTTGTCCTGGACAGTGCCACCACAATCTTTGTGGTAAGTGCGGAAGACTGGAGGTTGTTTTTAAGACATTTACAGTGCTCAATAATGCTTAAGCTGTAGACTGCAGTAGAAACGTTCGTTCTGGGATGTTCTAAATTTGTTTTTATTGCAGTAAATAGTTGTCCTTACGAAAACCGTTACTCCAACTGCGAATATATGGCTAGATATCGCGGATTATGCCAACATCCAACCCTGGCAAGCGGATGTAAAGCCTCATGCCATTGTGGCAGCCGTAACCTCCTCTATACCCCGTAAATGCACTGGAACATAGTTTCAGTTCGGATTCGTGATCGAATCAGCAGTCGTTATATTTTAGGAGTTTTAGCTGCAACTTTAACAAAGATTTTAAGTACTGTACTGATTTCTTCCATGTCGAAATGCATTTAGGAGCAATGCTTCTTAATCTTCCTTTTAAATCGCCCGAAAAGTGCATTTAATTTATAATGTTATAATAATGGAGTTTATTATGAAACGTTCCAAGCTGTTTTATAACTGGGGGTATTATACGTCCAGTACTGTTATCGACTGACTTGTTTTGTTTGTTTTGTGTTTGTGGGTTAGCGGTATACCTGTGAGTATTTTCGTCTTCTGTTTGGTTACTTAATTTAAGTAAGCCACGCGGTTAGATACCGGAGACTGATTGTTGCCAGTACTTAATTTAAAGCATGAAAAGCGCTATTTCATAACAAAAAATCATGAAAAAACTACTACGGGCAGTTTAAATTTAATCGCTGCTATAAGCAAGCTCAAAGCAATCACTGCCTTATATTTTCTCACTATACCAATAAGCAATACTTCTCCAATCATTTCAGAAAAGCTAGGCACAGAATTAAATTTGAGCGTAAAGTTGCAGCCGAATTCGGCGCGCGACAATGGAACATTTACACAAATTTTCTTCGCTGCTGCTACGTTGATCTGATTACTAAACTGATAAACTTTAAATTTATCAAGAGCGCGTGCAAATCTACGAACACCTGGTGTTTTGACCTACAATTTTTATGCCCATCCGTTGTATGTATTCATCTGCATTTTCCATGCCGCTCACGAATGAATGCTATACCGTCGTTTTCTCTTCTCTGTCGAAATTAATAGGATGGCGGTGTCATATTCAAAACTCAACCGCCACGCGCCGTCTGGCTATAATTTCAAGGGCGCATATGCCGGGATACAGCGGCACACACCGTACGCGTCCATACATTTAAAATGGATGCTGATCTACATGAACGTATTAATATTCACCATTTAACGGCTGGCGCGTGCCCTTCCGATCACACGTCATGCAGATTCAATACATGCTGCACGCACTTCTATGACATTAGAATTTGCGCCATCCGACTGTACAGTGTACAGCACGGACATCTGAGTACAGTACAGCCGTAATCCCGCCTCGCAACGTCCCAGTTCGATTTTTCCGTTCATTGGAAAGTGCGCACACAATGAATTGATTATTGCCAATCATACGTCTGCCCTTTCCAATATCGATCGTAAGAACATGCACATTTGCGCTCATGTTGTACTCGTACGCAATCGATCGGCAATTTTTCCTGCTTCCTCATCAAAGTGTCCCGGTGCACATCTGCTTTGATGGCAGTTCAAAGATTTACCTACTATATCGTCCGACAGGATACGATCATGGACGATGTCGATGACGATATCTCCGATCCACATCTGGTATGGTGACAAAAATCTAAATATTTATACTATAGCAACATTATTCGTACTGTAACAGTACAGTATTTATTTCGGAGGTTGATTTTTAGATCTGCGCCAGTGACACGCTGGAGAAGGTTCCGCTAGAGATCTCGCATATTCCATCCAAGTGTCCTTTACGCAATGCCTCTCCTGACTGCTGGCAGTGGCATCCTCCACGATCCGCTCAGGACGTCCTGCTGTGTGACGATCGGACCGTGATCTTTCATCCGTCGTGGAGTAACAGCACCCAAGCGGTCCGTGGCACACGGCAGCTCAACGGTCAGTTGTGCTACTGGGAAGTGGTCTTCGGCAGCCGCGTATTCGGGACGGCCATGATGGTCGGCATCGGGACGGCCGATGCGCGCACCTCCTCCACCGTGTTTGAGCCCTTATTAGGCAATGATGGCGAGAGTTGGGGACTGTGCCATAAGGGATTCATCCACCATCAGAAGCAGCAGCGGCGCTACTGTGATCCTTTTGAAGAGAACACGCCAACGGTGATCGGCGTGCTGTGCAATGGAATGGACGGAACGGTGACCTTTTATAAAGATGGTCACTCTCTCGGCGTGGCGTTTCAGGGTGTGAATGAATGCAAAAAAGAACTGTATCCCATGGCGAGCTCCACGGCCGCCAAGACGGTGATGCATGTGCGGAATATGCGACGCTGCTTCGGCGGACTGCAGGATCGATGTCGTGATGTCATTTTGCGCAGTGTCAATGAGCCGGCGGATGTGATGCGCTTGCCCTTGCCCTACCATCTACGGGCCTTCGTGTTCCAGCATGCGTGGAAGACGGTAAATAAATCCTGTTTTGTGATGGAATGAAACCTCAAGAAATCAGTTCATCTTTAATCGTGGAAAAAACTGTATATGTACTTTTCACATTCCTTATCTAGCGTGGTTCCAGCCTTTATAACATTTAAATTTTTTCTTTTGTGGTACAATTTTGTTGTACCTCCATTTGCGTCAATATCAAGATATTTTGTAATTCCTGCATGATATTCTCTATGGGATGAGTGGGATCTAGTCAATTTGGTTCCAAAAGGTTGTTATGTTGTCTCTAACTGATACAAATGTAAACCGCACCTTTGCGTGATACATTGCTTTTGTTGAAAGTATTGTTGCTTGGTCTCCGTTTGTGATGTGAGTGTTTACTTATTTATTGTGCCCAAATTCATTAAAATTACTGTTGGCCAAAATACTCTGCGTCATGTATGCATGTAAATCTGTACATATGCATTATTGCGAAGCCTGAACAAGGTTAAAATGCATAGTTGTAGCGCGCCGTTTTTAAAGTTGTGCCAAATTAGACATATCGTGGCAAACGAAACAAACAACATTTTAATGGGTTTAGCACTGTTAAAACTTGAACACAGAACATATTAACTTTCTGAAATCTAGAGTAGAGTAATTAATGTATCTTAGCAACCATGGTTTCAAGCGCCACAAGTAACGACGATCCAAGATTTAACCCCTCCTCCATTCATTTCGGCTCATGTTTTAAAACTTTGAATATCAAAATAATTTGCTATACAGAAGGCCCTATAGCCTACAGCATCACATGGAAGCAACTACCCATACTTAGTTTGTAACTCTGCATTGCACCGCACGAGAAAGGTCAGTCACCTCATCAGCTGGAGCGATGATACACTTAATTACGCAGTCCTCCTTTGTTTTACTTGTAAATGTCTGAATTTACCTTTATGAAGCATGTGTAATTGCGGCTATTGTCACGAAGCAGACAGACAGACAATCTTCCCTTCCAGTGGCTGCAAATGTTGTTCAGTCTAAAATATGGCTGGGTAATTCAAGCCTGGTGGTTGAAAAATGACCAGCTTGCGTCTGCAAGTCTGATTATTGTTGCTCAATGGCTTCGACAGAACATCTGCTCGCTTTACGATTATAATTCTCATCATACAAATTTGCCCCTGTATTTCACTCACCATCAGAGTTAGTTCACAAAATGTTTGTTTGGCCACGGCGGAATTAAAAATGTTGTGGCCGTACCTACACTGCCCGTTTTTAGGCTTTATATAGTATATCTATATGACTATATAAATATCTATATTAAAAGTACATGCCGAATTACAGAGATCGCTCATTCCGATCGGCAGTTGTACCTATAAATAAAATTCCTTTTTGCTGGCTGACAGAATCAGTAGAGCTACTTTGTATACTTCTATAGAAATTTCACGATGACGCAAGAACATTCTTTACCACTACTACAAACAGTTTAATTACGGGTACGACTTAGGAGTATACATTTTATCTATATAATAACTTTTATATATTATGCAATACGTATGTACAATACAACTGTAGAAGTACATTGGCTCGCTGTATAGTGTATAGTACAACTGTACATGCTTAATTATTCGTAAAGTTCTGTGTGTAATTATCTATTAGTAGAACTTGTAAGAACATACAACACATATCAAATTTTTATACGGTAAATTCGGTGTTTTCCGTTTCAGTTTAAACACACAGAGTACAGTACAGATATACGTAACATGAAACGGTCTGATTTCTACGAGTGCAGTTTCAAAACCCACATTTTGTCCAAACTGAACATGGGTAACTAAACAATACTGCCATAAGTACACAGAAAACGTTAGTCGTTATACGAGCACAAAATTAAATGGCATAACTGCGACTCAACGCCACAACAGATTCCGTTCTTTACCAGCATTGGCCACTTATTCATATCACTGCCAAAATTTTTTGTTCCAGAGTTCCTAACGTTCATGAAGCAGAGCGCAGGACTGACTAGATTGCCAATTTGCCATACAAAAAAAGCCATCTTCAGTAAGTAAATTTTATTCATTTCAAGGGCAAGGATATCAAACAGTCTTTAAAAACTGAAACCAATCAAACAAAGAATTACACAATATCACCAACCGAAACATGAACATCATTCAGCATTGCTTGAAACAGAAATACTTAGACATATAAAATACCGTAATCAATTCACACAAATTTTTATGCAAGAGCACTGTAAATACTGGCAAAAAACGGAAAATATACACTAAAATATACACAAAATATTATCGCATTACAAACAACGTTTTAGCAGCTGGTGGGCTTCGATACAGCAAACTTTGACCCACTCAGATCGCCACCCTTTTTCCCGGAGCCCGGCTTTTGCGCAACCGTCGGTTTGCTTTTGAATTGAGGTTTGGGAGCCACTGTGGGTCTTATCACATCCGCCCCAGTCAGCCGGGGCGATGCCACAGCTTTCAAACTCTCTAGAAGCTCATCAATAGACGCCGATGGATCCGAATAGGTTTTCTCGTGTCTGGGCGTGATAGGAGCGCGTTCCTCGTACGAATGCAAGGAAAAATTATTCAAGCTCGGACTTCCAGGTGCCTTTGCTGACTTGATCTCTTCTACAGCGATTCCCAGCTTCGTTTCGCCTTTTTTCATAGTCCCTTGATTCGATCGCGCAAACCGTTCAGCAGCCGTCGTATCGGGACTGTTGTCCGATGTGCAACCCGTCAAATACGACGGGCTGGAAGACTTGATAGGCAGATTCATCACGAGATCAGGTGTACCCACATTATCTCCACAGGATTTCTCGCGTCTCAACGTTATGGGCTCATACAAAGAAACGACCATGCCCGCTTCCAACTTCCGGTTCGCTGAATGGGGCGACGATGAATCGCCGCCAAAATAATAGCGGGGTACATCTTTGGGTATGGGCGAGGTCAACGGACGCGGCGAGCGGGGTGACGGGGGGATAGGAGTAGTTTGCACGGGATAAGCCGCATCGGCGCTCAGGTGGCGACAATACTCGATGTTCTTCCGGCGCCTTTCTTCCAGGGTTTCCCGGGGAGTTTTCTCCGTGATCACCAGCTGCTCGGACAAATTTTTGCTTACTGTTGAACCATCGGCGTCGCGATTCGACTTGACGCTATCATTAGTCGGGGGTTCATGGTTGAGCTTTACTGGGCTACTACGCGGGGAAAGGTCCAGGGTAGAAAGACTGTAACCGGTTGTTGCATCCTCACCGGAAGTGGTTGTGCTACCACTACTAGCACTACTGCTCTCCAAGGAACCGGTTAGCGATGAATGCAGGCCGGTTTTGCCGTTCGTTAAACCATTCTTGACCGATGATCCCGAAATCCTATAAGAAATAACCATTTTATAAACCTAAACAGATCGTATTTCCGCATCTTAATGGAACGCTATGATGAATTTTTCAGTGACGTGCGACCATATCGAAATTGAATAAGATTTGATAGAGTGAATAAGTAACTCTAACCGTATAAACAATAAGTGAATCAGAGCCCAGAATCCTTATCATTTTGTAAGTCAAGTATCAATTTCACCACGCACCAAGAACATTTTCAACTCAATCAACCAAAATTCATGTAATCGAATTTAATTCGCAACAGTAACTTAATTTTCCTATTTCGCTCATAGTAATTTTCCGGAGGCCGTTCTCATACTGGACCTGCGTTTGATTTCGATGTACTTGTCCGGAATTAGACCTTCAGCCATAGTGCCGGTAAGCAGTCTGGCTCTCCACCATTCAGGATTTATCTGGTGCAACAGCAACAACAGATCACCTTTGCGAACAGTCAGCTCCGACAGTGTTCGGGCAGAAAAATCGAAAACAGCAGTCGCTTCATAATGTTCACCCTCTACAAACACAAAAATTTACCGTTAAACCGTAAGCAGAAAAAAGCACTGCACAATCGTAAACATGGCGACAGCACAGAATCTGATTCGGCGCATAAGATCTTTACTAGTACAGTATAAGGTCAGTTATGTGTACTACTTCAAACAACTATCCTTTAGACTGTGCAGCCGCACATTTTTTAAAGTGACTCTGACACCTTAACACAATAAAAAGGCCTAATTTATGCAGTATGCAATGCAATTTATTTATGCAATTTATGCCGTCTCTGCGAACACCAGTCGTTGTGTTAGTTTTCGGTTAACGACAAATGCATTTATTACTCATAAATTAATCAAATCGATCGGCAATGATAGTAGCTTACCATCCTCGCTGGTATCGGGCATGATTTGTTCAGTTTCGTCATCGGACAAATTTTCTGAGCTTCCCAGAGCATCATGCTCGGTAATCTCGCCAACATCCACGTCATACTTTTCATAAACCACACCAAAATTTTGCGGAAAAATATCCTCTTGGTAGAGAAAGATATTCTTGATCAGCACATTGACACGCTGCTGATATTGTACTTGATCGCGCGATTCCGGAATGGGCAGCAGCGTTGGACCGAAACAGATGGCCAGATTGAAGCGATCCATCATATTTTCATCGCTATAGTCCGACAGGCTAACAAAATGGGAACAATAAATTACAGGCAATTTTATTGATGCTTACATAAGATCAATTTCTTACTGGTTTAAAAAGGCTATCAAATATCTCATCACAATAAAGACGGATCGCGGCAAGCTCATTAACAATTCGCGAATCTGCTTCACAAACTCCTCCTTCGCTTCCAATTCTGCAAAGTCAGGCGTTTTCGTAACCACCGCTTTGATGACATTTTTAAGTAATTTAAAACCAAGCACGTACTGCTGATCTCCATAAGCTGATCAAACATGTACAGCGGAAATAACGGCTCGCGAAGTTCTCTCAAATACAGCTTAAAGACACCGGCAATGGAGTTAATATCACTTCCGTCACAAACGTCGGCTAATGGATCCTCGCCTATGAAAAAAGCCAGAAAAAACATTTACCCATCCAAATCCCTCATTGACAATTGGACTCTCTGGCAGTACCTCGCTCGAATGCATCACGGAAATTGTTAATTTCAACTTGTGACCCAGATACCCTAAAGATGCCTTGATGGTGCAATCCATATTGACGGATGACGCGGATACAGCTGCGAATGATCACAGGGATCTCTTGTCCGGTGGCCTACAGTAAAAGCGAAAATGACATACGAAATTAGTTCAAATTATTTCCAACTGGTCAGAAATCAAAAAATAAACTGACTCAAAACTTTTATGGATTACATTCCCTAGAGGTTTTTTCTCTATATGACGCGCTTCCATTCACCGGAAACCGAACCAGGTCGACCAGAACGTAAAGCGGTTTGGTGTAAAAATTTGCGATATTCACCCTTCCATGAGAAATCAGAGATTATTACACAACACTCATCTCATTCATAGTTCCGAATTTCTGTTCTACAGCTTCGTAAAAATACTGCACTTGTAGTATTATGCAAATTTAACATAGCTGATGGCATCTACTTTTCTGCTAAATACAGATTAGTACACGAACATTAAACTGATTAAAGTGTATAGAATTGCCTTCAAATTATTAAAATCTGCGTGCTGTCTACATGTCTCGATAATACCAAATACAATAAGAAATTTCTGCCAAATTGTAAAAACCGGTAACCAGCAAGTTTTAACTCTCATTTTGACAGTGTAGCAATGAATGTACTGTACAGTTCAACAGAAAATGTATTAATCATTTAATTTAATAAAACAAGAAACCTATCCGTGCGAAGTCCATGCAGGCTGCCAGTAAACGAAGTGTAACCAAACTCGTCAAGCAATAAGCTAAACATGCCCGCCAGCGGCTCCCACACCGATTAATTCTCTTTTCAGGTAATCATGATCGCTCTCGTTTCAATCTTACCGATTAAACGTCTATCCATACTCGTATACGAAGTTACGAACACAAAGGCTGATGATGCAACCAGAAGAAATATCCTACCTAGTCTACCTACGATCATGCCCTTCTTGATTCTTCATTTTTACACGCACTTATCCATTACTCTGTATATATATCTGCACTTATATTCAGATTTGAACACTTTATCATAGGCAACATTTAAATTTTTAAAAATAATTGTAGCCATAATTATACCTCAATGTACTCTTCCAAACTACCGCCAAATAATTTTGGTCGCTGGCTGGCCGAGCCTAGTTGAGCAATGCGCCGACGTCGGGGTTTGGGCGGCAAAGTCGAGTGTCGGGCCACCAATGCCCCCGTTTTCCCATTAAGAATGTCATTTCCTAGCGCATTCTGCAGCAGTTTCTGCTTGGCTTGCAGGCGTGTTATGAGGTTGCTATTGAGCATGAATTCTTGAAATTTCTGAAACATTTCAACAAATTAGTTCCCTGACCAATGAAAAAAAAGCTGCAGACAACGCACCGACAGATAAAACTGTTCAGTTTCCGCTTTATCTGCTTTCTTTTTGATCACAGCCGTTTCCGGCAGCTTGGCAATCGGTGTGCCCGGCGCTGGACTGCCGTTGCTCACTGATTCATACAGTCGCCGCTCATCGCTGAACGATGCCGGACCATTAGCCGCGTAGACGGCTTCCACATCACAATCGACCAGATCAATCATGCCAATCAATGTCCGCTCAGCAGTATCCAGAGTTTTCCAGATCTAAACCAGATACGCAAGGGAAGACAACTGTCAACATAACGCTACACTCTTACGCGAGCGATGGTAACAAACGATAGAGTTTATATGGAACATTACCTCCTCGTTCTCTGTCCTCAGACCAGTAATGCGCTGTGTCAGCTGCATGAAACGCTGGATAAGCTCATCCTGTATGAGGGGATCGTTGGTTACTTCGCGAATCTGAAATAACAATTAGGTCATTTTCAATTCCCCCGGTGCCATCCCATTCGATGGCAACGCGCAAGATAATAGCATTTCATTGTTGAAATTTTCAGCCGGCCTCGCTAAAACACCACTTGTGGTCACAATCGTTAAATAAATCGCTTTTTTAAAAATAAGTCAGCTGTTGTCGAAAGCTTGTTGGCCTCGACACAAGTGACAAAAGCAAAAATTAATAACTTTTATGGCATACAAAGACTGTTTGTGATCTATCTGTAAACCTCACAAATCTGCACCTACATTGCACAATATCTAAAACAACACTTTATATGAAAATGTTATTCTTGAATAAAAGTACCACTAGTTTTGATCACATAGAAGAATTGACAAAAAACTAATTACAGATATTTTTAATTAGATCAGTAACGCAACGTTGCCTTCGCTTCCTCTACAGTCCGCAGACAAAGACAACCCTGGTCCACTAAATTAGCCGCGATACAGCTACAAAGCCAAATGACAGATATCACGACGCAACTGAGCGTGCTCTTCAAATATTTTCTTAACTTTCTTAACTGCGCATTACGTAAGCGCAGGGCAATTTTTCCGATGCGGCCAATCTGTTGAACGGCATACGGAAATGAAAACTGACAGGTTTACAGAGTGATCTGACAATCGGGCTGTAAAAGCGTTTTATTCCGCTCCAAATGACCCGATTTAGCCGCTAACCGGCTATGGCGCATGAACGGCAACTGCACCCTGTCAAAGAGAGACTGATCTTAATTCAAAGACGCACCTCATCACCAATTTGTGAATGGAAATCAAACTTCCTTGGCAGCATAAAGACGGTGTGATTGTTCTCAATAAACTTCTGTTTATCCGCACGGGAATCAAAGTTATCAATGCAGTGTTTGATTTCCAGTTCATATTGCTTATTACGCATCTCCATCTGCTCCGTAGCCTGCTGATGAATCTTTAAGGCACTGGCTACCGATCGATGCAGTCCGAAATCCATGCACTACAACGCAAAAGTATGGACCCGATGGCTAACTGAATTTAATTCAACAAGCCGACCACAAACAGCACAAGCGCTCGTTGATCCTTATCGTTTTCGGAATGACTTACATCCATCAGTTCAGGCAGATCTTCAGCAAAATATTTGTGCAATGCCGCATTGGCTGAGTTCAGGCTCAAAAGATACTCGTTGCGTGCTTTCAAAAGTTTGGCCTTTGCCTCTTCAAACTTGGTCTGCTTCTGAAAAACAGGAAACAAAATACACTGTAACATGACATTTTCTTTTTCTGTGTTAACACAGCTGCCTTTCGCAGACTTATCGAAAAATCCGATGCAAAATATCGATTTAAACAAGTAAATGTGTAATAACTGAAAGGCAAACCGATTAAACCAACCAACGAAACAGAACGTTATTTCCTTCACACAATCAGATTGAACAACAGAGAAGACTTTGGGGATACCAACAAAAAATGCAGTTAAAAATACCCGTTATGTACCTGAATTTTGAAATGCTAAACAAATTATTAAGAAAAATTTTTTCCCTGTTTTTCCCATCCGGGTAAAACTTTTCAACTGAATATATGTGTGTGAATAGAACTTTTAATTAACCGAAGTTTTGGGAAGCCTGTTCAAACGCTTTATACGAATATGGAATATATGGAATACATACTGACGAAATTCCGCGGATCGAATTGCCCATTAAGAACGTCAATTTATCTAGTCGCGGTGGTTACTACTGGTTAGTCGTTAAGTGCCACTTATTCATCATATCGTCAACATCAAAGCGGAACAATTCCCATCGCCTGTACATACTTTAGCGGTTTCTTTGGTCCACACTTTCAGCTTGCGATTTCGTGATTGCTTTTCTTCCGGTATAGAATTTTTAATCTTCAACCGCTGCTCCTCAGCAATCCGATACTTTGTTTCAGTTTGTCGGCAGTCGTTCAAGCATAAAAAGTATGTCTTCAATGCTGTATGCAGTTCATTATGGACTTTAAATAGCTCTTCGTGACTTTCCACTCCAATTTCTCGACACTGTAAAGTACACAAAAATTTGCGTAAAAATTTCACTCTTTTGTAACCAACTGGCCTACAACAGCAAAGTAAACGTTTATCCAGTGCCGCCACAATCACTGCTGCTTCGCTTATCCATATCAACAACAACCCACTTGGCGCACGCGTTACTTGTATTGAAACTTACGCGGCGGTAGATTCTGGTTAGATCGTCGCTCGTTTGCAGTAGCCGGTTGGATAGATTGTTGGCGTATAGTTCGCCAAGAACAGCATGATCACGGCTCTGCTTCCGCGTAACTTGGATAAGGGTCTGATATAACGAAAACACCGAACACTGCGACCAACACTCGCGCCTAAAAACGACAACTTGTTTTAACCGGCGAAATATTTCAAAGCAGCCTTTCTTAAGAAAGTCTGCCATATTTTCCATAACAACTATACCATATTATTATTTCAGACAGAAGTTTTTAACTGAAATGCTTTCCGTCAGCAACAGAAACGAAATATAATCCACAATGCCGTTCTTAAGCGAAATTATTATCATCGTCTTGAATTCTGAAAATACGATTAAATTCATACACCAATAACGCGATCCTGAAAGTGGCTCTTCAGAAAACAGATTTTGGTTTCATTAAGGACGTTTTTCAATCAAAGAAAATATTAAACAAACTTTAACCGCACAAAAACACATTTCCCGCCAGTCGCAGCAGGATACCTTTGTTTTTCCGCCTTTTGCTTCTGCAACAGGTTCTTGGCCAGACGGTCCAGGTTCTTGGCATATTCGCTCTCCACGTCGGCCTTTCTCTTGAAGAAGTCCTGCAGCTCGCCCACAATGGACGCCTGCTGTTCGATTCGCTGATCCAAACATTTCAGCTGATCAATCAACTGAACCCTGATGTCTGCAACAGCAAAGGAGGCTATTCATTACGTCATCCGAAAACCACCAGATTCGCCATTGTGCACGCCATTCTCACGCGAACTTGCGTTCAACACACTCCATGTTTACGGTCTTCGAATATGACTTTTGTAACGACAATCAAGTGCAAACCAATTACTCTGTGTCAACGAGACGGGAGGAAAATATCAAGTTCGGAAACGTGCACAAGAGCCATCATCACGGGTGTACCAACGAACCTGTGCCATACGATAACGATACGTTATTTCCCATGCTGGCGCAATTGAGACACTGGACGAACACATTACAGAACGTGCTAACAGTCAGTCAAACAAACCATCATTATTGTAGCTACATGAAATTTCTGCACTAGAAAAAACTGCAGAAAAAATATATGTGGATAAAAATGGGGTCGTACTTTACAGACGACGATAATAATAATATTGCGAAACAGCGGCCAGATGTAATAAATTGCAGATCATAGATGACTGGTTGCCGACGGCCAAGTTCATCACTGATCAGCTTGATCGCTCAATGGTCAACCGAGCAGCGTAGTGTGTGGTATCTCTGTGTGCGCTTCTGTACCTGCTACCGCATCGTGAACTTTACGTAGTTTTTTATCAATAGCGGTATACGAAGTATGTATGCATTCAGCTATTCAAGCCATATGTTGACCACTGCTTGTTATCGTTATAGATTTCACAGATTTATGCAAAAGATAAGTTAGATAACATATATTTATTGCTGCATGCCAGCCAGTAGGCAGTAGTATACGCACAATTATAGACATTATAAATTTTGTTCACCACAAGAAAACCAGCGCAACAGTGCTGAGCCGCTTGGCTAGCCGAAAGTTTTGGAAGTTAAATCACGAATTCACAATGGAAAATGAAGTCCATCTGAACTTATAACCAATCATTATAATCCAGAGGCTCAATTTTTACAGCCTAATTTATTTGCAGTCAAAGGCATTGGGGCTTAACAAAAGATCTTTGAGAAGTCGTTAATCAACAACAAAAGCGTCAGGCCTGCGAGGCGATATATTCATCAAATATTCAATTGAGTCAGGGTTGTGGCGATTGGCGAAGTCTCCATGAGAGGCTATCCGTATTATGTTTATGCCCTCGCCTACCGGCACAATCTTGCTCAATCCCTTTGCATGCCCTTCTTATCGATTGTTACGCCCGAAAGTGCAATTGCTCATATAGCAATAAAATATTTTCGTATTGCAAAGATTGTTCAAAAACTGGCGATAGTATTCAGAAGTAAAGCTAGCATTTTATGATTGCACATAACGGTGTCTATAATGTACCCATTTACCTTGTGCAGTGATCGCGAATCTATTATATGTTATTAAATGTTGCAGAGCTGCAACATAATATTGTTCTCTTTTTAGTACAAACTTTTTAACTACCGCTTTAATAAATAAATACCGAAGGATTGTTTGTAGTTGTAACAAATATTTGTTCCGTGTTTCCAGCACCCTCTGGTACCATCTTTGCATCAACCATTTTTTGGATCGTGCCAAACGCATTTTTAGGCTTCGTCATGCCACCATCAGACTTAAGCTGTGAACCCACCACTTCCTTTGAAATTGTGCACATTGCGTCTTGGCTAATTATTTGCAAAAATATGAGAACGATAATTTTGTCTCCTGTGTATGCTCCTGAAGTGGTAATAACTAGAGGAGGCAACGTTAACGATAAACTGAAGACAGTCGAAATTAACACGTCAGGAGGCTGTGTGGATTATATGCCAATTACCGGGACCTCGGCGCAAAGCTTTTCTCTTATTACGTCTTTTGCCTTAAGTAGTATCATTTTGAGTTTATTGTAGTTTAAAATAGAGCAAGCTTAATTTTAAACGATAGCTGATCCAGGTGAATAGTAATTGATTCTTGATTAGCACCACCATTACCATCACCAAGCATTCATTTTGCCCTGCACATAGGAAGGCCGCTGTCTGTCGGCAAATAGGTGCACACTGCACAGTGGCACGCAAACAGGTGAGGAAACCAAAAGCGACAACTATATCTTTACTCTGTAAGCGCTCAATGGGCTGAAATAAAGAATTCTGCATCTTACAACCTAAAAACGCGCCTAATGCAGATATGTACACATGCAAAAGATTTCGCGTCATAAAAAATTTGTATTGGCAGTGACTGCGAATAAACTTTTATCGGCAGACATAGTAATGCAAAGTTAATACTTTTGAATGAGCAAATGAAATAGGTACATTTAAAGCCTAACGCTTCAGTTTTCCAAACACCGATGGAGCTAACAATGCTACAAAAAACAGTTCCGCGGTGCAAACCAAAGAATGTAAATTACAGGTATACGCTACGGCACAACAGAGCATCTCAGTCTGCGAGATAATTTTCAATTATTTACACAATTAACCCGTGCATCTGCACTTGAGCAATTTACCCCATGATTTCGCAGGATTGGAAGGTCCGAGACACATAAACACTTCCTTCATGGTAAAGAGATCCTTATTGCCAATGTAATTACACACAAAACCAATGTAGATATATGACCCACAGCTGTTCTCTCAGATAATATAAACGAAATTCCCGTCTCACGGCTAACCCGCCGGAACTTCCGAAGCCGGCTCCCGACCAGCCGTCCCAGCTATGAGCGTTTAATGCGACTGCATCATCATGATCAACTGGCAACCCGATGACGCCAGAGCTCATTACCGTGTCCACGCATTGCCGCTAACTAACGATAACTAATAAGCTTCGTTATTCCAGAAACACTCCTTGCACTGTAAGATGAAAACTGTGCATAAACCAGGAAGTTCCCATAATTCATCGGCCGTGCCTATGTATGTACGGGAACAGCAGATCATCCATGCAACGGAAATATTTCCAGTTATGAAGTGCAACGCTGCCCGCGCCAGCACATACAAACTGCTTCAACATTCGTTTGCAGATTAAATGTTTTATGTGGAGCGGGTGTTGAAGCGAATCATTGTGAAAGATGCAATCGGACCATTTCAAATGAATTTTGTAACGACATCACTGCACAGTCAGTTAAAGTGGCATATACCACAGCAAACTGTGTGTGTGTGCATGCCGCTACATGATCTCCAATTCAAGACCGGACAAGCAAATCCGCAGTGGCCGTGGAACGCCTACAAGGGTATAAGCGTAGTCTAATAACCTTACAGTCGACTATATGCTGCACTCGTAAGGTTTGCCATGAGGCCCAGTAAAACACACATGCTTAACATTATCGGGTCATTTCGGCAAACAAATCGATCCCAGACAAGACGGGGCAGAAGTGGCCGGGCTCATCTGCGCGGGGGGACGCATATCCTGGCAAAGTAACCATGGAATGCAGCCCTTAACTAGCCAGATGCAGTATGTATTCGCCATATTCGCCTCACGTTCCAGATTAAAGTTTTTTATACTGTTGAACAAATAAATGTTTTGCCGATATAAGCAGAAAAATAAAGTAGCCGCTATCGGCTCACGCTTGGTTTTACTGTCCACACGACGTAGAAGCTTAAGTTTTTTTACGGCCATGCAATCATACATGGTTATACAAAGAAGTATGTTGTACATACATTCTTGTACATTTTGGTCAGAAGTGAGATAACCTAACAATGGTTTCTAAAAACTCTTATTGTAATTTGTATTGTATCCTCAAAAAGTTAGGTTTGTAGACGATTTGTATAAGTAGTGAGAACAACGTAAATGTAAACGATAAATAAGGTAAATTTGTTAAATCCTGTTTAACACAGACTTTTTGCGACATTAATTTCGCGCTGCAGTGTTTAATTTGGGCAAGCATTGAACTAGCTCCAAATTCCCAATGGCCAATGCTTTTTGAGGTTCACAAATTCTCACTGACAACAAGATATGTTAACCGTTCCTCTCACAACTTTTACTGATCATCCAGCGCTTTATTTCTTTACTCATAGACCGATGCGTCATTGCACAACTTCATGATATAATTTGTAATTATTACTAACAGATTCAGACTTGTCACACCAATATCGATTTGCAATATCTTTCTCCCGATCGTGCCTCCTTCTTCAACTAGGGCCCGTGACTTTTCAGATGACTTATCATGCACAAAGCAATTCCAATATGCTTTTTGTTTTGTGCCAACCCGTGTGAGTAAGCGATTGTGCGCATCAATGATTTTTTTTTAAAATTAGAACTCAGATAAATTTTATTGATCTTTATTTCGTCTGTGAAAAATGTGCGCACTCTTTTACGCGATTATATTTTCGTCAAATACGTATATTTTACGAAATTGTTGTAGATGGCCGGATTGTGCTTAAGTCCAACAATCTCAAAGTTCTTAATTAATACCGCTTTTAAAACTTGATATAAGACGATATAAGACCGCAGTTAACTTTGTACTTACCTGTTACCACTTCATTTCAGTGGTCGCTATGTTAAAAGGGACGTAAAAAGCATCGCAACTGACCACATGCAAACAGCGTGGTCAGAAGCACTTGTTAAACACAAACTGTATTGCACTTCGAAATTATAGATATAGTTCATCAGGTTCACACACTCAAAATTTTGGATTTGTAAAATAATTAAAGTTAGCAATAAGTGCAGCCTCCGACCATGGCGCATATACTGTAATAACTATGGTCATTATTATAAGTAACATCGTTCTTCGATCATAATTCGCAATCGAAGCAGTCGAAAACGATCGGTTGGAGCTTCTAATGATAATTATATATAACTAGCGTATACAGAAATACCTTTTGCTGCAGACGGTGATTCCGATAAAAATAATTAATTTTGACCTAACGATAAATCTGACAGGTTCGAAGCAGCGCCTGCATGCTTAAGAAACAACAGAAACACTGGGTCTCCTTGAACTTGAATTACTGTACCTTTAACTTGTCCTTCAAAAACCGTCAAGGTTTCTTTATCCTTTTTTTGCGACATCGGGATATTTACAAGTCCAAAAGCAATAAATAATATTAATAAAACTTCCTTTCGTAAAGTTGGATATAATGAATCAGGGGATTCGTAGTTTCTCCTTAACGGCCAGTGCCGTTAAAATCCATGGTTTTATTAAAAAGATTGAATATTCCGCTCGGTGATGATCAGCAACGGACGTCCAGTGCGTTGTGTGATTGTGCGTGGTGTCTACTCGCTATCGTTCTACTCTAGTTGGACACTGCAATGACAAATGGCGCTGAAACGCGAAGATAAGAATTTTTGCAGTTTGACCATTTGTAATTAGACCGCATCGCTTTCGCCAGCTGTACTCTAGTTGGACAAGTTATCAGAGTATCGATGATGCGGCTGTGTTTGGGAGTCGCCAGCTGAGTAGAGTATGCCCAATGGAACGGTTGAGACACAACAAAAACTTCGTCATGTAATGATCAGGTAAATATAGCGACTATCAGAATCAACGGCCGAATAGCGTCGTAGACGACCACCGGAAATAGCGGATCACGGGTAAAGCATATGCATAAAGATATTATTGACGGTGACTTTGAGGATGTCAGAAATGTTCGATCATACGGTGCGGCAATTGAATAACGTCCGAAAGTGCAACCAAAATATACTCGCCGCTCACATAAACAGCAATGTTGCCAAAAGTATGACGATCTAAGCAAGTATTAAGTTCCCGCTTACGCTGATATATTATCATATGTATTCTAGTGGAACGTATCAGTTTGACAAAACTGCTGTTAGCTGAGTGTAAAATGATGTGATTACTATTAGCGGCGATCAGATTAGCATAAAACCAAGCGACGATTTTAGACGACGAATTCAATCACATCGAGCACGTAGTGCATGTCGTGCAGAATGTGGTGTATTCTTGCCCGTATTGTTGAGACGAGGCATGTGTTGACGTTTGGTAAACAACCAAACTGGAATCGTAAACTTGCGGCCAGCATATTTTTATGATGATACGCACAGGTTATCACCGCAATACGTTGTAGCGAATTGCGGATGCATAGAGCATGCATGCGTGATGGCGAAGAAAACAGGCGGAATATTCTGATCATGAAGATCAACATAAACAAATATATGCGCAAGTTTACGCTCAAGTCATAAAGCTGATTTAAGCGTTTCCGGAGAGCGGCACCGTGGCTAATGGTCTTTTACTAGAAGCTTAAAGTTGTAACGTTTTAATCTTCAGTGATTCAATCTAAGGGTTTCCTTGTTAAAGATATTGCATTAGACCGTTATACGAAGCCGGGGTATGTTACCAGAGGAAGTAACCTTTTCCCACAATAACGTTGAAAGTGCGCCGTTTACAGGAAGTGAATTAAATTTAGAAATATTATAGAGACTTTTTTGTAGCTGGCATCATCATGACTATGAGTAGCACTGACTATTGACGACTGACGAGGTGTGATCTGGACATCAAGATGCGTGATCCTAGGCCGTTTACCATTTGCGGAATTTTGCTTGTTATGACACATTAAGAAATTAAAACCGCGCAAATTCTTATTTTAATACACAATATACTGCAAAATACGCCAATCAACTTTTGGGACTTTTTTTTCAATTTATACTGAACAGAATTAACTTTACGAAATCTGTTCGAGCGATTACGAGTTTACGACAACAAGACCGGCACTTGCAATTTTCACAATAGACCGACAAACACCAAAAACACTGTAAAATTCCACTAAAAACATGCAATCCGTGACATAAAACATAAAAGTTAAAACTATTCAGACATTCAATCTTTTTTAAAGAATTAAAACAATAAAACGCAGGTGTGAGGAAAAGGCACCAGGACAAATAAATGCATACAAGCGTAATTTAAAAGTCTGCCGTAAAAGCGGATTGATTGGTCACAACTATAAAGAGGATGGTTAAAAGAACAAGCAGCTGCCACCGTGGAATATTTGGTTTAAAACAGCAAGGAAGACTGAGCTAGCTAGCGCGACAAGTTCCGTTCCAACGATTACTGCGAGGTGTAACCGGAAGTATATCGGGCTTCGGTGATCCGGGTTTCTGATTGCGAATGATAGGTGTGACTGGACGAAGAAGCGCCATAGCCGTAATACTCGTCATCAGACTGACGCTCGCCATATTTAGCTTTCCGTAGAGCTGTCAGTTTTCCTTTCGCTTCTTCCAGTTCGCGTTCTTTAATCAGCACCTCTTCCTGTTCAAACAGCGAAAAAGGCTCATCGTAGTCTGCTTTGGTGGTATTCTCCATACACTGGTGAAATTATCAAGTCTAAAAAACTTTTCTTTTCGTACCTGCGCGTTGATTTCTTGCGCAATTCCTCCTACAATTCGCCGATTTATGACCAAACTACGCTCCTCATACGCATCTAGGCTCTGCTGGGCTGCCCTGACCAGGGCGTCAGTAGCGCGCATAACGGCATTACCGGCAGCCTGGAGTCGTTGCAGACTGGGCGAATTGCTGTCGGATTTAACGCGGCAGGCCACCAGCAGTTGGGCGGTGGAGCTGGCCACCTGTTTAGCCGAAGCAATAAGCTTCTCCTCCGTAGCATGACCCTGGACCAAAGCATTTGCCGCTTCACACAGATTGTGACATGCTGCCGCCACAGTGCGGGCCGCCATGATTAAACCATCGGACCACTGTCCATCTTCTGAGCTGTACAACGGGCGGGCACTGACTCGTCCTTCTCCCACTAACTCCGCTTGCGCGGCGCATGTGGACTAAACAACAAAGTAAACACAATGTTATACTTTTCCGAATCTTTCCCAGTAAGTGTTGGAAATACTTTGATTAAAGCGGCCGTCGCGGTGGTAATTTGCTGGCAGGCGTCTAGGATCAGTTTATCGAAATTCAGCATTTCATTATCAACCTAAACAAAACAATCAATCCACATTTAAATGTCAATAAAATGGATCAGCTAAAACTTTAAGTTATGTTCATACCTTGTACTCGATTCTTCGTGGTTGCAGCTGGCTGAGTTTCCTCGCCGCATGTTCGATCGTGGCGGCAGCGCCAAGGAGTTCATTTTCGGCTATCACAGTCGGATCTTCTGGATTCACCCAAGTATCCGAATCCTTCATACTCTCCGCTGCAGCGGCAATCAGCGCAACAGCGGAAGCAATACTTTGCGTCATCTGCACAAGATTGTTTTGCAGATGGCGTGCTTCCGGCTTGGTCAAAATCTATCAGGAAGAAATTCTGTCATAACCAGACGAGAAACGTTCAACACGTCGATCCATACCATGTGAACTGTTGAAAGAAGCTCGCGATATTTGATAGCAGCTTCGCGGCCGGCTGACAAAACCTTGTTGCGCGTTTCCGGTGATTCGCAGCCGTTAGCCGCAGCGCGGCACGTGTACAGCAAGTCACCAACAGCCTTGCGACCCATGTTAGCTGCTGTAATAGCATCCTGCAAATACTAACCGTTAGTAATTCCAAAAGTGAGATGATTAAGAATAAAATATATACCTCTTGCTTCAACGTTTTTCCGGCGGTTACGGCCTTGTATGTCGCTTGGGTTAAGGGTTTAGTTACACGCAAAAGATCTTCTGCGGTAGCGGTTCTTCCGTCAGCGCTTCCATCGGAAGAATCAAACACCTAATACCATAGGCTCGCATAAAAATTCTCAGCTTGCGTAACGGGAATTGTTCATTTACTTCATTATATAATGTTTTAACAATTATCAACTCACTCGTAGTTCTTGGCTTAAAGCTTCAATTGTAGCCTCCAAAGCCCGGGTTCCACGAGCATGCTCGTCTTCAACCGTTTTAACGGTTTTCAAGAGGATGTAACATTAGTAACCTGCAAACATATTCCCGGAATAAAGCGCAAGCCGAATTTCCTATGAACACCTCTATTACACAACACCTACCATGATTTTAGCTGAGTCTTTTAAATATAACATGGCTGGATCGTTCAGACTCTTTCCCGAAGCCGATTTTGTGGCGTGGATGAGATCACCCAATGCTGACGCCACATCTCGCACCGCATTGATAAGAAGGACCTGTGAACAGTTGCTGACTTACTAAGAAGTTATTAATACTAACACACAATTTCACAAATGCCATAATCATAAATATTGTTAGTATAGCGGGTGCCTGCAGTTCCAAGGACACCATGCGTGTTAGAATTTGTTCCAGATTTAAACAAACTTTCGAAGCTCAACAGCCAGAGCCTAACAAGTAATGTACTCAAACGCTTAGCTTGCACAACCCACAAAAGAACTCTTGCAAAAGCCATATTCGCGAATAAAAAAGGTATGTCTTCAGATTAACGATAACTGTATATAAACGAAAAACACTCCACGGCTTCTGCAGTTCCGGCTTTAAAAAATGCAGCTTTCATGGGTAGGAGTTTTCTTGCAGAATTCTGCTTTTACACAAGTTAATTTAACCATGTGAAAACTTGACCCGCAACACTGCAAAGAGAATTGTGCATGCTGACAGCATGCAGCTCACAATTGTCCAAAGTTTTCGTTGTGCCGGTAGTACAGTGTCAAGCATATTCGGTTAGTCTGTGGTCAACGTCAACATGTAAGTAAGCTCATTCGCGATGCAGCCAGTAAAGCTCCGATGAGCGAATGAAAAAACAAATTATTAGAAGCTGCACCTTCTGCCCTGATCTTTCCATTTCTAGCCGTTTGGCGATGAGATTGAGGGTGATTAGCGAAAGTGAATGCGTTTGAGATTGTGACGGACGCTGTAAGTAGAATCACGCCGTGATTTAGTTGACAAATATTCATTTGATTATAACGGCATGAAAGTAAGTAAACAACGGCTTTGCATGCAAGAGTGCCCACTACACTTTAAAAGGCCGAAAACGGTACAACTGCATTCAATCTCTTTGCAATGCGGAAGGCCAGTTGTCTCACATAAAATCAAAAGTTTGCTGATAATTGTGACGACGTGCACTACTTAGTTTCAAACTAACTGTCGGTTGCATTTCCCTATTCTGCAAAGGTCAGGGTTACTGTGCGCACAAGACATAAAAGAATCAAATCAAATTAGATAAAAAATATCCAACCAAATCAAATAAAATATCCTTCACTGTCGGACACGGGCTCTACATTTTAAAGGCAAAAGAAACGAGCATTTCCGCAGGCTCGACGTTACAAAAATTGTCGCACAAATGCTGCAACGTTAAAATTCTCATAAAATTTCGTCATCCTGCTCTTGACAATAGCTTTCAAACTGGTGTACTGCAAATTTATGAGAATTTTACGGTACAACGTTATAGTTGCATTTTATCGCTACTCCTACCGCAGCTATCAGAGACACCTATTTTAACAGAGCTGTAAGCAATTCGTCAAGTTAATAACCAATACCTGCGATTCACTGTTTTCTTTTCCAAGTGAAGCAGCACCGCTTTTGACAACCTCCGCAAGTTGAATAATAGTTTTCACAGCATTCTGAGCAGCAACTGCTAGTTGCTCTTGGCTAGAAGCTGCTCCCGTCACCAAAGTCTTCGTGTCTTCCACCAAAGCTTTAGCCGTTTTTAGGATGTCTTCTCTGTTGGCAAAAGTATATTTATATTTAGTAACGCTAACAGACAAAACCCAACCTTGACAATGCTTAAAACAGCGTGAACGAATGAATACGCACGTCCAGTGCACGTATTCACCTGTGGTCTGAAAACCGGTCATTTTCATCTTCTGCTTGGAGAATACCGGCGGTGGCAAACATAATCGTAGTATCCAGATCCCCAATGACGCCACTAACGGTACTAGCGGCATTAATACACGCTTGCGTTCCCCGGGAACCGGATTGTAAAGCCGAAAGGACATGCGTGACCTACGAACAATTTAGATGACATTCCGATTTCACCACAACAAGTATCCATTAATTACTTTTTCAATGACCAGCTTTGAACTGCGCGAAAGCTCGTCTTTAATATATGTATCGGAAGGATTGCTCTGCACGGAACCAGCAGTTTTAATGAGATCGATCACCGCGTGCCCTAAATCCTGGACACTGGATCTGATACGTTGGCCGATTTCATTGCTCGCGCTCGCTGACTGTGCTCCCCGTGCATCCTCTGCCAGAAGGTTGTAATGATTGTACAACTGCTGAGCCAAATTGCCCAGCTCGTGCGGTTCCGACTGGCTTTTGGCGGATATTTCGTGCGTTACACGAGTCATTTCCTTTGCATAACGGAACATGCGAGTCTGGAAATCGACAAAGGAATCTTCCGAAGCGCTGATACGGTGGTCGACCTGGACAGTTTAATAACACGATCAATCATCATCTTCAACAAGGAAAAGTTCAAAAGACAATTCTTACCTTTGAGATTGCGGCACTGACATTATCAATCATTGTGCGGACAAATCCAGCTTGGGACTGGATGCGCTCCAGCGTCTGCGTGAATTCATGAAGAGCTTCGAGCAAGGAGTCAGCCGATTCGTTCACATCCCCATGTAAATTTCGGGTTCGGGGATTGCCGCCACACGCTTTACAGACTTCGATGAACTGTATGGATGCTTCCAATACGGTCTTCAACTGAGAAAGAACAGTCATTTGGTCTTTGGAATTGGGCGCTCGTGAAGCCGCTCCAATGCCATCCTGCACTAGCGACTGGAAGTAATTGCTCATCCGTGATACGCCATGTCCCAGACCTTCCGCTTCCGACTTCGCTGCCTCGCGCACACTGAGAATGGTCTGGCTCAGCTATACCGATACAAAATATTTTACTACTTTCTTACTAACTACGAGTGGAACAAACTCACTAACCTGAACCGCTGTGTTGATAGTGATCTCATAGAAACCTTCCGTAGTGTTTTCATTGCGTGGAGGAAGGCTCTGATTAGTAGCCGCCAGTGAGGCCCGATTTACAATTCGCATGTAGTTATTCAGACGTTCAATCGCTTCGCTGCATTCTGTCTGTCCAGGCGCTTTATCACGAATGGCAGTAGCTAAACTCTTAACGGAATCCGACACATTATTAGACTGTGATGTTAATGCTTGCCAAGCGGAAGGATCACTGGGATTAACTGAAAGCGATTTGGCCGCCAAAATCAAGCTGCTGGTGGCATCAATGATACACTTCCCGGAAACCACAATTGGTTCTTGAGCTTTCCGTCCACCATTACTTAACTGGCCAGCACTGCTAGCGAATTCCGGAGAAGACGCAAAGGCACCTAGAAGCAGACAACTGAAGCTTTCCCGATAACTGCAGGTTTAAGTTTTATTAGTTATGCTACTGTACCAAGATCGTCGACAGAGCGGAGCAGTTGATTAATGTGGGTAATGCATTCCTGCCGGTTGGTTTCAGTGAAGCTGCCGTCCAGGGTCTTCACAGCCCGAACGAGATTTGCTGTGCTGGTGGCGATATCCTTTGCTGACTGGACAAACTGTCGTTTGGAAACAGGGTTAGGAGTACGATTGGATGCCGTTCGGCAGGAACTGCACAAAGTGTGTGAATACTTCGCAATTACTGTAGCAGCCGCTAGCATCTGTCACAGCCAAAATCGAACATTAGAGAAAGTTCACCCGGAGTACAGTACGGTGGACAAATTACGAACTTACCTGTTGCTGAGTCACAGGAGAGGAGGCCGTGATGGCACGACTAGCGTCGTGGATACCATGAACGGCATCGGAGATCTCGCGCTGATCTATCACCCCGGACTTGCCCACCACGCTGGATGGGTCTGAGATACCAATCAGATAGGCAGCTTGAGCAGAGTTTTCGATCAGTGCCGATACAGCTTCGGTAGTATTTCGCACCGCTTGGACGAACTGATCAGTCTGGTTGTATTTAGCGGCATTTGAAATACCCGCCATACCTTCTCCCAGTACCTGCCGCAAAGACGCCAACTGAATCTAACAACACATTCAGAAAAAGTAATATTTCTCTTACTCGGGAAGAGTCCAGAACAGCGTCCAAACTTTCGTAATATGTTCGGCTATTCGCAGGTACCGAACAGTTGTCCAGAGATGTTCTCAACTGCTGAATGCGGCGGATGGCGTTATCACATTCCTTTTGCCCTGGTAGAGACTGAGCGCAGTATGTCAGCAAATGATTGATCGATTCCGTAACGGCCCTGCAAAATACAAATATAAAGCCCAAAAGTCGATTGTGGTTTCCATAATAAAGTTCACCTGGCAGCCGCAGTTAGTTGATTTTTCATGTGTCCTGCATCCGGTTGACCATTGGTCTGCTTGGCTAACGCTAACAGCCGTTTTGAGGCGCTAGAGACATCCTCCAGACCTTTTCTCATTTCATCACGGCGGTATGTATCCTGCAGAACACAATACATTAGCCATTAACACCGTATACCAAACACGAAATCAGGGTCCGTACCGTTTCTGTAGAAATCAAATGCATTCCAGAGTCGACAAACTGCTTATACACTTCGGAATAGTGCTCGGCAGAGCTGCCCAGCTGCTCCATGGAGCCGTATGTGGAGGTAACCACGTCACCGGCTGCTTCATTCAGAACAGCACCGGCATTGTTCAGATCAATAAAAACGTCCGCCACCAGGGTTCGACTCGGCCGAATAACCTAGAACCAATCCATTCATACGACAAGTCAGAAATTTCAGCGATCAGCAGGCGTTCATACCGTTTCATGTGAAACAATCCGCTGGGATGTTTCCTCCACAGTTTTCATTGCCTTCGTGATACCGCGCTGGTCAGGGAGGTAGCTCAGACAGCGGTTCAGAGCCGCGGCTACTTGTCGTGCAGCATCGACAAGACTGCTTTGCACCACAGGATCCGTCGACTTGCCGAAAGCATTACGCACACTGTCCACCAGGTAAGCGCTGCGCTCCACTACTTCGTGCACACTGTCCAGCATACGCAATTGACTCTGCGGATCATCCGGTATTGTAGCTGCCACGCCACGGGCAGCAGCACTAAGATCCTGCAGACTGCGCGCCACGTTCTGACTGGCATCAGCCACAAAGTTCTCATCCGCCTATAAAATTGGATACAGAATAAGTCGGAATACTCGCAAGGGTTGTGTATAATTGTATTGTTTACCTGATTGGTTGCATTGAGCAACTGGACCGTAGCACTGCTAACCTGCTTGGCAGACGCTTGTAGGCGTGAAGCAGCACTTGGGCCCTATCAACATCCGCCAATATGTATTGTATACACAAGTTATTCATGGGGAACTTTATTGAACTATAAAATATTACCGTCTCATCGGGAAGCGGCATCAGTGAGCCATTCTGAGCCGCGCGCTTAAAGGCATCCAAATCTCGCTCAAGAGAGTAGATAACGGTCATCGCGGTATCGACGTTCACTTCAGCAGTGACAGTATGGAAGTCTTTCGCCTAAAGTACCAGATTAAAAGTCATTGCTTGCATGTTTCCATTCGGGCAGTAACTGTATATCTGAACATACTTTGTTAAGAGACGTTCGCAACTCTCCGTTGGCGATGCTCAAATTTGTCGCGGATTCGCGCAGGCGATGAGCTGCCGCAGAATCCTGAACTGTTGGAACAGCTGCTTTCGCTGCACTGACCAATTCCTCAGCGGGATACAAAACTTCTTCACTATTCTGAAGCAACTGCGCAATGGCCACTTTGTCCTGTGGGCTGGAACTGGTTAACTTGATGGCGGAAATAAGTCTCGACAGCCGATCAGCCACAATGCGGCACTGCTCTAGTAGATTCTGTTGTGAACCGCGATTCAGATTGGTTGCTTCCACTGCCTGAGATGCCGCTATGGTCTGCGTGCTAGCTTGCGCCATACGCTTAGCTGAGGTCTGGAAGTATGAAAAGATGGCACGCATTGCACTAGAAAAACTATACTTGAAGGTTACAACCAACCTCCAATCGTTTCAAGTAGTACGCTTTTTCGTCTTCCACGGTAGCCTGCTGGGCCAAATCACGAATATTAACGGCTGCATCACGCATTGCTTGGCGTCGGTCTTGATCTTGTGGCACAGCGGCACATAACTAAGGCAAACAAAATAAAAACGCGATAAAAATACACACTAACATACTTTAAAGTACTCGTATTCAATACCTTAGCTGCTTCAACGAGACGTGTGGTGGCATCCGCCAGCTGTTTGGAAGCAGCTAACAGACGCCGCTGCAGATCTTTGTCCGTAACAGCTTCTGCTTCCGACTTCAGTCCTTTTACAAGCTCAGCAGTAGCTTGCGCCAAAACCTGAATGCAAAAATTATACGCGGTGTTTCGTAGTCAACCATTATTTGGAAAATAATAAATTACTTTGGCTTGGCGAATCATTTCAGCCGGCTCAGGGGCCTCACACAAATGTGTAGTACTCTGGGTGATAACTTCCACCGCTGCCTCATGTGGCACCGGTGCCTGAGTGATTTCTGGGCCCTGTTTCACCATACCCAAAAGATCGTTCAAAGCTCTGGTAACCTGGGCGGCAGCATCGTTCAAATCTTCCAGAAGATACTTTTCAGCACCAGATATCTGTTGTAATAAATTGATAATCAATATAAACTAGCGACACGTCATACATTAAAACAGCAGTGAAACGCATATGCCCATACCTTGCAGGCATCCAGAAGATCTTGCACAGACTTGGCGACCTTCCGAGCCGCATCTACAAGCTGATCCTGGCAAGGAGGTGACGTAATCGTGGGCAGTAAAACTTTGGCACAGGCAACCAACTCGGACGTGCTAAGAGCCGTCTGAGTAGCAGCTTGAATAATCCGGTTTTGCAGTTCGAAATTATCAGTGGCAGCCGCCACTTCCTTTGCCTTGCGTACGAGATGAGCCGTCGAATTGGCTACGGCTTTCGCCAGCATGACCAACGAATCTTGATATTCCACACTAAGCGGATCCACGCGATCCATGATTTCCTTGCCGGTTTCGCCCACCTTGGTGGCGGCCGTCAAAACTTCCTGACGTGGCTGTCAGTTATCAAAATAAAATAATTTGTTAGCCCACTGAAAGGAAAAACATCGAATGAAATAAGGCACTTACAGCTTCGCCCGGTTTTGCTGCGTCTAGCAGATCGCGAACGGCTTTGATTAATTTCTGTGTTGCATCATACAGTTCATCTCCTTTCTTGTCATCGTCCAGCACAGCCGCAATAAACTTCACGCTGTCCACCATCTCATCCAGATTATCGACACTAGCGCACACAACACATGTGGGACCACTCTACAGAACAGCTAAAACAGCAATTTCAGCCGCTTACATGGTATTCACCGCTCGATCAATAGCCGCATAGTCCCGCTCCTGAACGGGTGGGGCGGTGAGGTTAACAATCTGGGCAACATGACGAGTGATTTGAGCCATTTGAGTGCCCACACTTTGCTTTGACACTTCCACCTTCTGTTCAACCCATTTTTTCGAAACCTACAGAAATTTAAATGAATCAAAGCGCGAAACGGACAAAGTCTGCTGCAGTGATTTCATACGGGATCTTCGCCAATGGGAGGAAGAACAGCAGGCTTTTGCAGATTATCCACAATTTTGACCAATTTGGTTTTAGCTGCCTCAATGGCTTTCACCGGCTTCTCGGGGTTAATATCGCGCATAATTCCAGGCATAGCAATATGTCCCTTAACAGGCTGGTCAACCTTGGTTTGTCGTGGTTGTATCACGGAAATTCTAAAAACATACATTTTTCAGGGGCGTTTAACTCGGCAAAACTCCAAGAAAACGAACTTCGCTGGTAGGACTTCGTCCTCTTCCAGTGTACAGCCCTCTTCGCCATCCACACCAAAGTGGTCCTTAGGTTTTTGCCGTTTCAGGATAATATCAATGTAACCGGCAATGAGTTGAGCAATTTGTTCGCCTTCTTGGGTTTCTACGGAGTAATACGCATCCGCATAATCACCAAAATCCAACGTGAAGGTATTAGGCGAAGCGGCCCAACGTTTGACTTGGGTCAACGGCCAAGTTGTCAAGGTCTAATGGATAAAAAAACTACGTTATTATTTTATGGTCTCCATTTGCCCACCACATTATATTTTAGGCTGACCTCTTTCGTTTGCTGGTCGAGTCGCAAAACACTATTGCGCGTGACTCCAAATAAGCAGGGAACCAGTTTGTTTTTCCCTTTCTGCTTTTCTCGCACCAGGAAGAACGTCACGCCGTAAGTCTTTAAGGAACGTGCAAGTTTAATATAAGCCACTTTGGCCATCAAATCATTTGCTCCGCGCTGTTTATTCCATTCATCATAAACACGACGATCAGCCAAATTCCCTTTTACTTTCCCATAATTCCTAGGCATAAATGGTTTCATATCAATAGCACGACGAGATTCGTCGTAGTCGCCATATTCTGCTTGTGCCTGAATCCCAGCAAACTGTTGCGCTTGTTCCACTGTTACAGGGTGAGTTCCATTTAGGATTGCGTCTCGACACTATAAAGAAATAACAAATATTGAACACATTATCCCTGTAGCTGTTGCATAACCACGCGCAGAGTCAATAAAATAATGCGCTAACCTGAACATATAACAGATTGAGCTGTACGGGGTCTCGAGCGTCCACATTTTGATCGGAATAAAAATAACGACGTTTCAGCAACAGCACATCACTGTCATCGACACCTTGTTGTATCAATGTCCGAGACTGATCAACCCAAGAAACTGCAATAAGTACAATAATAATGAGTAACCGATAAGGTGCAATTTTGTGACCTCCACGAACGACAAGCATTCCTTAAAAAAAATTTAAAAGCGCCGCTGCTGATAGCAATACCAAAAAGGCTAGATAGTAAATACCGTTCCGGAATGGTAACAGGGTCGGAACTTCAACGTTCCAGGCGAATAAACATAATTTTTTGACAATACTATAAAGTAGGCTCTATACTGACAGAAAAATTACAGCCGCCCTTATTCGCATTCTATAATTTTCTTACGTTGTACGAGGCCGATTGCCGATTATCCGTTAGCGCGAAAAACCTCATTTAAATGTTTATATGTTTATGAAAACTTTGCCTTCTTATCCAAGAAAATCACAAAAAGTGCGGTTCGTGCTTCAATGTGTCAGCTTCTAATACCACGTTATAAACACCCGACATAACCGAAACAACAACAACAAAACGCCAGGAAGCTCTAGATTTCTTGCCTCGGTGCTCAAGAGGCTCACTAAGCGCCATTAATCACACCGGACGGATACTTTTGACCATGTGCGGCACCTAGATGCTGGATACAACAGCTTCGGCCAAGCTAGCCATATCCGCCCATGTCACCGAGCCGGCTGGTTCACAGCTCTGCCTCGGCACGCGAATTAGCAATTCTAATCGATCAAATGATATAATCGAAATGCTTTTAAATCACATTTCGACGCTTTAAGGCACATTTTCAGCAGTACCACCGTCGGTCTACTATATTTTATCGTCTGTTTCAGAATATTGGAAATACTCGTTAAAGTCAATACCGTAACAGGGAATCTCATACCAGCTCGCTGCACTCAATCAAACCCCCATACAATCTTAACAAAGACGATATTTAGACGCGCTGTAGACGGCACTTGTTTTATCTCACTATGGTCTATGTACTTCCGGAAGGAGCTGTTTTCGTGGCACACAACAACAGAAAAATCATTACCGTCATCGTCGGTGGCCAGCTTTTGTTTGAGTTTGTCCATCTTCTTCTGATCGCGATCGCGAGTCAAAGTTCCACTTTTTTTCAACGTTCCAGTAGTCGAGCCCGTCTCGCTGAACCTCCGAGCATTTTCCTTCTCTTCTTCTCGAATTTCGCGTACCAAGTCGTACTCATCGTAGTTAGTCAGACCTAAACACAAACATGAAAATGAGCATGTGGGATCCATAAATAGCCCATGTCTACTGTTTACGCCATCCTGATTTATAACAAGATAACAGCAGAATAGCAGTCAGTAAAGCTAGACATTTATAGAGAATGGGTATGTTCCTAATGTTTTTTCCTTGTCAAGAACGGTTCCAGAGATGCATTTATCATAACAAACGCGGTTTTCGGCACAGTGAACCAATATAATCCCAATCTACTCAAACAACCGAATACCCATTCGAGTAAAAAGCTCTCCTCTATCCAATACGTTAAAGGCTAAAATCACACGCAATGCCCCAAAGAAAACGCACGTACTGTAAAATTAAGCAAAGCTATTTATCAGCTTACCAATTTTCGCACAGATAATGGGAAGAAGATTCTTCAGCGTCTGGCTTTCATCAACCATAAGCGTTTTTACACTGTTGTCCAGCATGCGTACTTTCAAAGACCGTATCTTTTTGCGATATTCCAGTGTATCCTAAAAATACGCAAACGACGTTACAACAACAATAAATTCTTTCATTTTGCGACAAGAAAATAATATTCTGCATTCTGTACTATAAAACTAATTCAAGAAAACTGTCAATTTATAGCAAAGTATGGAAATATACGCCCGATATAACGACAACGATTTTTCGCGAATCTTTTCAACTGGCCAAAAAACGAAGACAACGATAAAAATTCAACAGCAACACGGCTTGATAGCGGAACAAGTTCTTTAGAGAAGGATGGTAACAAAAAAAAGTGCTATCTAAATTATTAAAATCTGGAAAAAAATACAGTTGTCATAACCGTACTCCATTCCGCAAAAGGTAAAATTCCAGAGCGCGATTGGGGTCCAGCCATCTTCCTTTACGAGGATCTTCGTCGTTCAGAAACAAACCATAATCCGAGGCTACAAAATTTTGGAACGTTAGTAAATGGAACACATGCCTTCCAGAGGCATTAAGGCAAGTTACCGTTTACAAAGTTAGCGAAAATTATCAAACGTCACTCATTCTAACCATAAGAAAGGTAAACTGTTGAGATTTCTTATAATTAGTACAAGTACAGCTAAAATTACATTCATTAATCAAGATAAACGATTAGATTATGCAATACGGTACTACAGTGATTACAGGATAGAAGCGGCAGTGTAAACTTATATACTCGTCCATACTACATTCTGTACATAGTTCAATCAAATTACGAGCACTTGTATCTTTTTACGAAATTAACAGCATACAATCTACTTCTTTTTTGTATTCACAAGAGCAACCAAGCCTTTTCTCGTTAGCCATTTCCATAAGTCATTCATTTAGAAATGTTTCAGTGTTCAGTTGTTTAAATTTTTTTTATTTAAGCTGGCAACTAATCATTATTTAGTATGTAACAGCCTTCAGCAGTCCCGCCAAGTGATTCTCAATACCCTTTGCGGCTTGCAGGTATTGTAGGTGAACAGATAGAACTCTGCATTTGTAACACATTATTAGTTTTAACTTAACACGAAAATAAAAATTTATGACAATTTTTAAAACTTGTCCGTTAACTCCAATCTTAGACCGTATATTTGTTGCACTCAACTGACTCAAGAAATGGCTCCTTGCACTGGCTTGCAGTGCTTATATTTATAGTAACACTTTTACATATCTATATGTACAATACTCGTACTTACATGTGTATTACTTACAACACATGTCGTATTTACGACTAATTACTATAAATTTATTAGTCGGTATAAAAGTAAGCATTCAATGGAGTATCAGAAATCATAAAACACCTTTTATATCTTCTGTAAAATGCTATGCCAGGGTGCTCCAAAACTACTGCTTTTAGATTTCGTTGTTTACCTTTCCCAAGTTGATTTGCAAACTCTTGGAAACGTTCACGTATCAGTTTGCACGCATCATATACCAGCAGGCTGGAGTTCAGCGGAACAGTTTTGGTCGAATTTGCTTCAGGCAGGCGAATCTTCAGTGAGAGCATCATCTTGATTTCTGGCCTCAACGGAGATGTTATAAAATCACTCAACAGCGCCTGCTACTGCACATTCGCCAATTGAAAAACAGAAGAATCATATCATCACATCGAAATTGCAGATCATACAATCCAGCATCCCAGTATACTACAGACGCAGTCACAGATGTAACAAAACAAAGCACAAAACGAATGTTTGATAGCTGATAATTAAAACAGTGCAACACACATCGGCAAACGCTACGATCGTCTGATCAGCCAAGAAGAAACTTGTAAAGATCCTTGTAAACACAAGATGAGTGTTCAAAGATCTGCCCACTACTGCGCAAAACTTATGATGGTTCTATCAGATAATTTGGTCTGGTTGTGAACTGCTTACTGGGCTGCGCATGCACACAAATACATACGTATGATGAATAAGCCAAAATGAATGATCAAACGCGCTCAGCGAAGGAAACCACAAAGTTGGCCTCATTTGCCGTTCTGGAACTGGACGCGCGTAGAAATGTGTGTGTACCTACTGGCTTATAGGCATGGTCATAGCGCGGCCCATCAACATCACTGGGAGGGCTGGTCTAGCCGGTGACTGTAAGTACGGCGCATACGTCAAAAAGCGGCTGCTGTAGTTTGTGTGGTAAGTTTTCTTGTGGATTTGGATGGCCGAAAACAGTTTTTTTCAATGTATCACTCGTGAGTCATTTTGTCAGGGCGGTGATAATAGTGATCAAATATACAAAGTTTTAAATATTAATATAGTTTAAGATCATGATGTACTGTAATCTGTATTAAAATATTATTACCAGTACATGTATTATGTCTACAGTCTACGGAGTACAGTAATGCCTCCAGTACAACTATAGTAATATTAAACCGTTAGAAACCTAAAATGATATTACTCGTAAATACTTACAGTAATTCTAAGTTTTTAATTTTTCACCTGGGAGGTTTAAGAGAAAATAAAAATCTTTTTAACTTCGTGTTAGTTTATCGATTTTCTTCGGTTTCTTTCTATGAGCAACATCTAAAAGATTTCGTAACTAAATATTTCAGTATTGGTATTGGAAGGAGCTTCAAGGTGATTGCTTTTTCAGTTTTTGACATTCTTGTTACATTACGTTTTTTTCTTGACATTTACTTATTTCAGTTCGAAATGCATTTCAGTCCCGTGAAAACAGTATTAAAACGATGAAGTATTGAAGTGCATACTTCTAGTATGCTTTGAATTTTCTAATTGCGATACATGCCGGGACTGTGCTTCTATAGTGTGTGCTGCTGTATTGTACTAGTATACCTACGACTCGTAATGTACCGCATCATGGTGGTTTTGTAATGATTTGTTGACCACTTTGGCTATAATTTTTCATGATTATTACAAGGCGGAGCAATTTCGTAACAAATAGCTCAGACCGCTTCCAAACATGGATATGAAAAATATCTCGGCACGCTTTTGATGCAGCTGTAACGCACGCCTACATTCTCGTATGCTTCTCGTACTAGTGCGTGTTATCATGGGCTGACTGCTGCAACGGCAGTGCCGCCTCTGCTGCGCGCACTTCTAAACGCAAAACACAGTCATGCAGTACTTGTGAGTTGTGACATGGTACCAACTGGTTTTCTGTACTAAAGAAATTATTCATATACCATTATTTTTGTACGGTAGGTCATGATATTTTGTACAATAGTACATGTACTGTACATGTTGCGACGTCACAGCGGTTGTAACGGTATCTGCCTGATACCTACTCCTAGTACCTACATGCGTACCAGTATGCTTCTTGCTTCTGGCTACTTGTAACTGGTCGTGATGGACCACTGATAATCAACGGCGGAAGTGGTTTCAGGCCGGTAAAACTGCATTGCTGCTCATTACATGCTACCGCCACCATGTCAGCCGGAAGCGTTTTCTAGCATGGGAGTGATTCCCGACTTCCCGGTAGGCCGGTGCCGCAACGCTCCAGTTAGCTTCATGATCAGGAACAGGATCAGTCTGAATTAGCTTATGGGATCTCGACTTACGCAGTGCACTGTGCAACCTTGCCAGAACGAGTCACTTCTATATCGTTACATTTCCATGCAAGCAGCTTCTCTGACTAAGAAAACCAAACTGCAGCACCCAGAAAACAGTATTATTTAAAAAATTCTCGTGCTACTTTGACCTCCATGCTGGCGTTTGTACGTGGACATAACCTCATTAACAATCTTGCTAAGTGGAACGTAATATTACATGTTAAATGGCTATTGTAATCCCCCTGTAACCTCTTTTAACTATTATCACCGTTTTTTTAAATAAAGTATTACCACCCCATTTGGCTATTGTCACTCCTTACCCGGCCCACAGCCCTTTTGGCCATTGCCACCACCTTTCAATTTATTCTTATAATTTTATTTTTTTTACAATTCTGTTCCTGTCACCGCCGGCAGGGAAAGGCGCTAAGCGAAGAATAGTGCCATTTAAAAATCATTAATGCATCGCTAAGATGGGTGCGGCCTCATTTTTGTAACTTTAAATTTAGCATCTTAATTAAGGTTTTTTTGCTAACGAGTTCCGCAGCGAATGTTATCGCGAAAAAGTCCACAATTGTGACCATCCCTTTGTTGCTGCACGCGCGGAAACAAAATTCCGATGCCCTCCGCTCCCGGTTGATCTCAACACTTTCGTACACTTTCGTAATCAGTGATGCCGACAGTGATGGTACCGAGGGTGTCACCGGCAGCGCCGAGTCATAAATAAATGGCTGCCCCTCTTTCCATACAAGCAACGCCAATGGTCGCCATTACTCTTACCTCTTACCGCTACTCTTACCTCTTACTGCTACTCTTACTCTTTCTTAACTTGGCCGAAAGGTCAACCAACAACAATGTCTTATAAGAATGACCAAGGAGACAGGAGTGGCGATAGTCAAAGGGAGTGAGAATGAGGAAGGTGGTGACTGTAGCCTAAGGTTGCACGTGTGTTTATTTTAATTTAAACAAGGGGGTGACAGTAGTCTCATCCGGGTTAAAATTTAGATACAACTTAATTGGAGTTGTTTCTGTTATCCTTAGGTTTCTAATAGGCTTAAGGATTTTGAAGTTTCTACAGTACTTACGTGTCAGAGCTCCGATTAGATTTAAGCCTTAGGTTAGTTAAGGTTTGCAGGTTTTAAAGGTTCATTTAATGTACTTGTAGTTTTCTACATCTTCTTATAATCTATACTGTAGGTTTCTAGTGTCCGACCATTTTGGCATAAACGACTTCTTTCTTTAGGCTTTTTGGTTACCGTTCTTGACACTATCAATGTGAGACCGAAAAGGAAATCACAAACTGTTTCTGTTAAATTTTTAAGCCCGAATCATTTATTTTCTGGGTGTGTACTATAGTGCTGTCTTGTATTTGTACTTGAACTACCATTTGCCTTACAAAACAGGTTTTAAAGGTCACGAAATACACGCCGTTCACACCAATTTTTGCGGGTTCTCTTTAAAAATTCCCATAAGCCAGTAAAGCCACAGGTTGGAGTATTTGGGAGCTCGCCGAAGCGAGACTTCTCATTCTTCAAATAACGAATGTGGGGCTATCTATCCTGGCGACTTTTCGAAGAGAACCCGTTTTGCTTTAATCAGGACAGCTAACCAGGGCGAATGAACGTACGGTACATGTGCATCCAGACGTATACTTACAATGAACTCGTACTTCTTACATCAGGTAAAACTTAAACATGAAAGATCAGCTTGAATATTATTACAGCAAGGTCTGCTCGCAGTGAATGCTTAAAACATTAATCGCAATTAACAACACTCCCAAAGGCGTGGGAGCGTCCGTACCATAGGCTGCATGTACAGAGACTGACAGTACCAAATGAAACTGACCGCCCTCATTGTCCAGTAACGCAATATTACAGAGGGGTTGACCTTTCATTGCAGTCCGACTAAATGGTGTCTTATAGTAATTTCTCATCATCGGGAGGTGACAACGTTTAGCTGTCGCAGAAAATATTAGTAAGAGAAAGTTTATTCGTATCTCACCTTTACAAATGTTGCCGCGTTCGGAAAGCTCTTAATTAGACACTTTCATTACTGAATTTTATAAGCAAGAGAAGATTTTCAGTACTTTACTACTGGTGAGGGTACAACGGAAGCGGTTTATAAGTAGGGTAACACTATACAGGCACCCTTTTCACCCTCACGGTTGCGAATGCAAAACAGGAGCAAAACTCTTGCGCTTTTATTAGTAATCAATGCACAGATCTGGTAAAAGAAAAATAAACAAGTTATATTATTCACAACAGCAAAACTTCATTTGAACTATCCGGCCGCCCCATCCATCGTGCCAAGGATAGATGCTGCATTTCCGCGCTGAATCTCCAACGATAGTCGTTGACGCAGAAATTCATGCGGTCGACGCTCTCCTGTGTGCTGCTGCAGTCTTTTGCCCAACTCCTTCACAATGGCGATAGCCGACGGCCCCATCCTCTCAAATTAATTAAAGGCTACGGGTAGATCGGATAAAAGATGTAAGTAACGCCGCAGATACGCATACAGCCGGGACCTTTTTCTTCTGCTTGGACAGTAGCGGCTCCTGTCGTTACCATGCAGTAGAAATTAAGGGGTACTTGTAGCCATTTCCTTATAAGTACTAAGTAATTAAAACCTGACAACTGTTGTCTGCTATAGTTCAGTTAGCTATCTACTGGTAGGTGCTTCATTCCAGCACTTGTTGTTCGAGTACGCATTGCTTACACAATCAATATTCAGTACTAGTAGAACTAGGTTTAGGAATTTTCGTAACCAACATTAATGGATAGCCAAATTTTGTGATAGCAGTTCCTTTGGCTTGGTGTTTTGAAAACACTTCGGTTTATCAATTTTTTAACAATAAGCCACAACAGCACCGCCGAAGCAGTACTTTAGCTTTTTGCCAAATCGTTATATCACACAGTGACATCGAAATTTAAAGAAATTTCGCTAGTTGTGTTGTTGGGTCAAATGCAATACAGTTTCGTAATATATTTATGTACAAACAGAATTCTCGTATAAAACCCGCGCGACAGGGATATAGGGACTGGACGCAGTCACACAGTAGGTACAGTATGCAGATGTATGTTTGAAAAGTCATCCACACCAAATTGAAACTGTGGCAAACAGCCATTATTATTGCTATATCCCGTAATGGCTTTCAAAACAGTTTCCGGATGTTCTGAATATACCTTATTGCTAGTGCCAGGTTTGGCATTGTAAGACTCGTGAATCAAGAACGTTATTTGCAAAGTAATTTCGCTCTTTGTAAAGTACTGTTTGTTTCGCGAGAGAATGCAAAAATGTTGCAGACGAATGCATCACAGAAATCAGAAACTACTGAACCTCTTGACAAGAAATAAGTTTATCGGGTGTTGCCGTCCTCACTGCAGCAATGGTATGTAATCTAAATACAGTACGTATTTAACGATAAATTACATACCATTGCTGCAGTGAGGACGGGCCGAAAGTATACACCCGCGCTAGGGGGACGTCTACCGGTATAACTGGAGCAGCTTCTACGCGCCAAAAATGAGTATCTACACGGATAGCGTAAAATAAGCATGCGAAAAACGCGCTTAGATAAGATTTATTTCTGAGTCGCATATTATTAAGCCTATAATAAGCCTTTCCATGCGCTTATAAACTGCATATAAGTGCATTGCAACCTTAAAACGCGCCTTACACGTCTTAGACTTTTGCATAGGGACAGTAGAAGTATGTATACAGTCGTTTGATCATGATATGTAGTTTTTGCCATCGTGAGCATTGTGATCGAGCGTTTTCTGGTGCTGTTAATAAATTTAATTATTTCGATTGGTTGGAAACATTGCTTAAGTTTTTCTGAACGTTTTTTTGTATAGGTAGCGACAGCAATCCCGCAAGGGAAGTGCACACAATGTGAAAACTGCTTACGCGGCGCTGAATAGGTGATGTTACACTTTCAATGCATAAACCTTTAAGATTATGGCACGGCTGTAAAAATACTGAAGTAGTGGAAACCGAAAAGGAAATCCAGAATTCTGTATATTCCTTCAATTTGAACAATTATTTTGCTGCAAACCCATATTTTTATGCTTTCCCTTAGAAATAGTGATCTGCAATCCCTGCATAGCAGAATGTACAATTTTTGAAAATTGTTATCAATTTTACTTGTTTTTTATTGCATAGATAGTGAGCTTATTCTATGGGTTTTCTATTGTGTCTGCTACTTTTTGCAGTTGTAAACACAAGCCTTTGTATACCAACAGTAGGTATGTTGGTGCAGTTGTATTTTGTACAGTTGAAAGTCACTAACTACCTACATACATACATCACGTCGTCACGGTATTATAATTATCGCATAGTGCCGTGAATCACGTATCCGCTACGTGGACGATTGTGATTTTCATAAACATGCTTTTAATTGTAAGTGATAGCAAAATTTACAGTAAAAATTTATTTAACATTCTAAATTGCCCAGTCCAACCACGATACCTTATACTTCGCTCATGCATGCAGCAAATACGCAAATACGCGCGAAGATAACGATAAAAGATATAGCACTGTTGCAGTTGTACGGTAATTCTGAAAACTATGCAATTTGGTAGGATGAAGTGGTGAGCTTCGTAAATAAATATGTACCTACACATTGAAGCCGGCAAATTTATATCTGTACACAGAAGAAGGGTGGGCGTCTCTAGCCAATAAACTTAAATGTAGTAAGTAATACTGTAATCAATTAATATTATACCGTGTGCGTATTATTTCGCGTGTTTCATAGGTTGTTTGAAAGAAGGACTGGTACATATGTACGTACAGATAGTTCTCGATTCTCGTCTCATGCTGTTAAATTAAAATCATCAACAGTCGGCAATGTTGGCATTTTCTATTAATAATACTCGAGCACGAATACGTACCAGTAGCGCGATTACGAAATGTAAAATGCATGTGATCTTTTCTCCTTTCAGTGTTTATTTCTAGCAACAAACCCGTTGTTCAGTGCCAACACGTAACCGATCCTGCATCTTTCTCTATCACACCCATGCTCAGCAAATTGAAAATCCATAGCCGCTCCTGTGCAAAGGAAGTTCCCAGCCGACACATGTGTACTACGGCAATTTAAATTTCAACCTAACACACTCAAAGCTAACGGTGGTGCATAGCGGCATGTATAAATAGGACCTTGACATTTCCTTTTCACAAGAATATTTATATTCAATACTCTGCAATCAACCACCAGCAACCGAAGTACGTAGCAAAGCGAAGCACCACAGTATAGATCGAAGTCGAACCAAAGTTGTAAATGGGAACAATTTGTACGTTCTGCCGCCTTACCTTTAGGATGAATTTTGAATGACAAAAACGTATTGTTATTTTTTCCCAAATTGAATCGAAGCATGAATTATACACAACGGAATGTAGCCGTAAGCCGTAAACATTTACTGTGTATATATGGACGGCTCAGCAAGTTTGGAACTCGATCGTCACGTACCGTCTAAGCACATGCATGAGCGAGTACGCACTCGCAACACTGAGTCGAGCTAAAAAACCGGCTTTTCGCCAACAGAATGCCAGCAGCAACATAATCGTAAAATTACCAGCAGTGTTCGGTGTTTGGACAAAAATTCATTAACTACACAATTATTGATGTTTGTTAAATGTGGAACCTTCGGGGATTTCGTTATTGTTATATTACTGTTGGAGGATACATGTACATGCAGTCGGGTGTTTCAACTGTTTGATCATTCTACCTGATGCACGTTTACAAGGACCCATATGTCTGCGGTAATAGTATCGTAGTCTATATTGACAAACTCTAAAATTTGGTCAACAAATCGTAAGAGAAAAGCGGTCCCGTTCTGCGCAAAGAACGACCATCTATAACGAGTGTGAATGTTTAGAATCCGCCCGTAGTCTGCGGATTTAATCATGGATCCGGATGAAGATCTCGAATATTCCTTGGCTTCCGGTCGGGCTTCGTCTTCTCTTTCGAAATCATACTCAGGTGCTTCCGTGGGGGAGCACTCCACAGATTGGGGGGATGAGCCCATTTATCGAGAGGAGGATTTTAAAAGCAATATAAGATCTTTGCAAAGTAAGTCTACTGCCCTATTCGCAAAAAATGCTGAATTTTTCGTATATGACTTATCAGCGCTACGAGTGCACTAAAAAGTAGTCTTTTTTATCCTGCATTACTCATGTGCATTGCAGAATAGCAAACTTTTGACTTTTCTTTCGCGTGCTGTATTTTCCTTATATCACTCGTATGTTAAGTTGTTAAGTCACTAGCCTATTAACATTTTGGTTAGTACAGGATAACCGATACGTACTTATAATTTCGTACAAGTTAATATCAAAATTGACAGTACTTACGATCAGTTATATATACGTTTATTCCGTTTGTTAATTTAATCAGACAGTTTTTGTTTGATTAGACTTACATATCGTAAGAGTGCATGATTAAGTTAGTGAAACTTGATGGTTTTCTGATCAGCAGTAAGCCTCGGCTTAAGCAGTTCTGAAACTGAGCAGGTGCATGTAAAATTCCAGAAACTATGCTTACTATAATATATGCTCACTTATAATAACTTTGGGCTTCACTTCGCCTTAACCGTGAATTGCTGATAACTTGTCAGTAGAAAGCAAAAAAGAACATATGGTCAACGTTTATTTTGGATTTCTTTGTCGCCTGGCACCGCATATATGTAGTTGCTGCTCAAAGCAAAAGCGCTTGTTTATTTAACAGCTACAAAATAAATAGCGGCATTGTTCCGCAAATGAACACGTTGAATAAGTTGTGAGAGATGTAGACAATGGACTCGTGACGATTGATTAAGCACTAAAATCAGTAAAATTGTGCAGTTATTATCTTAATTGTCGACACTGATAATAACCGGTTACGGTGCAATAACTGGGACGGTAATTTTTTGCTGACTTAAGTTTAATACCGTACACTTAACAAGCTCGTAATCGTCGTACGGCTACCGAAGAAAACTTGAACGGGGCTGTAAGGAAAGACTTGCGCACATAAATGTTTATGCTCATAGCTTTTCGATCGCTACTGTTAATTTCGCGGATCATTTTTGGGCAGAGCACCAACCGGTAGATGCAGGTGTTTGTACACAAGCACGCGCTGTCTGGTGACTGCATGGATTTACGCGTCTGCAAGAATGCAACACTGTTCAGTGATATACTTGGCAGTTGTGCCACCGGTCATCGCAGTTTGCATCGCAATGGATTATAGGTGTTCGGGTAGCCTTTAACGCGTGCTGCTGAAACATGAGATTCTGGATACTTGCAGATGAGCAGGAACGCGTCCAGAAGCGTACCTTTACAAACTGGATCAACTCCCACTTGGCACATGTAAGTTCGGAACACTGACACGATATTACTACATGTCTTTGAAGAATGCATTTATGAACACGCAGTAAACGAAGTATATTTTTCAGTAAACGAAATATATTTTGTCGGTAATTAACCGGTTAGTTAACGCAGACTTATACTTGTGCTTTTAGCACCAGAGTTAAATGTTGCGTACATTTACATTTCCATATGTACATTCGTAATCGGCACTCTTACACAGTGCATAGATATTATAATATCATTTATTAATTAATAACAATCTGTTCGTCGTCATTTGAATCCGGATTGTACTATCGAAAATAGTCGTAAAAACAAAATTTGTCCAAGCAGGAGGTCAATCGAGAATTCGGGTTGAAATTTTATTGGAATTATTATTCATTTAAACTGCAGCATCCAAGTCGGCGAGTTGTCCACGATTTGTATTCGGACATCCGAGATGGCAAGTCACTGCTAGCGCTGCTGGAAGTACTTTCTGGAGACCACTTGGTAAGGTTTTCCTCATGTGATACCGTCTTACGACGTTAAGACCTAACTGGCTATTATTACTCGCTTTTGATGAATTTTGCTTTCAATTATAGCCGTGCGAACCGGCTAGACGATACAGTCGCGCGCACTATCTCGTGAATGTTGAGAAAGCGCTGTCATACTTGCGATACAGACAAGTAAGTAAATTTGTTTAGATGTGGTATTTCACCGCCTAAGCACATCACTCTTGTTCAGTCAAAATTGCCAGTCTCGTATTGACATATTTGCTTTTTAACCGGCAGGTACGGCTTGTCAACATCCACGAGAGCGATGTCGTAGACGGCAACCATGTTGTGATATTGGGTCTCATCTGGTCGATTATCTTGCACTTCCAGGTATACGTAACACGCCGGCACCGGGTTTTCGCGGAACATTATTGATATTTGTTATTGCTGAACACTGCGTTTAGCGAGTTGTGATTGGTTTTTCCATTGTTTGCAGATCAATTTCGATATACCTGTCATACATGAGTCGCTTGTCAGTGCCGAAGCGACACCGACATCGAGCGGACGGCGATCAGCTGTTTCGACCGAGTCTGCCGGAACACCGCGTAGTCCGCGCTCACGTGCCGCTCAAAAGGGATTCTTTCATTTGGGTGCCGCTACAACAATACTGCGGTGGTGTAAAAAAGAAATCGAAGAGTATGCAGAAGAAAGAAAATTGTTCCGTAAAGAAACCATGATATTTAAATTTTACTATGTAGGCGCTATGGAATTCCTGTGACAAACCTTACGACAAGCTGGCAAAACGGAATGGCCTTTCTTGCATTGGTAAAACTGCTTGATTCTAATTTAATAAACTTATGCGAGTTTAGAGATGCACCGTCCGCTATTCGTCTCGAAACTGCTTTCCGAATGGCCGAGGACCATCTTGGAATACCGCGTCTACTTGACGTTTCCGGTACTGTAATTGCCTAATTGGCTACTGCTTGTTCGTACCCGTACCCTAGTGCACCGCGAAACAACACAGAATAAAATGCATTTAACAAAACGGTTGGTTGCTGTCGGCAGACCTTGAAGTCGAACGGCCCGACGAAAGAAGTGTGATGATTTATGTTTCGGAATTTATCAGAAGATATCCCCAGGCCAAAGAGAAACGGCGGCAAGAAGAGCAAGCCAGCGAAGCCAACGAACAAGCTGAATTCGAGCGCCTAAAAGAATGGTGTTTGGATACAATCGTTTCACTGCGTTGTTCAGAAATTCCGATTTATCCGACGCCCAGTTATTATGAGGTACGTCTACGGTCTACCAACGTGCTAACAAAATGGCACTGTTACAATTCACAATTATTCGCAGTCCGTGACTCGGGCTGTGTTTGATTGATCATGTGTGGCAAAGCGTTCACACTCCTCGGACATTGGAATCGGACATGTAACTCATGAGCCATGATTCACTTAATTGGTCAATGCACGCCCACTTTATGCAAATTGTTTCAAAAATGCGTTGTTGCTCAGTATTTTGTGACATATAAAAACTTACAAAAAGGGAAATAAATCAGAATATCGGTTCAACATTTTCAACCTCCATTTTTTAGTAAGTAGTAACTGGCTGAACGTAGATTATAGAATAATAACACGTACTTATGAGTCACACCTAATTATGAGCTCGATGCAAGCAAGCACCGGACAACGTAAGAAATTTTGACAGATGCCAAGTGGTCCCAATTTCCTGTCGTTAACTTCCTGAACATCAGTTCTTTATTAAGCGTTTTTTAGTTGACTTCTGAAAATTGAGAAGTTTGAAGGTTTTTAAGCAATGCAGAATAGTGAAACAAAATAGCAGCAAATGGAGACAATAGTCCAGTGAGTCATTTTGCACCGTTAACTACGTAGCGGTAGTTTGATGTTTGTTGTCATCCATGCGTAGGGAAATGCAGAAGTACACGTTTTAATTTTCCGTTTCTCTGGACGACGTGAAAACAACACAAAGACAGCATAGATTTTATACTTATTTGTCATTAACGCTAAGCTTTGTGAACAGCGCAAATAGACAAGTCACACGTGTATCGCTGCAACTTACGACTTTATATTTTGTCAGGAATACCAGACATACCAACGCGAGCTGCGAAACCGCGCTATTTCGTACATGCGTCTCAAAGAATTGTTTACGGAAGGTCGCTGTGTGATGTTGACTGAAGAAAACTTCCAGGAAATGGATGCGGTATGGGTTAAACTGATTGCGGAAAAGCATCAGTGGCACCGAACACTGTTCGAGTAAGTCGGCGCACCGTACTGTACGGAGTATACTTACCTTACTTGCTTGCACTTACGCAAGGTATATCGTATCGACAAGCTGTTTCTGCTGAGGTATTCATAATTTGCTTTCGTATTGAAGTAAACTTGATGGGAGGGAGCGGGAAATTTGCGTTCAGTTTGACAAGATTGAGAATTCTATTTATGACGCTGTGCTGCAACCGTCCATGCGGATACCATCCTTTCGAAGGACTGATCTCGAATTCAAACTTGCCAAATACGAGGTAAGCATCGTTTTATGTGGTATTGTACAACCGAATTGATCGACCTATTAATCAATCTGTTTAGGAGCTCAAAACGGAATTACGATTAGTGAGCGATTTATTATATGACATGGATCTTAATGAAGAGTTGTCGGAGGAATTCAAAGCGCACAATTTAATTGACGCGGTATCATCCACATGGAAATACCTGCATCAACGTTGGCTGGAAGAAAAATGCAAGCTTTTAGTATTTCGTAAGATGGAAATGGTCAAAGAATGGGAGACGAGGATAGCGCGGTGGAAGACGCAATCCATGCAACACACAACGCAGCAGCAGAGCAAATGGCGCGAACGCTTGGAACAGGAATACCGGGTGCACGTGGTGCATCAGGGCGTGCATGGGAAATACACGGATTTATCGAGAGCGTTGAATGATTATTTATCGCAGTTTGTTGATGGCAACGACGTGCAATGGTGGCACACGGAATTATTGCAGAAAGCATCTTTTGTTGATCAGAGATGGGAGAAGATTTGCGAAGCCTTGGAATGGTTCAAGAAAGTGGTTCTGATGCAGGAGAAGCAACATACTGTTGACGTAGCATACGGTCAACCGGATGCACATAGTGCACAGGCTCGGATCGCGGAAGGTACGGACAGATCTTACTTTGTATTGTTACTATGTTAAACCAAAATCCTGATACAGGTTTAGTATTCAAGTAAATATATCGGCGAACAGTTTATTTCATTTGCAACTTCAAAATCAGCATTTGCGTACTGAATTTATATATAAACGCTTCTACATTTACAGGGTCCAGCGTTCATCGAAGACCGCTTAGTGCCAATTCATGGCGCGAATATGCCGTTAAGTACGTACGATGCTGAAATCATGTAAATTTTCACTATTCCTGCAAATCCCACCTTATTATGCGCACATATGCGCAATGGCACCCTTGATATTGTAAAATGCATTATGCTTAAACAGCCTACTATAGTTAACACGAGTTATTACCGTTTAAGGAACAGAAATTGCTTGAGTACCACCGTACCAGTACCCGTTGTAATTATCTGTGTTTCTATAAATAATACAGTAGCGGTTTTTTGGAAACTAGTATTTCTTACACTTTTGCGTATTTATTAAAAGCAGGAGTCGTCATCCACCTGCTTAACTCAAATTTTTAAGTAATGGTTTTTGCCAGGGTGGCGTCCTTTCAGTCTTCGCTAAACGAACTGGAAAAGCAAGTGCTTTCCGAAGATCAATTTGCATCCAAAAGCTTCCAGGACAAACACACTATGCTTCTCCTAATCCAGGTAGTTATTTAGCGCTCTACTGTCATCGCAACCATCATGATACGCATTGTCATGTTCAGAATTTAATAAATTAAAGGCCGGCACACACCATTAGTTTTCAGAGGTTGTTATGTTTTGCAGAAGTTACGGGAACAGATGAACCAAAATCAAAGGGAGATTGATGACGTCCTGACTGCAATGTCGAGGGATTCTGGGAGCATCCTTGCCGAGACAAAACCAGAAGAAGAGAGAAAATTAGCTACGTTAATTCAACGCTACGAGTAAGTGGAACTAACATAACATTTTTTTCTTTTTCGTATGCAACGCAGATTTTCGATCGTGCAACGCAGACTTTCTCTAACTAATTTACACTGGTGCTGCAGTAGTACAGTAAGTAATTAAGGGACTAGCATTCATAGATCGCAGCTGCTTCTGTGTATCGAAATAACAAGCTGTAAATTTACGTATCAGTACAGAATACTGTATTATATGATCCGTATCAGTACAAATGTTTGTGTGTAAAACAACAACTACAAAATAATGGGTGTCAGTAATTTTATAATTCTACAGGTTATAGCATCGTAAAAGTTTATAATATTAAGTAATAATTTTTATTGTCTCGAAAAAAATATTCTGTAAAGTTTAAAGTAGTACAATACGTATTTCGTACCTTACGTACGAGAAAGTACAAGAAGTAGAGTAGTCGTACCTATGCTCGTACTGCATTTTATGGCGCAATTCAAGTATTACCCAACGCAATTTTTCATGATTTTTGACCGTCCCCCACCCCTTGCAACACCAGTATAACAAAGTTTTTAACCCCAGCTGAATACGTAATGTGAATCCCGACCATTCCTCTATAAAAATTCAATTATAATATATTAATGTGTTCAATTTTTTATGGAGTGTTGGCCCGCACTTAACAAAACTTTTTTGACCCCGTAGGCCGTACCCCATTTAACAAGGCGTAACGGAAAGCCAAAAATTTAATCACCCCCTACCCCTCTTGCGTTACGTAATACTTGAATGCCCAATAAGGAAGAAAGTACGTACTAGTATAATTACAGTTGAAAACCTAACGCGAGTTTGTATTTCAGTAAACTTTTGCATTCAATGCGCAACCTGAGCGCCAGTTTCGAAACGCCAAGAAGTTCACCGGACAAAATGGAAAAGCAGCCAGAAACTGTACCTGTATTGACCAGCATAGGAGCAAAAAGCTCTGTTAGATCAATCACCAGCTTGTTCGAGACCAAATCGGTCACCACTGCGTCCTCGAATTCCCGATTTTATGCGGAAGAAAATCCGTGGAGAAGGGCTCGCAGAATTGATGCAGCCAACTACGAAGCATTTCGAACCGTGGAAATATCCTCAATGCCCGAAACAAGATCGCGCGCTAGAGAAAAAGTAGAAATCACAGAACCTCAATTCTCAACAGTAATCTCTATTCCAGTAATTCGGGAAGACGAACATGGACAAGGAAGTTCGAGAGCAGCCAGAAGCACATCCCAACAAGCACCAATAAGGACAGAAGAGACGATAAACTCGGACGTCAAAAGTCAAGTATCCGCTATCCTTGATATCTTGCGGCACCGATCATCCCCAAGAGATATCCATTTCGATACAGCGGAAACCAAAATGTTTAATTCGAACACGGAAATATCGCAATTAACACACGGACAGTCATCTGAAAAAGTAAAACCTTACCGATCAGAAAAAACCGAAATCAGCGAATCACTGACCGTTAAAAGAGAAACTAGATACCAAAAGCTCAGCTCTGCAACGAAAGAAACAAGGGCTCGCGAACCGTACCATTCAATCGGAAGCGGCGAAGAATCACAGAACACCGTGACCCAGAATTTTCACCATACCATATCTATCGATCAGCGTGTAAGGAAAGCGAAATTGGAGCGTTTTCACGTTGAAAGCTCCCGGAACAGAAAACTGCAGGCACTGAGAATACCATCTGAACCGCCGCCAGAAGCTTCAAAAGGCGTTACAAAGGACGACTTCTACGAGCTTCAAAAAGCATACCCCAGAATTACTTCAACTTATACAATCGCTGAGCAGCCCGCGGGAACAACAAAATCGCCCCAACAGTTGCACCAAAAGACAAGCGAAATCTATACAAAAGAGAAACCCGGGGAAAAAAGTGCCGCATCTGAAATTTTCCGTTTAACGACATCAAAAGCAGAAGCAATACTGCTGAGCATCATAAGTTTAATATTGAAACACCGAAACAACGGCGAATAACAACCACGCTAATCTTAGCTGAAGACATTAAAACCAAGGCAGCAAAAGTGCTGTAGAAGTACATAGACAGACTACGGCCGAAGCCGTCGACGTTCAATCAGTTGACCAGCAGAAATTCACTCCTGTCCTCATTCCAGCAGAAGTCACACCAACACAGCCGGGCATCAGTGCCGTCCGTGAAGAACTGGAACTGATCGGCAGTGAACGGTTTGCACCGGAACTGGTGGCGCCGATCAGCGTGCACGATGTCACAACGACACCAGCTGAACCGACAGTTACACCGCGTCCCGTCGACGAGCGCATTGAACACCGTGTTACTCCGAAAGACGAGACGGTCGAAGAGGAGAAAGTCGTGCCAGTCGTGCCTGTGACACCGACGACGGTTGTCGTGGAAGAAGAGCACCTACGACAGGCTGTGCGCGATACCTTCGACATTGAGTCGGTTGACCAGCAGAAATTCACTCCTGTCCTCATCCCAGCAGAAGTCACACCAACACAGCCGGGCATCAGTGCCGTCCGTGAAGAACTGGAACTGATCGGCAGTGAACGGTTTGCACCGGAACTGGTGGCGCCGATCAGCGTGCACGATGTCACAACGACACCAGCTGAACCGACAGTTACACCGCGTCCCGTCGACGAGCGCATTGAACACCGTGTTACTCCGAAAGACGAGACGGTCGAAGAGTCGTGCCAGTCGTGCCTGTGACACCGACGACGGTTGTCGTGGAAGAAGAGCACCTACGACAGGCTGTGCGCGATACCTTCGACATTGAGTCGGTTGACCAGCAGAAATTCACTCCTGTCCTCATCCCAGCAGAAGTCACACCAACACAGCCGGGCATCAGTGCCGTCCGTGAAGAACTGGAACTGATCGGCAGTGAACGGTTTGCACCGGAACTGGTGGCGCCGATCAGCGTGCACGATGTCACAACGACACCAGCTGAACCGACAGTTACACCGCGTCCCGTCGACGAGCGCATTGAACACCGTGTTACTCCGAAAGACGAGACGGTCGAAGAGGAGAAGATCGTGCCGGTCGTGCCTGTAACACCGACGACGGTTGTCGTGGAAGAAGAGCACCTACGACAGGCTGTGCGCGATACCTTCGACATTGAGTCGGTTGATCAGCAGAAATTGACTCCTGTCCTCATCCCCGCAGATGTCACACCCACACAGCCGGGCATCAGTGCCGTCCGTGAAGAACTGGAACTGATCGGTAGTGAAAGGTTTGCACCGGAACTGGTGGCGCCGATCAGCGTGCACGATGTCACAACGACACCAGCTGAACCGACAGTTACACCGCGTCCCGTCGACGAGCGCATTGAACACCGTGTGAATCCGAAAGACGAGACGGTCGAAGACGAGAAAGTCGTGCCAGTCGTGCCTGTGACACCGACGACGGTTGTCGTGGAAGAAGAGCACCTACGACAGGCTGTGCGCGATACCTTCGACATTGAGTCGGTTGACCAGCAGAAATTCACTCCTGTCCTCATCCCGCAGATGTCACACCCACACAGCCGGGCATCAGTGCCGTCCGTGAAGAACTGGAACTGATCGGTAGTGAAAGGTTTGCACCGGAACTGGTGGCGCCGATCAGCGTGCACGATGTCACAACGACACCAGCTGAACCGACAGTTACACCGCCGCGTCCCGTCGACGAGCGCATTGAGCACCGTGTAACTCCGAAAGACGAGACGGTCGAAGAGGAGAAGATCGTGCCGGTCGTGCCTGTAACACCGACGACGGTTGTCGTGGAAGAAGAGCACCTACGACAGGCTGTGCGCGATACCTTCGACATTGAGTCGGTTGATCAGCAGAAATTCACTCCTGTCCTCATCCCGCAGATGTCACACCCACACAGCCGGGCATCAGTGCCGTCCGTGAAGAACTGGAACTGATCGGTAGTGAAAGGTTTGCACCGGAACTGGTGGCGCCGATCAGCGTGCACGATGTCACAACGACACCAGCTGAACCGACAGTTACACCGCCGCGTCCCGTCGACGAGCGCATTGAGCACCGTGTAACTCCGAAAGACGAGACGGTCGAAGAGGAGAAGATCGTGCCGGTCGTGCCTGTAACACCGACGACGGTTGTCGTGGAAGAAGAGCACCTACGACAGGCTGTGCGCGATACCTTCGACATTGAGTCGGTTGATCAGCAGAAATTCACTCCTGTCCTCATCCCCGCAGATGTCACACCCACACAGCCGGGCATCAGTGCCGTCCGTGAAGAACTGGAACTGATCGGTAGTGAAAGGTTTGCACCGGAACTGGTGGCGCCGATCAGCGTGCACGATGTCACAACGACACCAGCTGAACCGACAGTTACACCGCCGCGTCCCGTCGACGAGCGCATTGAGCACCGTGTAACTCCGAAAGACGAGACGGTCGAAGAGGAGAAGATCGTGCCGGTCGTGCCTGTAACACCGACGACGGTTGTCGTGGAAGAAGAGCACCTACGACAGGCTGTGCGCGATACCTTCGACATTGAGTCGGTTGATCAGCAGAAATTCACTCCTGTCCTCATCCCCGCAGATGTCACACCCACACAGCCGGGCATCAGTGCCGTCCGTGAAGAACTGGAACTGATCGGTAGTGAAAGGTTTGCACCGGAACTGGTGGCGCCGATCAGCGTGCACGATGTCACAACGACACCAGCTGAACCGACAGTTACACCGCCGCGTCCCGTCGACGAGCGCATTGAGCACCGTGTAACTCCGAAAGACGAGACGGTCGAAGAGGAGAAGATCGTGCCGGTCGTGCCTGTAACACCGACGACGGTTGTCGTGGAAGAAGAGCACCTACGACAGGCTGTGCGCGATACCTTCGACATTGAGTCGGTTGATCAGCAGAAATTCACTCCTGTCCTCATCCCGCAGATGTCACACCCACACAGCCGGGCATCAGTGCCGTCCGTGAAGAACTGGAACTGATCGGTAGTGAAAGGTTTGCACCGGAACTGGTGGCGCCGATCAGCGTGCACGATGTCACAACGACACCAGCTGAACCGACAGTTACACCGCCGCGTCCCGTCGACGAGCGCATTGAGCACCGTGTAACTCCGAAAGACGAGACGGTCGAAGAGGAGAAGATCGTGCCGGTCGTGCCTGTAACACCGACGACGGTTGTCGTGGAAGAAGAGCACCTACGACAGGCTGTGCGCGATACCTTCGACATTGAGTCGGTTGATCAGCAGAAATTCACTCCTGTCCTCATCCCCGCAGATGTCACACCCACACAGCCGGGCATCAGTGCCGTCCGTGAAGAACTGGAACTGATCGGTAGTGAAAGGTTTGCACCGGAACTGGTGGCGCCGATCAGCGTGCACGATGTCACAACGACACCAGCTGAACCGACAGTTACACCGCCGCGTCCCGTCGACGAGCGCATTGAGCACCGTGTAACTCCGAAAGACGAGACGGTCGAAGAGGAGAAGATCGTGCCGGTCGTGCCTGTAACACCGACGACGGTTGTCGTGGAAGAAGAGCACCTACGACAGGCTGTGCGCGATACCTTCGACATTGAGTCGGTTGATCAGCAGAAATTCACTCCTGTCCTCATCCCCGCAGATGTCACACCCACACAGCCGGGCATCAGTGCCGTCCGTGAAGAACTGGAACTGATCGGTAGTGAAAGGTTTGCACCGGAACTGGTGGCGCCGATCAGCGTGCACGATGTCACAACGACACCAGCTGAACCGACAGTTACACCGCCGCGTCCCGTCGACGAGCGCATTGAGCACCGTGTAACTCCGAAAGACGAGACGGTCGAAGAGGAGAAGATCGTGCCGGTCGTGCCTGTAACACCGACGACGGTTGTCGTGGAAGAAGAGCACCTACGACAGGCTGTGCGCGATACCTTCGACATTGAGTCGGTTGATCAGCAGAAATTCACTCCTGTCCTCATCCCCGCAGATGTCACACCCACACAGCCGGGCATCAGTGCCGTCCGTGAAGAACTGGAACTGATCGGTAGTGAAAGGTTTGCACCGGAACTGGTGGCGCCGATCAGCGTGCACGATGTCACAACGACACCAGCTGAACCGACAGTTACACCGCCGCGTCCCGTCGACGAGCGCATTGAGCACCGTGTAACTCCGAAAGACGAGACGGTCGAAGAGGAGAAGATCGTGCCGGTCGTGCCTGTAACACCGACGACGGTTGTCGTGGAAGAAGAGCACCTACGACAGGCTGTGCGCGATACCTTCGACATTGAGTCGGTTGATCAGCAGAAATTCACTCCTGTCCTCATCCCCGCAGATGTCACACCCACACAGCCGGGCATCAGTGCCGTCCGTGAAGAACTGGAACTGATCGGTAGTGAAAGGTTTGCACCGGAACTGGTGGCGCCGATCAGCGTGCACGATGTCACAACGACACCAGCTGAACCGACAGTTACACCGCCGCGTCCCGTCGACGAGCGCATTGAGCACCGTGTAACTCCGAAAGACGAGACGGTCGAAGAGGAGAAGATCGTGCCGGTCGTGCCTGTAACACCGACGACGGTTGTCGTGGAAGAAGAGCACCTACGACAGGCTGTGCGCGATACCTTCGACATTGAGTCGGTTGATCAGCAGAAATTCACTCCTGTCCTCATCCCCGCAGATGTCACACCCACACAGCCGGGCATCAGTGCCGTCCGTGAAGAACTGGAACTGATCGGTAGTGAAAGGTTTGCACCGGAACTGGTGGCGCCGATCAGCGTGCACGATGTCACAACGACACCAGCTGAACCGACAGTTACACCGCCGCGTCCCGTCGACGAGCGCATTGAGCACCGTGTAACTCCGAAAGACGAGACGGTCGAAGAGGAGAAGATCGTGCCGGTCGTGCCTGTAACACCGACGACGGTTGTCGTGGAAGAAGAGCACCTACGACAGGCTGTGCGCGATACCTTCGACATTGAGTCGGTTGATCAGCAGAAATTCACTCCTGTCCTCATCCCCGCAGATGTCACACCCACACAGCCGGGCATCAGTGCCGTCCGTGAAGAACTGGAACTGATCGGTAGTGAAAGGTTTGCACCGGAACTGGTGGCGCCGATCAGCGTGCACGATGTCACAACGACACCAGCTGAACCGACAGTTACACCGCCGCGTCCCGTCGACGAGCGCATTGAGCACCGTGTAACTCCGAAAGACGAGACGGTCGAAGAGGAGAAGATCGTGCCGGTCGTGCCTGTAACACCGACGACGGTTGTCGTGGAAGAAGAGCACCTACGACAGGCTGTGCGCGATACCTTCGACATTGAGTCGGTTGATCAGCAGAAATTCACTCCTGTCCTCATCCCCGCAGATGTCACACCCACACAGCCGGGCATCAGTGCCGTCCGTGAAGAACTGGAACTGATCGGTAGTGAAAGGTTTGCACCGGAACTGGTGGCGCCGATCAGCGTGCACGATGTCACAACGACACCAGCTGAACCGACAGTTACACCGCCGCGTCCCGTCGACGAGCGCATTGAGCACCGTGTAACTCCGAAAGACGAGACGGTCGAAGAGGAGAAGATCGTGCCGGTCGTGCCTGTAACACCGACGACGGTTGTCGTGGAAGAAGAGCACCTACGACAGGCTGTGCGCGATACCTTCGACATTGAGTCGGTTGATCAGCAGAAATTCACTCCTGTCCTCATCCCCGCAGATGTCACACCCACACAGCCGGGCATCAGTGCCGTCCGTGAAGA